TTGTTGTTAATTTAAATTTGAATATAAGCACACGGAGTTTTAATTTCATTAATAACTAATAACATTCCTGTATACCTTGCACTTTTTTGACGTTTCAAGTGAAATTTGGCAGAATATTAATTCCACTAGTGTTTTATAAATAAATTTCAGTTCGACAGTACGACAGTATTTACACTACAACATAAAAAGTACATTAAATTTGTTACATAATGTTCACAAATAATTATTTTGACACTTGATCATGGCCTCCTAGGCAAGTAGTCTCTTACGAATTTAATATATTTTTTTACTGTAATTATTTTTTCTGTACGATAAAATGAACTAAAATTGATTTATAAAATACTAGTCTAATATTCTGTCAAGTTTCCCTTGAAAATTACTCCTAGGAAAATTATTAACACATTTTTATACATTTTGGAGAAATTATTATGTAGATATTTTCTGAATTAACAGCATGCGTGATCAAGGAGGTGTTGTACAATTTTCATTAAGAAAAGTTTAGGGGTTATTTTTATTTCCCGAGCGAAAGCTAAGGAACTATTTTAATAGCTACTTTCATGTTTTCTCGATGTTTCATGAAAAAGTAGGTTTTGCGTTTCCGTCTGTTTGTCGCGTCTCATTCGTCTGTGTTAATTTTCATTAGACAGATTCTCTCCAAAACTACTGTTCCGATTGTCGTCAAATTTTAATGTTAAAAATATCATGTAGATGGTAAAGCGCTAACCAAAATTTGTCTGATCATCACCACCAATAATGTGATTACGTTATCTCCAAAATTTACAGTAGTTAATCTTATTTAAATACATATCTATAATAGAATATTGTTGATTTATGAATTCGTGTTGACTTTTTAACCTACACTTCTAGATTTTTGGAAAAAAATGTATGACAATATTTTGCAATTAAAATTTGAAACCGTTAAACCGAATGCTCTGAAATCTTGCAAGTGAATAAAAATTTATCCGTTTATCCCCTTCTAAAAAAGTGATTACCTCATTCCAAAATGTTGCCGAATAAATCCTGTCTAAAATACGAGTATACAAAACATAAAATAAAATTTAGAATTTCTTTAAACTAATAATAATGATAAATTTTGACTATACTGGTGTCCACAAAACTGTCTTTCTTCCTTTAAATACATTTGTGGAATTGTTTATTAAGAATGTTTGGTCCAAATTATTTTGTGTTTTGTGTTTTCAAATAGATTTGGTTTTGGAACATCTTTGTCAGCAAATGTAAAACGGTTGTAGAACCATAAATATAAAATGTTAATAATTGCGGAATTAATTTTGCCTGTAAGCTGTATTTGCGGTTTCTTAGTACGTTTTTATTGGTTGTATTTATGTATAAATTCAAATAGAAAATCAATTAGGGTTTTTTTTTTCGTTCAAGAGACGAAGAGTGTTGTGTAAGTGAAAGAAAAATTAACCAATGGAAGTTTAGTAGGTCTAATTTAGGTCTAAACTTATTTGCTATTTTCGTTTGTTATTTAATTTAGAAATAATTCTATACCTACTCTTAAAAAAATACGTCAAACCATTTTCTTATCGTTGTTTTTTCATTTTTAAGATAATGCGTCTCTTCGAGTTTTCATTTTAAAATTTTTCAGTTTTTCGATTTTCCAATTTTTAGGTGTTTCAGTTTTCAAATTTTGGGATTTTTCCATTTGCAATTTTTCGAGGTTTCAATTTTTAATTTCCCACTTTTTGGATTTTTCAATTTTTATTTTTTTGTTAGTACTTGCCTAATAAGACTGATTTTGGCAAATCACATTCCCTCGAAAAATATAGAGGGCGGGTGGGCGGGCCTAGTACATGCTAAGGTAAAAATTATTTTGGCAAATCACATAGCCTATAAGAAAAAAGGGTGGGTGGGCGGGGCTAGTACTTGCCAAGATAAGATTGAATAATATTAAGAGTATAGTCACTGGAATGAAGAGGGGATCGCTCCTTGCTTACAAGACTCTAGAAAACCTGAACTCAGCTCCGTCCACATCTCACCAATTTTTAATTCTTCAATTTTACGATTTTTCAATTTTAAAATTATAAAATCGAAAGAAATACTGTAAAACGGAAAAACTGTGATATGAAATCGAGAAAATGAAAATCAAAAAATCGAGAATAAGAAAACAAAAACCAGAAACGAGAAACTAAAAAATCGAAAAATGAAAAGTTGTAAAATCGAAAAATTGAAAGAATTTGAAAGATTTAAAAGGTTTCAAAGTTTCAAAGATTTCAAACACCAAAAATTGTAAATTGTGAATACACTGAAGATTGTAAATAAAAAAAATCCAAAAAAATCTAAAAAATCATAAAGATCTTGGAGGCACTAATGATCCTAGAACTTCTAAAAAGTTTAAACTTTGTAAAATTTGTAGTAATTCAAAAGTGTCCAAAGTTTCTAAAGACTGGAAAGACTCTAAGGACTCTGAGAGGTCTGAGAGTTCTAGGGAGTTTAAAAACTCTAAAGATACTCTTAAAGACCCAAACGCTGAAAAGATATTTAAAATTCTGCTGCAAATATTATGGAACTTGTAATTGCAAAATCGATATTTCCCTATACAAATTTACCATTTTAAATATATTTTAAGTTTCATGTTCTGAAAAGAAGTCTACACATATTAAAACAAAAAGCTAAAATGGAAGCCCGCCCACCCACCCTGTCTCGACTGTAAAGAATTTTTTGTTCGCTGTGAGCCAAGAGGGCGGAGCTTAACTGCAAAATTCTTATTTCTTTACAAGAAATTAAAAACACGTTTTTGAATATCGTGTTGTTCAAAGAATACTATGTACATTAAGAAAAAAAGGCAAAGTATTTTCGTTTGTTATTTAATTTAAAAATAATTCTATACCTACTCTTAAAAAAATACGTCAAACCATTTTCTTATCGTCTGAAATGTCTGACTTCTTTAAGTACTGTATGGTATGTTAGTTTTTGGGCACAAATACATATTATATCAATTCTAATGTTAAAAATTTGTTTGCATCTCTTTGAGATATCATACTTGAAGAAATTGTAATATTAATTGTAAACTAATTTACAATCAATAAAAAATTCCAACACAAGATGTTAAAAAATAGCAAAATTTTCTTCTGTGAAAAAAGCACGAAATATCTTAATTTATTTAATAAAACAAATAGTGTTGAAACATGAAGTAACTGGTGGTATTGTTCTTTAATAATTTTCAAAATACTTGTGGTAGATTGTTTAAACCTAGTTCAAATAATACTCTTTTGATAAAAAAATTATATCTATTATATAAAACATTATAAATAAACAAATGATTTTTCTATATCACAAAAGGTTTCGTTGTCAGTGGCTTCCAGTTAAAAGGTGCAGAAGGTAACAAAATTGAATTTAAAACCGAATTGCCAAGTTGGTCGTTAAATAACAGTGTGCTTCAAAGAAGTTAATTCGTTTTGCAGAAATTCCAGAATACTTTGTAAACTAAGTTAAGAGCTAGTAAATATTCAGAATTTTTACGTTATTTTGGCGCGGAACATTAAAAAATAGTAAAAACCGGGATGAAAACACGAAACGGTAAAAAATAAAAATCATTTTAAAATTAATTCACAAATAATAATAAAAAAGAAATTATAAATTTTGTGTTTGCATTAACAATATTCAAAGATGTGAAATAGAGTGACAATAATTTGCACCCCAGTGCATTTGTTCTGACTAAAACTGTACAATATTGATTCTCATCGGTCCATAATTAATTCAAGAAGAAACTTCAAGAAAATTGAAGAATACTCACTAAATCTATTAAAATAAAATAAATTTGTGCACTTGAAGGACTAGGTAGGCTTATTTATCTTAACAGACCTGAAGAAGCTCAAATATAATGATCGAAACATTGTCCATTTTTATAAAATGAATGATCCTGATCGTATTATATATAAGTGTCATCTGTTTGTAATCATCAACGAATCCTAAGCTTCTTATTTGTTAAAAAAATACGTCAAACGGTAATAATGAAGGGGAAAAAAGTTCACGTAGGACAGATGAAAGAAACTGAAAATGACAAAAGCCTAATGATTATAAATAAAATTTAAAAAAACACAGAATTGTTGGCAATATTAGAGGCTAAATACTTAGCATTCAATTACTTCAAATAAATTAATCTTACTACAAAAAATAAACATCTGGGTATGGAAGCAACACAATATTTAAAATATTTTTTTCGATGTTGCATGCTCGTCACACGCGGTTAGCAGCGAAATAATAATAAAGTTATTGTTAATATAAAAGAACAATTTACGGTGAAATATTTAATTTGTTTAAGAGCTTTAACAATTCGAAGATAAAATATTCAGTAAATTCTACAATTTGTGTTCTGATCTTCATATCAGAAATTTTTGTTTTGCTTTTGTGCAATTTATTTAGCTCTCCACCAGCGTTTCGCTCGCGCAAAATTGCTCCGAAGCGAAGATCGATTTAGATGCAAAAGCTGTTATTGCAGAATCTCAAATAGTACCGTTTCCTTATTAGGTACATCAATTTTCCAAAATGGCATATCATAAAGTTTCCCGCATTTTTAAAGGTTATGATTTTGATGTTAATCCAGTCCAAATAAGCATTTGCAGCTTCAGTGTAATTGTGAAGAACCAGTACCCATACAATCAGGATTGTGACTTACCGTCGCATTGAATTCTCCGCACTCATCACAGAATAAATTCCATTTCACGTAATAATCCAAGTTCGGATCTTTCATCCCAGTCAGAAGGATCTTTTTTGGTAAAACCATCTTAATCCGCGCAGTTACCTCGAAAAATGAAACCGGAAGAGGAGCCGATGCAGCTTATAAATTTTCGAGCAGTTGTAGGCGTAAGAATTTAAATAAATATCAGTGGTACAATAAAGTGATGTTAATGCTGCGTTTGACAAATGACCGTGTTGGCAAATTAAAAGACACGAGTCACGGGTATTTTTATTGCGAAGTGGTGTTGTAGAGCGTAAGACAAAGCGCAAAAGTGGAAGCAATTAGGATCGAGATTTACCTTGTGAACATGATTATCAGTTAATGAAAATGTACAAGTTACACATTCACACACACATTGTAATATGAAAAACGGCGCGAATGAATAAACACGTGAGTTGTTTTAGCACTGAGATACGTTCGCGTAGTTGAAGTACACCGAGACTTTGAGTGGTACCACAGTGGAACCCCGAGAACTAACGTTCCAGCGCCCTTCCAAGTCAAGAACGCGGGCCCCTTCTATCCATAGATATGATGCTACAATGTTACTGGATTTTCATGTGCCATACCATCTCTTGCCTCCTGCTCTTTTTTTAATATACTTTTTACCTCGGCGTCGCGCTGATACAATCGCACCGTCGCGTTTCCGTACCTCTTAAAAAGCACTCACTGAAATGCGTTTTGCGAGTTCCTTTTTCAGATTCACTTTAATTATTATTTTTATTTGTTTCGTGCTTATTAAAACTAATATTATTTAATATTATTATATGTATGTCAATGAAGAGCAATTAAAAATTCTATTAGTTTGAATACGACATTAAAAAATTGAACCAATGAATCCACTTGAAAAATATTAACTAGAAATCCTTTTCCAACAATGCGTTAACTATTTTACTAATTTAATGAATTATTAATTATTGTAGTACCATGTCTCAAAGAGCGTCAAAAATCACAAATAAAATTGTTTTGCTACTCGTAAGCTAAATTAGTTCGTTTTATATACATTTCCTTTAATATTATAATAAGCTGACATTTCAGTCATCAAAACATCCATACAAATGCTGCACTATTATTTTAATTTACATACTTAGCAAAATATTACTTAATTCTTCAGAAATTCAGATATTTTAAAATTTTCGGACGTCAGTAGGTATATCCAAGTAAATGAGCTACTTTTCTAAACCTAATTTACAGCAAATAAGTTTTGCCAATTTATCTTGTGATAAGGTATTAAATCTATGTTACGTAGAGTATAAAAATATTTTTTAATTTGAAATAACAACTGAAATTCAAACAGAACATAAAATCTTCAAAAATATACACTTATTTCGAAGATGCGTTTGACATCACACTAAACACATTACGGAAAACAAAAATTGTTTAAATTTATAACAAGAAAGCGAATTTTTCTATTTCTGTGGTATATTTAAGTTGCAGTTTTATATGCAGTATCACTTCAATCAGTATTACAGTTATTTATGGAAATTTTAGAACGCGGTTTTCACCACTGTTTTCAGCTTACAAAACTTTAGAAATTGTATGAGATATATTTTCGATTTTATTTGTTGGCACTGCGATATAGTAAAAATAAACATTTAGCAGCTTCTACGACACAAGCTTTTTTTACTGTGTATCGTTTCTAACAAAAAAATTCGAGGGTATATCTGGTACGATTTCTGTAGTTTTGTAAGCTGCAAACAGTCTTGAAAACCGTGTTCCGAAATTTCCTTAAATAATTGAGATATTGATTTTTAAAAATACGTTATGCAAAAAATTCACCAAAATTAAAAACAAAAGGATGAACACAAACTAAATCTGTTAATAATGTAAATATTACATTCTGCAAATTCCATGCAGAAAACATAGAGACTGAATCATACAAAACAGGGTTGGCAACTACATACTCTTTTAAAACTACAACCAACTTAATAGTTCAAAGTACTAAACATTCACCAATAAAAGACCTACGCCCTCACACTATTTATATTGTTCACTATCATAAATAAAATGTATTTCACGGCTCTTAAGACCTGTTACAACCATCATTTAAATTAACCGAGTGTTAAATTACCACATTCTGATGTATGGCTTTAATTTAACCCCGTAATATCCCTAACCGAAGTAGAATATTCGTTAAATTATCTACTACGACTGTACGAATTTAAAACTAACAGACGTTAGTTTACCATAGTAAACAAAGTTGTTGTCCTTTTCGACAAAATTTAAACATCTACGACTAAGATTAGTTTGTGACTCATAATAATTAATACCATAGTGACGACTTTTGAATATCACGGACAGAAGAACAAAATATATTCAAAGTATATACAGAAATACGATACTGCGTTGTTAACTGGATTTTAATTTCTTGCCTACTGTTCTCTTTACTTCCCCAGCGTATTAAGCTATTGTATTGTAATAGGATTTGACCAATTGCTAATTATATATTTTCTAGATGTTTCATAACCCTTAGAATATGAAAAAGCAATTCTGTCGTTTCCGTCTGTCTGGCGAGTTTGTTAAAGCGATAAACTCCGAAACTAGTAGAAGTGTAATTTTTTGGAAAAATGAAAATTATACAACATTTTGCAATTTAGCTGAAGTACTAGAAAACTGACCATTCTGCAAAAAATTCATAGAATCAAGTCTTATAATTTTTCTAAAAAATTAGATTCGCTAGATTGTGCTTCCGAGGCGAGGGAAGTTCGCTCTAAATAACTTTATTTATAGCATTTTTTTTAATATCGCCTAACCGATTATAACGGGTGTTCATTTGAAAAATCACTCAGAGTAGGCGTTGGAATTTCATTTGACACAAACGCCATGTTGTCCCTTGATAAAACGACTGAAATTCATTTTATGATTTATTGTTTTATTTTGAACATCATTTCGATTATTCTTTCTATTATTGTTCATTATATTAATTAATTTTCAACAGCAAAATTTCTTTAAAATACTTGTAGCTAATTACATTTTCAACAAATTTGACTTCCATTGCTTCAGCCCACATTTTATTCTGATTGTTTTGTTTGAAAAGTGCTCTCACAACTTCATTTTTTGTGTTCTGATTTTTTACTCCAACTGTAAATCCACATTTAATGATATACTGCCCCACGTTTTTGTTTTCATTTCACCAAGTCTGTCATAAAATATGACAAAATTATTAATGAGAACCAGCCACATTCTAATTTATGAAAAACGGTGCCTAATAAATTTGACTAATCATACAGCAACGACAGAATTAACGATGAAAATTTTGTTTTGAAGCAGTAAAGTGACAAGTACGCTTCACATAGAAAGACAGCACTGTTTTTTACCACATTTCTGACGCAACCTGTATTTTTTAATATATTCGTAACATCAATCAAAATTGTACGGGAATCTGTGTTTCTTAATTACGAGACCTTGATGGTGCTAAAGTTTTTAAACTAATTATAAGAAAGCTCCGAATAAATATTAAAGGTTGGAGTTCAATTACGAAGATTTACAGCTTTCGGTTTTATTGTACGTAAGTTATTTCAATTTATACTACATGTTAAATTAATGTCACAGTCACTCGTAACGACAGGTTAGTTACTGTGGCACCAAAACATAATATAGTCATAAATAAAGTAATGAATTTCCTGCGTTAAAAGCGATATGGGTGTTTTATTACATTGTATTGTTACTGCCCTTTTGATATTTAATTAGAAAATTTACACGCTGAAATTTGTTACTTATTTCTCAACACATTTACACAGGAAAAATTTGTTATTTATTACCAGTAGCACAACGAAATTTATTACCTTCATACTGAATGTCCTGCAAGTCGTTCTGTGAAGTAATATAGATTACATTACATGTCATATATTTAACCTGGGAGCTTCACAATAATGTCTCTGTTGACGTAACTAAATGAATTCGAATTATCGTTTACAATCTGTAATTTTACAACATATGTGAAATTATAAAAAAAAACGGAAATATTCATTGTTTTCTCGACTTGACATCTCTACAATATAAATAATCTGTCAAAACTGTTTTTTAAGGTCAGCATCAGTTGACACTTGAAAATATAACCTAACAAAAATAATGCTGATATAGATCTATTTTACAATTATGTATATGATTAATTTTATCTTCTAAGCTTGCCTTTGTATTTATTTAGCGCCGTTTATACAAAAAAAAAAACACAAATGGTGTGAATAAAAATAATCATGTATGTTGATATTATCATCAACTTCTAAAAATGACCTGCATCAGTTTAATTTGATCGTTAATAAACAAAATGGCGGTGGGTACTTCTGTACGTCATCAAATATGGCCACTCAAAGCCATCGTATATAAATCAAATTGTAACCGTCTATAAATCAGTTATGCGGATTTTAGATGCTAGTTGTTAATTATAAGGGAAATAAAGTCTTTCTAATTGCTACGTAAAATAACCAACAAACGATGATAGTATACTAGCTCACTAGTCATTTCTGTAATTTCGAACTCAATTACGTTGAAAAAAACTAGTTTAATGGATGTTGAAATTATACAGGTTCCTGCTATATAATATGACTTTGTATGTTACATATAGATATTCAAAATCAACAAATTTTAAGAAAACAACTGATGGTTATAGAATGGCCGATTAAATATGAACGTGCCTCTCCCTATTTATTGAACTGATACTAGCATGTAATGGCAAAACAGTGGCATCTTTTGTATAATGAGTGTCTGCTTTCAAGAAGAGTTTGTTGTTAGTTGGTAAATGATATCGTATTAAGTTGTTTTTACTCGTTCTTATATGCTACTTACTAGTAGCACAAAACCAGCAATATAACATTAACTTACTGCTTAATCATTTGGAAATGAGCAATTGTGCATGTTTAGCACGTCTTCCAAATCATGCTCTTGATGAGATTGGTGATTGTTCGATATAAAACACCGATGACCACAACAAATTTGCAAATTTTTAACGAATTTTAATGTTGCGTGGAGATGTAGTACCTATATTACATTTTTTTTTTGCAAGATGACACAACTAGTTTTATCAAAACATTGCGTTGGTAAGAAATATGAAGAACCAAAGTTGGCGGTACGTTTAGAATTCCAGTTGGCAACCTTGCCCTATAAATGTTATATCCCCTCTTTACATTAGTTGCCTGGGTCATACTCAGACGTGCTATATGCTGACTAAATGTAAAACATATGGGATAGATGTCAGTTTTAGTGGTACGATTTTCTTGACACACGATTTAACGTTACTCTTTTTAAGTCGTTTAGGTAGACGTGGAATTTTAAGGCATCTACTGTCAAATAATTATCGCTAGTTCATCGTTAGCTGCTAATCATCTGACCCGCACTAATTTCTCTGAAGCTGTTGATATATGGTTCAATCCATCAATAAGTAGAAAGTCAACTTCCCATGCTAGCTATTCGCGGAATATTTTATTAGTAATTTCTTAGTCATTGACAGATTTAAGCGCTAAGCTGTACATGTGAACGTCTAAAAGCTTTTCTCACGTACTAGTATTATTCACGTTTAATTATATATCAAACTTTAGAATTGTATTCGCTTGCTACTCTATATAAAATATGTCGCCAGAAGTGCTTAATTTTGTAATGAACTTTTGAAAAACATAAAACAGTTTTATGTTTAATTTTAAAGGACATGCTCTATTAGTTTGAGTCCAGACATAAAGTGTAGTTCACAATAAAAACTAATAAATTTATGCCACCGTAAAAATATTTATGTAGCTGGTGTATCTTATCTAATACATGTGGAAAGTCAATAATAAATATACAATGAACTTTTAAACAATGAGTTGTTATCAGTCTGCAAGAATAGAACATGATTTGAAAATTAGTGAATTTATAATAGGGTACGTTCGAACAAAGGGGAGCTTTCAAACAACAGTTGGTAGTTCTGTTTGCTAAATATCGTATGATATGTCAATTAATTTTTACTTTAATATATGTTAATGACATAATGACATAATGATATTCAGGCTGAGCAATAAAACGAATGTACATTTGAGTTATTGAAGAATAATGATTACGACAACAGTAATAATAATAATAATAGCAAAATTAATATAATTGGTGTTAATCACTCTGCGTTGATCATTACAATCATGATCTGTATTTTTTCTAAAATAATAATAATGACGGTGATGGTGATGATAATAATAATAACTCTGATTTATCGTTATCTTTTGCCAGCGGCACCGGCACTTCTTGTCTTCTCCTTCCAGCACCAAAATTGACAGGCCCGGGTGACTCATCATTACATTAATTACATTTCGCGGTGTTAAATGGCCCCATCAAGCGTCGTTAGCCTTTAAGTGACACTTGTCAGCTTTTCAGTGTCGAAATAACTGATGAAAATGGTCCATAAAATAATGATCGGTTTTATCTTATGAACATTGAATAGATAAATATCAGATCGGAGCGTATAAAAAGCATGAGCTAAAAGTGAAAAGTCTTTGTGATCTCTAGTTTGGGTGTGCTCCATTTAGGTCGCACAGAGCAAGTAAAGTCCGCGGACAATGACCAAGCGTTGTAATAACAGGTTTCGTCTAGTGCGGGTGGATGTAGCTTGGACCATGTTGAAATGCGGTTACAGCGGCCGAGATATTATTACGCTCATCCCTCCGCCTACACCGCTCTCCACCTTTGGCTTTACCTCTCGCGCATAATTATATTCTCCAGTATGAAGGGTTACATTGTTACATAGTTTCTAGCTACTTTTGCTGTCATCCTATTTGATAGTTTTTAGAATGCTTGTAATCTTCATCACTTTATGTTGTTGGTTTTTTTACAAACGTAACTTCTCAGTTCTGTCAAATTTTGATGGTAAACTATAAAATAACTGCGTGTGGTGTACCTACACAATACCCTATAGCCAATGGGTGAAGTAGATATTTTAATGGTCCACAATGAAGTAACTTTATATAAATGTCATATAACTTTACAGTATTTGTTGAAGTATATCATAATTTATAAGGTTCGAAAAAAAGACCATTTTTTCTTTTTCTGTATCTCTAGTATTGTAGATTATTTTTTACGGTATCTTTCTTCAATGCTAGATTCTTTTACATGTATTCGTTACATGTTTCGATGCTTCTAGAAGTTTTTGTTGTTTCTTTTATCCAAGTATGACGCATAATTACACTACAAATTCTAAATAATATAGTATACAGTGCGGCTTTAAAATCACACCCTCTCCTTATCACTTTAGAATAGTTGGAGGTAGTTTTCAAATAAAAAAAATGACGCACTGTTAAGTTGAAATATCAACACGTTATAATGGTGGAAAATAAGGAGGGATTTTAGTTCATATAACATAATTTTATTAGTTTGTACACTACAGTGCATACAATTTAAGATCAGTAACAAGAACTGTGTATATATATAGGTATTCAAAATAAAAAGTGAATCATAATTGAACAAACATAAATTGCAAATATTCATCAGTAGAGTAAAATGTAATATTACCTATAATATCTATAAAAATGATATAGACAATATATCTACTATGCTTGATAAAGATTGGACGGAGTGTTCCCTTGATCCAGTTCCTTCGATGAGTCAACTTTCTTTTGAAGTTGGAAAATGTTTATAACGTAGGTTGAGTTGCCTCAAAGTAAAACACAATACGTAATATTTGAGTGAAACAAAGCGAAATATATTTTTCGCTGAGTGGTATAACTCAAGAATTGCTTAATTTATCTAATCAAACAGACTATTGAAGTGAGCTTTGAATTAAGTTAATTGACTAACCAGTTTAACATGTTAATACGTATTTCTAATAGTTTGACATCAGTTGGACTTCAAGTGCCAGTTAAGGATGAAAACAATGTCTATATTCACTACAAGAGAATTTTTTGTAGTGTCCATCTTATCAGAGTTCAACAAAGTAGTATCATCGGCAAAAAGAACAGTTGTCCGCACTCAGATTTAAGTTGGCCGCAAAGAATCTTTTAAATTAAGCTCCACATTCGCGTAATTCGTGGCACCAGATTTAAAATGTAATTAAGTGTTGTAAACCCCCTAATATATAACTACGCTTGAATTAACGCGTGTATTTTTGCGTTTTATATCTAATATGTAGTATACCGCCTCTGGATGTACCTGAATTAGGAAAACTAACCCTTTTCGTACTGCACGTTGACGGTTAATTGTTCCGACGCGAAGTTCAGGTGCATAACTGAAGATTTGCCGTCTTACCCGCAAAAATTCGCTCGCTGTAAATACATATATCGATTTTGTCGAGGATTAACCAAAATTGTTTATTTTATTTTTTACCACTGATGATTTTTTTAAACTTTAATGTCATGTATAGAATGAAAGAAAGATTTCTGTGACATTCACAATCACTACTAAAGGATTAAAAATCAAGCCTAAAATGTCTTCTTCAGTATTTACTGTAGAAGCAAAACATGAAAACAAAAATTTTCACAAAGCGTGTAGCAGGAGATATAATAAACATTAGGTGGTGGTAACGAAGACACAAGATTAATCAGTTGGATAATTCGAGCCTGGAACTGATCGAGTAAACATTAATTTTCCTTGGCGAGTCATAGTTGAATTCAGGGATTCAGAATACAACTGGAAACTGGAGAAGTGAGTATATATAATTAAGGTTAATAATTAATTTTTCTAATTTACTGCACACCTCTGTAGTGACACTTACTACTACTTCATAAATCGGCGCGTAGATAACATCAGTATGCCTCTTGGATCGTATGTATGCCTACCAATTTGTTGATAATTCCTTTCGGAATGTCTTCTTTTATTTTAAATATTTTTCTGAAGTGTTCCAATAGTAGTTAGCTTAACATGATTTCCAGACCATTAGCCTGAACGATTTGAAAAAAAAAATCATTACTGTGTCTTTCTCTTGCGCATTGATGTCTTTGTATAAGAATAGTGGCGCCCTCTATGAATAATATCTCAAACTCTCACCGTTATCTTTCTGTCGTCATTTACGAAATGCATAGATGAGAAGTATTATTAATATTATTATTGACGAAATATCACCAGGGTATTCAAATTTAGCGATTTATCACGCAATAAAATTGTCTCCACTTTTTTTTTTAAATTGGCTACCTCCGGCGATTTTGATTATTATGTTTTGTTTTGTTTTTTGTTCCAATAATATCCGCGTAAGCTAAGGAGGGAAGTATTGTAATATGGTCCAGGCTTTGGAATTTTAAATGTACTTAAAACCTATTTTGTGCTTATTAAAATCATCATGCAGATGCTCAAATGCTATCCAAAATTTCTTTGTTCATCCTCCTCATCAATTTAATGACGTCATGTCAAAATATTGCTATCTAAATCCTATTTAAATTTTATAAAATAATATACCCCGTGACCCATGACATTCCCATGACTATTAATGATTGTCGAAACCCTGTACTTCAAACTTGTTATTCACGGTCCAATTTTTTTATTCTGAATGCAATTGTAGAAAAAAAAATTGAGGTACAAAATATATCACTCTGAGATCTTGCGCTTTAAAGTTATAATCGTTGGTTATATTGTAAACATGGTAATATGAATATGTAGAAATAGACCCTCTAATTCTATGAACATTTTTGGTATTATGAGTGTTTTTATTAAATAACTGTTTCACTGGATTTTTAAATGTTGCTGTTGGGAACTTTTAATTTTACGAGTTTGGTGCTTTGGGCGACAGCAGAGCACTCTTTTGGAGATTATCGTAACAATAGACGCGCTGAATGTCACATGTCACGTTGACAGCGATGTAAACAAACCAATTTCATGTGGAATCTCACAATACTCATAAAAAAATGCAGCCAGAGTTACCTAAAATATACTGGTATTTAGCTTTGACTCGAATAATCTTAGTTTTAATTCCACAAATCGGTTACATTCACCCAGATGAGTATTTCCAATCCATCGAAGTGCAAGCAGGTAAAAATTTTTAAATTATGACCAAAAATACAAGTACTTGAGTTTTAGGCAGAGTTTTTGCCGTTGAACATAATACACCATGGGAGTTTAATGCCACTTTTCCAGTTCGTAGTATAGCAATACCTCATTTTACAATTGGCTTGGTTTATAAGTTAGCAAATATTTTCGAATACTTTTTTAAGAGTTATTTAACATTTTCGTTAATTACACCATATTTGATAGTTGTTGCTTCTCGTCTTTTAATGTGCGCGTTATCGTTTATAGTTGACTTTACGTTGTATAAGATCTGTACGAATAACAATGAAAAATACAAAAGCAAACTCGTAATATTGGCTAGTTCATATGTTATGATTGTGTATGGTACTCGTACTTTTTCGAATACTGTCGAATTGGTATTGTTCGCATTGTTACAGTATTATGTTTGTGAGAGTTTAACCTTTTCAAATACTCTAATCAAAAAACGGGAATACTTGAATTATAGATATGAGATTAGTAGATCTATTGTTGAAAAAGTGAAGTTCCATAAACTGAGATTATTTTTAACTTCGGATTCGTTACGTAATTGTTTTCAAATAAGCACTATAACTGTAATGGGATTTTTTAATAGGCCAACATTTCTTGCATTTGCACTATTTCCGGTGTTTTTCTGGCTATATAGGGGTATGGGTAACAAATTTACACCTCCAATGAATTACCATTTAAGGATATTAGGCCTAATCGTGTGCTCTATTCCGAGTTTATTATTTAATATTTTATGCGATTCTTTTTATTATGGTTACTTAACGTGGGGTGAAATTGGAGTTTTACATGTCACGATTAATAACTTCGTTTTCACACCACTAAACTTTGTAAAATATAATATAGATGTCAGCAATTTGGCTAAACATGGGTTACATCCACGATTTCTACACATTATTGTAAATATGCCGCTACTTTTTAATATTTTGGCTGTATTTACCTTTGTTGGATTTTGTCAAGCAACCTACAGGTGGGTAACGTTTTTTATTGTTATTCTTATTGTGTCAATTGATTGTTTTTTTCCAGTTTTGTAAGAGGCAGACACCAGTTGTTACCCACTGTAAGGAGTATAAAAGGTCTTATGATGTTATCTTACATCGCACCGTTAGGAATTTTATCGGTTTTTCCTCATCAAGAACCACGATTTTTGATCCCACTTATTATTCCATTAGTTTATCTTCACAGCGCTGATATTTTACCAGATAAAGATAATATTCTGATTAAATTAGAACACACGGTACCTCGAAAAACAAAAACTACTGTGAAAAAAGATTCGAATGTTTATATGAAATTATGGTTAGTGATTAATATAATTCTTGTGATATTTTATGGATTTTTGCACCAAGGAGGTGTATATCAAGTAACTAATTATCTGTCCAAAGATATGAGGACTGAATCTCTGAAAACTGAATACTATATAGTAACCAGTCATGTTTATTCACTTCCCGAAAGTTTGTTTCTACAAAAATCAAGTAACAAATTACATCACACAAAAACTAGTAAATATGCGGTCAATAAGAGGTATTTTCTGCATGAAGAGGGATCTTCAGATTTAGATATACTTGTCAGTAATATTCAGAAAATGTCAAAAAGAATAGAAGATTACAAACATGTCCACAAAAATAAGCGAAAGTATAAATTATTTCTAGTAATTCCAAGTAGTTTGGAAGATCAATTAAATTCTTTAATGAGTAAAGATGCTCATTTTAAGAAAATTAAGTCATTCTATCCTCATATCAGCACAGAAGCTTTTCCTAATCTAGCTCAAGATATAACTTATTTATATACTAATTTTAAATTCGACGATATGTATACTAACATTCTATACTCCATAACTAAGATGATGTCTTCATTTGGTCTTAATTTGTACATGATAGAAAAAGCACCATAATTTAATTAATTAAATTAATTAAAGTAGTTGTTTTATAATGTGGGACTTAAGAAGTATTAATTAAAGATTTTTGTGTGTATATATAGATTTCGTTTCAAATGTTTTGGCTTCCGTCGATATATTATTTCTGAAGACGTTTCTAAATCGTTCTTTCAGGTTTATAATCAAGCAGTTGTGTAGCACTTATTTCAATAAATAAGTGTTGTGATTTTAAATCGACCAGAAGGTTTGAAACAAATTGTATGTAGGTGTAAATAACAACTTTATACTTTTTTATTACATACATATCATTTCATGGCTAATAAAGCCCTCTTCCGAGAACGTGTGAAAAGGGCCATTTTGATTATTGTTGTGTGAAAATAAGTGTCAGGAGCATTTTTTATCATGAAACGTATTTTTGAAATGATTCGAAGCATTTTTAGTTTGGACAATTGATTTAACTAATTTCTGGTGGAATCAAACCTAAAATACTTCCGCCCATTCGAGTATTTTGACTGCTTTTGCTGAATAAATAAAACATAGATATTTTAGCTATTTAATAAACTTGTCTAGCGACGAAGTAAATTAGGTTTGAACGCAGTTCTGTTTACTGTAAAAATTAAAAAATCGCACTGAAAGTTTGTCCAAACAAATGATTAAATCAAGATAAAATTGTTAAGATATCTAGATAAATATCATCAGTATTTTAGTAATATCTGCTCACATTGTTATCAAAAGATTTTGACACAAACAAAGTAGTTTGATTACTAGTGGGGTTATCAGGTGAAAAGTTAATTAATTTTCATGTATAATTCTACAAAGACAATAAAAAAGACGTCCTTGTAAAAAAGCTATTAAACTGTTGGTTCACAACATCAAAGCATAAATTTAATTTTGTTGAAAAATTAATTTTTTTACCGAGTTGGCAGAAATAAATTGCACTGTTTGTGGATTTTCTATGCAAACTTAAAGGTAGCTGTTTAAATCGAAAAGAAACGTCGTAAAATAACTAAGATAAACACAAATATGAGTTAAATTTCTCGTATTCTGCGTGCAATATTTTAATTCGTGGTCCTCACAGATTGCCCATAACACTTTTATTCGAAATTCAGTGTCATAAAACAAAATGTACAATTTATAGGTTGTAAATTTAGTTTTTGAAATAAATATTTTAAAATGGTTTAATTTTAGTGTTTTAATTAATCACCCCACAAACGAGATCTGTTATTTACTTTATCAACAGATTTTACCACACGCCGAACATAAAATAAAATGGCATTGTGATAATATAAGAGTTGTCGACTTGTCGTAAAATAAATTAGAGATATTATTCTCATAAGAAAAGATATATAATGGTTGCAAATTAAACAAGTTTAATGGTACACCGTACAATTTTGGATATTTTATGTACTATTAAAAAAATATCAATCTTCATATTATTTATCACCAAAAAAATTTGTACAGTCAGAATTTGCGTACAATTCTGATGTAAAGGTTGTTTTATCATCCGACCTTGTTGGATTCGTCAATTATTGGATAAACCAGCGACCACTTGAAGTTTGTAACCGATCAACCGATTTTTATCCAGTCAACTTTTCAAATCGTAAAATTGAATGGATTCCGTATTTTGTTTTCTCCCTCTACTAATCGAACGGTAAACTATAAATGCGCGCACGCCCTCTATAAGTCAGTCTGTTTTCAACAAGGCTGTGAATTGTGTGATCGTGTGATTGTGTCTGACTACGAAATCATAATGAAAACGGAAAATGCTGTAAACCCCGATTTAATCGCCGAACGTAAAAAATGCACTTTTAACACTCTGGAATTGACGCATTTATTAGACGGTGGTGCCAAAAAGACAGAAGAGAGACGTAGTAGAGGTACCTATGAACTATGTACCACCAATCAAACTAGTTTGTTTATATCGAAATTGTTGATTGATGAGAATTACATCATGTGTGAGAGAGGAAACCGAGAAGAAAAAAAAAAACATTAGCGATAGTTGAGAGAAATCTGTGTCATTATTATGGCCAAGTTGCCCCACTCTAAAAACCGTGGTTAAACCTAATTTTGTCGATTTTTCATTTTCGGTAATTTGGCGAAGGGTAACTATTTTGAAAATAATAAAAAAAGAATGTTATATTGAGCTAAGTTGTCACTTTTTACTGTTATTTATAAATTAATTTAAAATGCGGGTTTAAAATCAAATTTTAAATTTATTGATAATCGAATTGGACTTTAAAGACTAAAGACATCGCAGTTTAGGTCTGTTGTTGTTTCACTGAAGCTAAATGCTACTTTCTAATGACTCTGTTAATTAAAGAAGAATGTTACTTTAATGTAGGATGCGTACCTGCTGTCACCTACTTAGCAATTTAAATTACTGTCTTTTTACTTCATTTTCATTGTTTTTTATGCCTGTGTGTTTTTTATATTCCAGATTTTTTATACTCTATGTTTCCCATCAGTGTTATTTTTAATTTTTCAGAAAAATTTTTCCTGGAAGACCCACAACTACAATCTAAAGTACCTTTAGAATATTTAAGTCACAAAGAAAAATATGAAGAGGCTGTACGCAAGGCTTGCATTATTTTCCAGAAAGTACAGGAACTTCAAAATGAAGGACGAGGAGGCATGGACAATTTCAGGTATAACATGTTTTTTCTAGTTGTACTTTGTATCTAAATTTTGCTCTTTGCCCCCTGACTTGCTCTGTCATTAACAGTTGTTTTTATAATATAAACTTTATCTCGGCTATATGTCGCAATTTAGAAGATAAACAATAGCAAAATCACTATTGTTATCGTCCTGAATAAAATAATGAATTCTATTTTTGGTGTTATGAAGATATTAAATAACAAGATCACCTTTGTGATTTACACCATGCAATTAGAAATCACAAATCTCGGTTATCGCTGTTTTTATGACAGAGCTTAAAATATTCAACTTTCGTTATCAGTGTTTAACTGCCTTTGAATGCGTCATTTTAAATTAAAAAAAAATATAACGTCATGCAACTTTAAAGACACTGTTTTTAACTTTTAAGCATGACATTGAATTATTTTGGAAAAATGTGGTTACTTTAGTTTTTTTTTTTTTCCATAAATAATCGTGGCTATGGATCAACTTTTTTATGGAGATCAGATGTAATTCTTAGAATTTCATAAAAATTAGATGAGCTGTCATAAATAAATATTTATTTAATAATTTTTGAGATGACGTCATACACTTTTTGGGCACACTGCCACCTTTATCGAAGATTAAATTAATGTTTTAGTGTTACATTTCTTAAAGTCATAAATACATGCGAAAATCGGCATGTGTATGAGTTTCCATTTTTGTAATCATGATTTTTTCCTTTTAGGGAAATACTTGGAGGTCAGTTAGGTTCAGCCATTTTAAAAGATGGCAACCCTTTAACTCTTCATTATGTCATGTTTATCCCCACCTTGATGGGACAGGGTACTTTGGAACAACAAAGCGAATGGATCCAGAAAGCCTGGAATTGTGATATAATAGGAACCTACGCACAAGTACGTCTTGTACTGTCATTTTCTTAATCTAAATTCGTATGGTTACAGACCGAGTTAGGTCACGGAACTTTCATTAGAGGCCTTGAAACGACAGCAACGTATGATCCTGCAAAACAAGAATTTGTTTTACACAGTCCAACTTTGACATCATATAAGTGGTGGCCTGGAGGATGTTAGTAAAAAAAAGAAACAAAAAGCGGTGCATTAATTTTTTTATTTTAGTGGGACATTCTGCTAATTATGCTGTTGTTCTTGCACAACTATACACACAAGGTAAATGCCACGGTATTCATCCGTTTGTAGTTCAATTGAGAGACGAAGAAACCCATCAGCCGCTTCCTGGTATTAAAATCGGCGAAATCGGTTGTAAACTTGGTATGAATAGTACCAATAATGGTTACCTCGGCTTTGATCGCGTCCGTATTCCTAGAACAAACTTGCTGATGAAAAATAATCAAGTTTTAGAAGTATGTGTGTCTTTTTTTTAAATCGCCTGCGTAATAACACTAAATTTTAGGATGGCACATACAAAAAATCTCCTAGTAGTAAATTAACGTACGGAACTATGATTTTTGTACGAGTAGTTATAGTACAAGACGCTGCCCATTACTTGCGAAAGGCCGTTACTATAGCCACAAGATACAGTGCCGTAAGACACCAATCAGAAATCAAACCAAAGTAAGCTGCTCTCGTATTCGGAATAATATTGCCTCAACAAATATCTTTCAGTACTGGAGAACCACAAATCATCGATTTCGTAACCCAACAGTATAAGTTATTCCCACATATAGCTACGTACTTTGCTTTCCAATACAGCGCCACCTGGTTGTGGGACGTTTATAATAACGTAACCACCGAATTAGAAGCTGGACAGTTGGAAAGCTTGCCTGAAGTAAGTACTTGATTTTGCTTCTTTACGTATCCAATGGTATTTTTTTTATAGCTTCATGCTATAGCGTGCTGCTTGAAAGCCGTAAGTAGTGCTGATGCCGCCCAAGGTGTAGAAATTTGTCGTTTGGCCTGCGGTGGCCATGGTTACATGACGTCATCCAACTTGCCTTCAACTTACGGGCTAGTAACTGCAATGTGTACATATGAGGGTGAAAACACAGTCCTTCTGCTGCAAACTGCGAGGTTTTTGATAAAGATGTGGCAAAACCGTAACAAACTGGAAAAACTTTCTACCGTCAAGTACTTAGGAAATGATTTGAATAAGAATAGACCGTTTGAGAGGTCGGTTGATTGGATTATACACGCCCTGCAACAAACAGCAGCTAGAAAAATTGAATTAGCTAATCGTCACATCAACGAAAGAGTCCGAAACGGGAAGGTGTACGAAGACGCATGGAATGAATCCTCCATTGAATTAGTAGCAGCTGCGGAGGCACATTGCAGGGCGTTTATTGTAGAAACCTTCCGAAACACGGTTAATGGATTAGAGGTTTCCACGGAATTGAAAATCGTTCTTGTGCAACTGTTGAATTTATATGCTGTATATACTGCACTTAGATTGACTGGAGATCTCCTAAGGGTAATACAGATGGCGCTGACGTTAATATATATATTTGAATTTTTTTTTTCTAGTTCACAAGTATTACCGGAAACGATGTGGATACTCTCCAAGGATGGCTAGAAGAACTCCTTGCACTGATACGTCCAAATGCCGTGAGTATCGTCGATAGTTTTGACATAAGGGATGAAGTTTTGGGTTCGACGCTCGGAGCGTCTGACGGAAGAGTATACGAAAGATTGTTTGAAGAAGCTTCAAAAAGTCCATTAAATTCCGAGCCAGTTAACAAGTCGTTTAAATTATATTTGAAGCCGTTTTTGAAAGCCAGTTTATAAATAGTCATTTGTAAGGTTAGGTTAAGGTGGAACAAGGGACCAGTAGTTTTACATTGTAAACTTACAGTAAAGTGACAACGAATTTACATATAATTAGTAGTTTTGAGTAAGATGATGAAAATACTCTTATCTAATTATTTTTTCAAAAAATGATTAGCTTCAAGCAACTTCTGTCCAAGTATAAGTATTGTACATTATAGTTTGAGTCGTTGTTACGCTTTTATATCTTTTTGAGTTCGCGTCTGTTGTTTTATTTTCTTTTTGATTGTTATGCATTCCATAGAGCTTTTAAATATTTGTTATGTTAATAAATTTTTAAATTAGTTCACTGTTTTTCATTTAATTGGAGCAGGTACTACTTATGTGTAGTTATGCAAAGTTGGCACGCATGATTCTGTCGTGTTAGCCAGCCACCCACGATCAATTCTCACAAATTTTTGCCCAATTTATATTAGTCGATCTTCTGAGTCTTTATTCTATACTAGTTGACTTGCACGACCTTAAGTGCATGTGAGAATTATGTGCGGATCTTCGTAGTAAATACATACCAGGATATTTTTTTAAGTTTGAATATATCGCAAATGTCCCCATATTCAGTTTTAAAAAAACATATCAAAAATACATACGTAATTCTAATTTTATAGAACAAGAAATTCCAAACTAGACGGTAAATAGTCGTTAAAGCAGACATATTTTTCATAAAATATTTAACTTCTTTTCTTCAGCGAAAACGTCATTTAGATTTTTTTATCAAGTAGGTTGACGTTACATTGGTTGCATACTTCCAATGCATTGATCTGTGTCTAAATAAACATGGAATAGAACTAAACATGAGGTATGTTCAAATCAGAGCAAAAAAAAAAATGTTGCGGTGTAGAAGAATTATGCAAATTCAAGTGTCCGTAAGTGGTTGTATCAAGTAGGCCTTGACTTTTGCCACGTCACCACATCATGAATTTATTGATATACGTCAAAGCTGCGGATGTCAATTTATATTTTGTAAGAAATGTCACAAGTAATGATAAGCGGTAAAACCGGAAATTGTACTTTGTACATTTCGTCACAAAAAAATATCAGTTTTTGACACTTCAGATATAATTTGATCTCCGTGGGTAACGAGACTCGTGCGGAAGATCACATGGCGACATGAAAATCAATCAACAATTTCTCTGTCACTTATTCGCAGTAGTAGAAATGTGCCTATAGATATATCGCTTTCGCTGTCATTCGACGGCATACCAAAACTGAACCAATTATAAAACCTTGTTATCGTTATCACAAACATATGTATGTCGGGTTGCTTGCCTCGATGAATATGTTATTACAACATAGACTACTTTGGATAACAACAGCAAAGATAACAGCAACATAAAAATGTTTCATTCACTGAAGCAACGTTCGAAACAAATCAATTATAGTGCAGGTTTCTGTAATATCAAATACCACGTTATCAATATATCGAGTTTACTTGGTCTCATCCTTATCGCCGATCAGCGGTCAATGTGAAGCTACTTAAAAGTGATGATTGTAGATTGTTGACAATTTAGTTGTGTGATAATCATATGGGGGCTGATATATGAGTGAAATTTGTGAAAGTAAACTGAATAAAATATACGAAATCTTGTGTCTAGCGCCAAAACCAATGTGCTTATCAACTGCTAAAGGGGAAACCCGAACAATTTGAAATGGTAAGAGAAGAATTTCGCAATTAAATTCGTACTAATTTTTTATTTGTATCTTATAAAAAAATATTTTGTTGTCTTGTATTTTACTTTCTGTTATTGAAAGAAGCAGTGAAGGTAATATACCTGCCGTATTGTGTTGCTTCTAGCTTATCGTAAAACGTGATAATATGAATAGGGTATAAACACGTTAAGATAACGAAAACAGGAATAATTTCTTTATCTCAAAATTTTATTGATGCGCTGTATATTTTAATATTTTTATTCATACGTTTGAAATAGAACTTATTAAATAGATGAAAAAAATGGCATACCGTGCGGAATTTGAAAATATAAAAAATCGGACTTTCATTTCGATTCAAAAGAATTATTTCTTGTTATTTAGTTCTTTCAGTACAAATATTGATAGTTGTATTATACAATTAGTATTTTTAAATGTATTTTTATCGCAATTTAAATATATTTTATAAGACATTTAAAAACAAAGTCGAGTTGTTATCTTTATGCCTAGGCGACAGTGGAGGTCTTTCGAATGAGTTTCATACAATGGCGCCATTACTTTAAAACAAGGCGAGGTCGTCATTGAAACTATAGTTTTTTTAATTGCACATTTGAGAAATCTTTACAACGTAAGTATTAACAGTAACAATTTTATTAGTAAATGCAGCCATTAATGTCAAAATACACGACTACAGTGCGACATTTCCTCGGTCACTTTTAGAAACAATCTAAATAAAAATACTTGATGTTATAATAACTTATTTGGTAATAACCGCATGCTACTTTGTAAAAAATGTTATGCTTCACCGACACACGCTCCCATTATGTAACATCAAAACTTGTCTCGCCACATAACTATAAACACAATATTGCAGTAATGATCATCTGATATCTGCTGACGTCTAAAGTAGTACTAAACTTTAAAAAATATAGTATAATTATCATGTCTCCAAATTTATTTTAACAACCAGAAATATCCGCCACCCGTCCGGCTAACACTGTATTGTTATTGTTTTTCGTTCTATTTTCAACGCATCCGCCATTTTGCATCGATCGTAAAGTTAAGTGTCAAATTTGATAAGTATAGGTCACTGTCCCTCATATTTATCTGGTATGTGAAACAATTAATTGGCAGTGTTGTGTGAAATTGTCCTTTTAATAATTTATTTAGTATATCGCAATTCTTCATCTTGACATGATCGAAGAAGTGCCAGTTCGACGTTTGAATCGTAGAACACGTGGTGAGCGGAACAAACGGCGCGAAAGATACTTTATTTTTAACGATTCTTACAATTATGAGACTGAAAGTGATGTTTTGACTGATGAGGTTTCACCACCACCCACGCCGCCTTCATCCGATAACAATAATTTAATCAAAAACAATAAAAAAGTCTCCGCCATGGGACACCCCAAAACGGTAAGTCGCTAGATTAGAAAACGACATCTAGCGGCGGGTATATTTCAGGAGCCCATCTTAATACGAGATTGATGATCGTTTAAGGTGGTGGCCAAAGTTTCTTGTATTATTTCATTGCCGTTAGATAGCTTTGACAGCAGTCGTCCAAAGAGGAAAAAAAATTTTGATCCTAGAGTGTCATGATATAATAACACTTTTTTAATAACATATGAAAGTTAATAGTTGTACAAGTACAACTATATGGACTACAGTTTTTTTAAATTATTTTGGAACTAATTGTTTTCTCTATCGTGTAAGACAATCTTAAAAAATTTAAAAATAAAAACACACGGTGTTTGAGTTGGCACCGAAAAAGTAATATTGTATTTAATATCTTACCATTTCATCAAGTGAATACAGGGAGAAAATGCAGAATGGAAAAGTCATAAATTAGCCCTATTTTGCTATTCTACGTAACTCATTCGTGTCTGATATTTATTAAAATAACAATAGAAATAGTACCGCTAATAACATATCTTGAATAAAAATATATTTTTTCTCAAAACTTACTTTTGTGTTTCGAATAAGTAATTTGACGTTATGAGTTTAGAATTTCTAATCAGTATAAAACCTCTGGAAGCCATTAAAATAATGTCACCGACACCATTTCAAGTATAAGGGCTCGGAAGCCATATCCAACTAAATAAAAGTTATTATTAGTTGCAGAATCAGCGTTACACATTACTATTTAGAAAATTACTAAAATAATTAAAAATACAAATGACTATTATGATGATGATGATAATAATAATAATAGTATCAATGACACTAAAGTTTTTATTGGATTTATTGATAGTGAGTACAAAATTCTTCTTTATAATTCAACTGATGCAGTAATGCAGATCCAGATCCGCCCCAACCACTCCATTATCTGGAGATATCAGAACAAAAAACATACAAAAAAGCATATATATTGGTGCGGCGGATTAGACAAATTTTGGTTAGCATTTAACCATCTACATGCATAATATTTCTAATATATGTACAAAATTTGACAACAATCGGTCCAGTACTTTCGGAGATTACGTCTTTAATAAAAATAGATACAGACACCAGACAAACAGACAGATGGATAGACAGACGGAATCAGGCGACTACTTTTTCCGTACTGTAGGGGTCATGAAACGTCGGGAAACATAAAAGTGGCCATTCGTTCGATGGACTCGATTAGTTCCTTAGTTCACGCTCGGGAAGTAAAAAATACATCCGTTTTATCATTTCTCTAAATATCTTGAATATTAACAGTATTTATTAGCCTTTTCATTGAATGTCCCATTATGTAATACCAAAACTTGTCTCGTCACATAATTATAAACAAAATATAGTATAATTATCAGGTCTCCAAATTTATTTTAGCAACCAGAAATATCCGCTACCCTCATTCGGGAGTTCATACTTTGAAAAACTTTATCAAGCAGAGAAGCAGATAAAAAAGTGCCTCGCATTATAAGTTTCTGCAATGATTGCCTGTCGTGGAAAACCCAATTTTTATTTATCTTGTTTCAATGAATGTCATAAGATAAGTAACTTCAAAATTTTCAAAGGATATATATTGATATTTTGATTATCTTGTTATCTATTTACAATTATATTTTAGTCAGGTAATTTTTTAGGCTTCGAGGGTTTTCTGGGCCCGTCGCGATCCGCATAACTCATGCAGTATACTACATACTAGAAGAAACACATACATACTAGAAGACCCATAGACGTCGTACCGGGGCGGCGTATGGGTTTATTTCGTAACAGTATAAACACAGATAAACGTTTTTTTAATACAAATTTTGCTTAGATATAGATTGAGATATAGATTTTTGTATCGTTTTTCATAATGCATCGTTGAAAATAAGAAACATTTTCTCGAAAATTTAGTAAAATAATGTCTTCAAAATTGAATGTGTGGACTGATTTAGAAAATGCAGAATGGAAAAGTCATAAATAAGCTGTATTTTGCTTTCTGAGTAACTACTAATAGAAATAGTAATAATAAGAACATATCTTAAATAAAAAAAAAAACATATATTTTTCCTCAAAACTCACTCTTGTGTTTCGAGTAAGTAACTTGACGTTTTATGAGTTTCGAATGTCTAATCTATGAAAACCTCTCTCTGGAAGCCGTTGAAATCATGTCACCGATATAATAAGGACTCGGAAGCCATATCTAGCTAAATAAAAGTTATTAATTATTATTGACTGCACAATCACCATTACACATTACCACATAGTAGCTAAATTACTAAAATAATTGAAAATACAAATGACGATGATGATGATGATGATGATGATAGTAATAATAATAGTAACAATGACATTGAAGTTCAAAAAATAGCGCCTCCTGCGTAACGACAATGCCGGATTTATTGCTATCGATTATGAAATTAATATCTTCTTTACAATTCAATTAAATTTGTGTTGTTTGCATTGCAAACCTTCCCCTTGTAATGCAGATCCAGATCCGCCCCCACCACTCCTTTATTTAACTTCACCTCCACTCGATTATCAGTCCAACACCTGCTTTTTACCTCGAGATGTCTTAAATCGGTAAAAATGAAAAGCGACGCGCCGTCAGAACAAAAAACGATAGTGAAGGTGGGGCATATCGAAAAACGAAGGAAAAAAATTGTGGTGCCTCCACAATATCTTAAAATGTCGGACAATACACACCATAAGCTCTTCGTTGAGAAACTAAAATCTAGGCCATTTACACCAGCTCGAAGTCCTAGAGGGGCGCAAATTCATTTATCTTTGCCGGAGACCTCCAGTAGTGCCTTTGGACGAGTGACTCCGGAAGGTGACGGTAGTTTCATATTTCCTAAGTCGGTGTCGGAAATAGACCTGTGGAGAAGTGGAGAAAAAACGGACTTATTGGTGAGTCAAAAACGGGTGGTTCTCCGAAGGATACTATCTTTTGAAAGTCTGAAAGATATGCCTGCTTATGGGGACGTTATCGTTGACAAGTTCGCAGAGGAAGGACCGGTAATGATAGCTAGAACTAGATTGTCACAAGTCACATTTCAGACGAATAACATGAAAAGCGTGTAATGTGTGCTACCTGCTTTTTTGTTTACTTATGACTTTACTAATGACAGTGTGATAAGATTATGTGGTGACGGCTGCAGCACTTGTTCCCTTTAATTTTTTCTACTTCTGTTTCTGACAGTTTTCATCACCTAGTACCTTCATTATGCTTACCATTCGCAGTTTTCGAAAAAGGAAACATTTAAATCATCCTATTTTTTCGTAACATTATTCGTAACTCAAATTGACTTCATCACAATTAGTTTATAATGATAAAGGCGAAAAACTCATTTTTTTGACTACGAAATTTAAAATATTTTATGTTATACTTAGATCTGCGCATCAGTGTTTTGCATTTTCATATTCTGTCAAAATTTTTATTATTTCGTCGGAATATACTGACATGTTTTGAACAGATAATATCTACACTGGCTCACAGTGTTATATGTTGTTTCGCGTAACACTTCAGATACAATCACGATCAAATATTTCGGGAAATTCTTCCACAATAAATAACACACCTTTTTTGGTTATCTCTATGTCCACGTAAAATTAAATAAAAAACTTTGTTTACCCCCAAATCGACACTCAAATTGACGGAATATTCAACATCTTCCAGACTAGTAACGTACTTAAAAATTCTCATAGAAGAGGAAAATTTTTGTCATTAATAATTTCTAAATGCACTTATAATATCATACATACATAAAAGTGTTTACAGCAAAAATTAGTGTTATCATTTAATATTCAGTCTGCATGAAAGCAAATAGACCGTATCAAGTAAATAAAAATGTTAGTAATTAATACGATAGGGAATTTGATAGCCTCCAACAAGGACATTGATAGCTAATGAAACAAATACTTATAAAACCGAGAAACTTTCTTGTCTACAAAAATATGTCTTTCATGTTTCTGACTTTAATAGTAAATAACATGATAATTACTACAAATACTGTTATTTTTATAATATATAATAGGAGTTAGACGATAAGTTCAGTCTTCTTGATAAGTTTTTTTTTGTAGTCCTATGCAAGTAAGAACAGTGAAAAAAAGGACCACTTGTACAAAATCTTGGTAATTGGAGATCTAGGAGCTGGAAAAACTTCAATAATCAAACGTTATGTGCACCGTTTTTTCACACAACACTACCGAGCAACAATTGGAGTAGATTTTGCTTTGAAAGTACTAAACTGGGATGAAAATACTCTTATAAGGCTACAGCTATGGGATATAGCAGGTAAAATACTACCTACATGTTCAGAAAAAAAAAAATGAAATTTATCTTTCAGGCCAGGAGCGTTATGGCAACATGACCAGAGTCTACTACAAAGAAGCAGTTGGAGCCTTCATTGTATTTGATGTTACTAGAGTTAACACCTTCGAATCAGTCGCAAAATGGAAATCAGACTTAGACTCCAAAGTCCAGCTATCAGATGGATCGCCTATTCCATGCGTTCTACTTGCTAATAAGGTTAGTGAAAAATTTTGCAATTTTTGACTACGATTAAAATTTGTCTACAGTGTGATCAACCGAAAGAAGGTCTAATTAACAACTCGCATAAAATGGAGGAATATTGTAAGGAGAATAGCTTTACCGCTTGGTTTGAAACGTCAGCCAAAGACAACATAAATATAGATGAAGCGGCAAAGGCTTTGGTCACTAAGGTAGGAGCTTTGCAGTGAAAATCACGATCAGACTATTCTTGTTTCAGATTCTAGAAAACGATACCCTGCTTAATGCCGAGTCATCCAAAGATGAAGGTAAATTTTCAATCTCCAAGGAGACGAATGCTCAAAAAAATGGCAAAATGTGTTCTTGCTGACTGTTTATTCTTGTTTTATGCGTTGTCTATTGTAATAGACAACGCATAAAATAATAATTGAAAAATTTTAAATAACTATAAAAATATATTTTAGTAGTTATTTTACATTTTTATAGCTATTTTAAATTTTTCTGTTGTTATTTTATGCGTTGTCTATTATATGTTAAATTAAACATTTTTTACTTAACAGGAAGCACTTTCTAAAAAATAAAATAGAAAAATTTTAAATAACGATAAAAATATATTTTTACAGTTATTTCAAATTTTTCTAAAAAGTGCTTCCTGTTACGTAAAAAATGTTTAAAAATATATTTTTATAGTTATTTTAAATTTTTCTATTTTATTTTCTAGAAAGTGCTTCCTGTTATGTAAAAAATGTTTAATCATCGTTTTGTTTACTAAGTATATGTATCATTGTCATAGTTTTTAACCAGGTTTGTCGTAAGATCATAATAATAAAAACACCAGTATTTGTCATTTATAAATATTTTCTGAACTGTCTACAATTGTTCCAGTTTTAAATACACTGCATTTTTTAAAAACATTGTTTTATTTCAAGTAAAAACTAAAATTTTCAAAAATTTCGAGCTGTTGCATTTCCTACATATAGGTACACAAAACAAAAAATTATCGTTCGTGTTTTTCTTGTACCGATAAGTATAAGATTTGATTCTTTTGAACCCTGATGGTGTGTTTACTTGACCCAAAACTGTGCGACTGTGATACTTACATAAATATTTAAGCACCTAATCCAAAAAATCATTTAACTGATAAGACAGCAGACGAGCACAGTTTACTAGTGAGAATATGGTACGTAACTTTAAAAATAACTCAACTCATTTAATAAAATATCTTAGTTTTCTTTCACTTGGCAAGACATAAATGTCACGGTTTTCGAAAAAACAAAAACTTTTTGGAAGACGACAACAAGGAATAAGACAATTTTAGACAATGGTAAGCAGTTTTTAATCTTGGGAAAATCTAAAAAGAGACTTTTAGTTTCTGGAAGCTCTAGAAGTAACTCACTTTTTGCAATTATGGGAAGTAGGTAAGTTTTTGAAAATTTAAATTTCGGAGAAGTTATAGTGTTATCACAGTGGAAGTGGGAAAACCACACTATTACGCGCTATCTCAGGACGATGCCGCCAAAAAACTGGGCTTCTACAAGTTAACGACAATTTTATTAGCGATGACGACATACGGGATATCTCAGGTTATGTTCCCCAACAGGACATTTTCGTGGAACACTTGACTGTTTTAGAACATTTGGAATTCATGGTGTGTTAACTTCGTCTCTTTCTCTATATCTCCATGTCCCTCGAATAATTACAGGCCGCTTTACAAAGAAAAACCAGAAGCAGAAAGAAACATCAGTCGATAATCAAACAACTGCTTTCAGAACTCAGTTTAGAACGTCAAAATTGTACACTGATCAAAAATTTATCTGGGGGTGAAAAACGTAGATTATCACTAGCGAGCGAGGTAAAAAAAAACGGTTTCTGAAAACTTTCATAATCTTTACATTTGTAGCTTATCAGCAACCCTTTCATTTTGTTTTGCGATGAACCCACCACGGGGTTAGATAGTTACAATTCGGTTGTGGTCGTAGAAAAACTACAAACTATAGCACTGTCTGGGAAAATAGTTATAATAACAATACACCAACCGTCATCTCAATTGTTTCATTATTTCAATAACATTACGCTTCTTGCTGAAGGGAAACTGGTTTTTCAAGGTACCACAGAAGAAGCAAAGTCATTTTTTGAAAGGTAGTTGCTTATCTAAACGAAATGAATCACGTTTAAACGTCGTCTCTTAGTCTGTCGACTTTCCGACGTGCAAAAACTAAATATTGTTATTCTTAAATTGTTAACTGAAATTAGACATTCATTTAAGTTACGTTCAGTTTTTATTCTTGAGAGGTTAGATTTTGATTAGGTCCATTTAAGTTCTTCAAATGAGCACCAGTTGAGGGTGTATCTAAAAATTTTGCGCTGAGTGTAGTTAGAATAATAATATGCTTCCGTAGCATGGATTTATTTTATCCTGAAAACTACAATCCAGCAGATTTTTACATTCGATGTCTCACGGGCGAAAATGTTCAAGAAATGTGCAAAATGTTCATACAATGGAAGACTAGTCAATCTACAATATACTGTTCACACTGCAACCATGTAGATAACATATTGCTAGACAAACAAAACAAAAATAATTTCTTCCACGAGCTTAAATGGTTAATGTGGAGAAATTACCTATCAATTAAAAGAAATAAATGGGCACATTTAGGAACTTATTTTGTGGTTCTGGTAAATGTGTCTTGTAACATCATAAACTTTGATTTGATATTTTGTGTTTTAGATCGAACTTGTTATGGTATCATTCTTCTACTCAAAAATTTCGTTCACTGACCGAGAAAGTGCTCAGAACATCGAAGGGTTTATAGCATTTATAGGATCAGAATTTACATTCACTAACATGTATTCAGTTATAAATGTATTTCCAAGTGAAGTTGAAGTTTTTATACGAGAAAAAACTCTATATTCTAGTTGTGCATACTTCATATCAAAAATTTTGTCAGTGGTAAGAATACAAAAGGGTTTAAAGGTGGTAAACTGTTCTGTGATGTAACATCTGTAATTTTAATTTAAAAACAGATTTTACAGTAAAACAGAAATCGGTATAAATTGTAGATACCCTTGTCGCTACTGAGCACGATGTTGTATATGACGATCTTATTTACAATAATCAAGTTTCTAAATGGTTTCTACCTATGGGTTCAAATGACGTATTTGACGTTTTTAGTAAGCATGGCGGCTTCAGCTTTGGGTATACTACGACAACTAGAGTCGACGGAATGTAAAATTAATTTTTTTTGTAGGTTTAGCGTTTTCGGCAACTTTTTCCACAGTCGACCATATCGACTTATACTTAGGACCTCTGGAGTTTCTGCTTCTTTTACTTTCAGGTCTAATGGTTAAATTAGATGTTATACCGGTCGCTTTAAGGTGGTTGAAATATCTTTCACCGTTTTATTACGCTTTCGATTCACTATCTAACCTATTGTGGAAAGACGTTACTAACATTGGTAAGAATTTTGCATGAAATAAATTTTATATATAACCCAACCATGATTAATATAACATCCTTAACTTCTTGGTAATCACATATTTCACGAAATCAGAACATCCTGTATTTTAATTAAAGAGATGATGGTACATTCAAGGTTTATTTTCAGGTAATTGTGCAGGAAATGAAACCATTCCTTGTTACAGTAATGGAACCGAAGTTTTACGTAATTATGGTATTTATAAAAGTTTTAACACTGTAACCTACGATATTTTGTATTTACATTTGCTTGCAACTGCGTTATGTTTAATAGGATTTGGAGGCATAGTAAGGAAGAAAATTTTGTATAATATTTAGCTGTATAATAAATAAATCATATATATGTATGTATGTATATTTTTTTTGTTAATAATAAGTCATGTTGGTGATTGTACATTTCCAAATTAAGAAAAAAAAAGTACAACAAACAAACTATACGAAAATCGAAATTAATCAAAATTTTCGTACAACACGTAGTAAATGTGTTCGACAAACTCCGGATAGTGGTAATTAAAATAACAATACCATTCACTGGTTGAATGCTCTTTATGGGCAATAACTCGACTAGTAATTACTGAATGAAAACAGTCATAAAGATAACAAAATAGATAAAAATGTGGAAATAGTGTAGCTACTTTTATTAGGTGTGTGACTAAACCTCAAATTATCCACTGCATACAGTTATACTTTTTTTGTTGTGAAGGGGTCAAAAACACCTCAGTTCTGGTTTACTAACTTTGAATGAACGATTTATGTATGTATACCACAACCATGGCTATTTTTATCAGTCTGTATTGTTTTTCGGAACTTGAAATATAATACTACACCTACCAGTCTTCATCATAAAGAATGAAAAATTTAGGTGGTTTTACCAAGTACATGTCGTGACAAATTTTTCCTTTATTTTTAAACCTGACATTTTTAAGAGTATATTCATAATTATGAATAGTAGGTAGTTACTTCTTGTTTATAATTAACAAATGGTTATTAAATCTGAGAATTTTGGTGACTAAAAGGCTTTAAATGTTTACATTCATAAACATGTCGTTAGCAGTATGACCTCATGAAATCTACGTCTACAGATTTCCAAACGGATCTTCCAGTCCGATTTATAAGTGCCACGGGTAAAGGCCATTACAAGAATCCAACTGCAATTGGCTTTTACCACCACCCAAAATGCGTACAGAATTAAAATGAATAATAAAACACATTCATATGGAGTACAAAGTAACGTGAAATTTAACTATAAAAATGTTCAATTATTTAAGAGCAATTTGCATGTATCATGTATTTATAGGTACTGTACGTGACAATTACCTTTTTTTCGCCAAGATACCCACTTCTCAAAATTATGACCAATGTGATCTTAGAATTCGGCACGTGTATTAAACAATTGACTGAATTCATTCAAAGTATACTATTTGAAATACCTATTTGTAATTCATTTCAGAGATATGATATAAGGTGTAAACCATGAATCAGCGCAATGAATTATTAGTTTTTAAATGAAATCGTGATCTTTTTTACTTTCCGAGCGTAAGCTAGTTTTTTTTTTGTGAAGGACATTAGGCGTACATACTTTTGTAATTAGTTAATAGTATTATTAACGTTTTATTATCTGCAAAAAAATACATTGTTATTTTTTAAATGAAAAAGGGCCAAATAATAATGATAATGATGATGATAGTGCATTTTAGTATCTATTGATCAAATAAATATAAGTCTAATAAGTAATAACAAAACAAATATTATGGTACAAAAAATTATTGAAGCTTACTTAACTAATTACATGCAGCTTAATTAAATTAATTTATAAAAAATGCGTCAACAACAAATATGGATGTTTCAGTTTTTTCAAATAGAACAACTCACATTTTATTGGTATATATTATTCTATTTTTTTGTTCTCTTTCTTTTTTGCTATTTAAAGTTGATAGTTACTGCGATTTTTTACTTTTTTAAGAGACACATTAGAAGAATGAGGACAAAAAATATAGTAAAATACAGTCATAAAATAGAATTTTTTATAAACACTCTGTCTATCAAAATTTTAATTATTTGATAACGACAACAAAGACTTTTTCAAGAAAATTGGAATAACGTGGAACCGTCGCATCCAAAAGTAAACAAAAAATATACAGGTGGATTCATTTAGAAAAACTAAATTATGTAGTACACTTTAAAAACAGAACACTATATAGTTAAAAATAATTTTAGACTAACATAGTCCTCAAAGATTTTTTTTTATCTCTACTAATTAATGAGATACACTTAGTGACTCACTCTGTATATAAATGAGAAATCTATAGTAGCCATGGGCGCCGGCAGGGGGGTGCAAGGGGGTGCATTTGCACCCCCCTGGCTTAGTATAAAATACACACTTTAATTTAAATCCAAATTGCAATCTTCTAGGAAGTGGATAATAGTTTTTGAAATGGCTTCCGCATTCAGTTCTTGCAGCGGCACATATCCTAAAAATGCTTCGCAAATTATTGGATTTTGATTGTCTTGATCACAACGCAAATACGGAACTCCAATCGATAATTGTTCTGTGCCACTAATATTAGCAGTCTCATCAGCCAACACTTAAAAAACGGATGCCTGACTCATGTCCTCAATTATTTTGCCCTTCAGACTTCAGAACATCAGAACAAATTTCAGTCAATTCATTTTGAATTTGATGCGATATATACAAAGAGTTTCTTGCTCTTGACTCTAAATAATTTTTTAAAATTTCATCCCCAGATTCAATTCGAAACTGGAGCAAAGATACTATATCCTACAATGTATGGGTGCACCCCCTTGCACATAATCCTGCCGGCGCCCATGATAGTAGCCAACTAGAAAAGCGTATTGTCAAAACTCTGCCAGATGTGCGCATGCATCAAAGTTAACTGAATAAAAATTATAAGGAAAAGATTGTTTCATTGGACAGCTCGTATCAATTTCAACTTCCTTGCTGTCTTTATTAAGAGCGATTTTACTCCTGTAATAGGTGGGTATGTCAACTCATGGGACAAAAACCGGTATTTAAATAACCCAACTAAAAACACTAATTAAATCAGGTTCTAACGACGAAATACATCAACATACCAATACTAACAGATAATATGTTTGTTAAATTTTATTAATATATATAAATATTGCTCAGTTTTTTTATGCAGGTACTTTTTTCCAAAGCAACAATTTTGTGAAAACTAGTTTTTGCGGGGCTTCTAATTATCATGAAATCCAACCGTGCATAAATCTCTCTAAAAATAAACATTTTGTATAAAAGCTTGATTTTACGGTTTCTCAATTTAAATGTCACGTACAGGTTAATCTTTTAAAATAAATACAAATAAATGACTTTTTTGTGCACACTGTGTTATTTTTGGAAATCCCAATAGGTAATAATGAGCATGTTGATCATTTAATATAAAGTTTTAAGTTAAACTTTTTTTAAAAGGACGAATACTTTTTAATAATACTTTTGAGATTACGTCATTATCTTTTAGAACAGGATGAATACATAATTTTTGTCAACAAATCTAAAACTCGATTACACAAATACTAATGTGTTAATTTAATTTTCGTAGTACTGACGCTTTTTGGATTTTCAGAAAATTTTAATACATTATTAAACCATATATAAAAGAACATGTTACAATATAAATTTCAAGCCAAATTTACTCAACTTAATTTTGAGATGACGTCGTTAAATTTTTGGTACTAAAATTTGACAGTAAACAGTCTGATAGTTTTGGAGATTATAACGTTTCATGAGAAATTCAAACTGCGTTTTAGACGTACTCTACGCACTAACACCCGAAAATTTCCCAGCATGTGGACTACGATAAGTTAATTATTTTAAATAGTAGTTAAGGCAGCAAGAACCGATCATAAATGTCAAAACAACACCGCCTGTAATTCTCGAGACATAATTATGTTTTAATAACCTTTGAAAACAACTAATGGTTTATTGTGATTAAAAAAAACCTTTTGCGTTAATATCACTTAACTCATGGGAAAACTAAAATATTGACAACTTTTTTGAATAGTATCACTCATATTAATCGGAATCGAAGGTAACGGAGGTCCAGCGATGATACTCGAAAGTCCCAACGAATGACGCTAGTTCGTAAAAGTGGATTTACGTGTAGGTAAACCGCGTTTGAATGTTGACCGCTTTGCATTATATAATCACATCGATAATTCTATAAATATAGTATCGATTAGTGAGTGCAGCGGCAATTACAAATGATATCCGTCTCGCTCGTAAAAAAAAAACATCCAACAATTCAGTCTCCTCTGGTTTTTCCAAGGAATATTAGTGTGTGATTGTGTCTCAGATGTTTGCGTATGAGAACATAAATATTACTATAATAAAATTACAAGCTATAAAGGCAAGAAAGTTTCCCCAGTGAGTGCAGATAAGGTCAGGAGCAGTTGAAGACTAAATTTCTTCGCAATTCTAGTTTAGCGCAAATTACCGCGTCGCGAGCAAATTGTTGTTGCGAACAGTGATTTTTGTACACTTGTGCGGGCAACACACACTGCGACACACTGCGAAATGGTTTTAAAGAGAAAGTGTAAGAGTTTGTCATACTTAATTTAATCACCTATTGTGTATACCCACCTTGAATGTTATCTTGCACCAAACTAAAACAAAAAATTTCGTTGTGCCTCTAATGTAATCTTCTATTTTAGTATTTTTCCTTCTATTAACGTTGGTCTGTGCCAAGAGCCAAACCATCAGCGATTCACTCAACGCGTTTACAATCGATTTACTAGCGGTGAGTTTAAGGTAACCTTGTTTATTTCTTTAATTACTTGTTTGTTCTGAAATGTAGGCAACGAGTCGAGAAAATGGAAGTCCAAGGAATTTGGCTCTGTCACCATATACAGTGTGGACACTTTTATCCATCATTGATGAGGGTGCTAAAGACAACACTGCCAAACAACTGGAAACAGTTCTCAGGATACCAGACGCTTCAGGAAAAAGTGCCTTCAGAAACAATTTCAGAAACTTGTCAAATATTGTTTCGGTAAGTCAAACTTGTCTGTATGTAAATTTGGTTTAAATGCGACACTGAGATCATTCGAGTTAATTAATTTTTTATTGGAACAATTTGTGGTTCAAAGAATTCTGTTACGAAGAACAAGTTATTACTTATGTATAACGTCAGTTTGACACTTTAAGTATAACTCCGTTTTCGACAAAGCGGCAAAAATCTAATATTTTTTAAAGTAGAAACCCTGGTTTTTAACACACTTGTTAAAAGAGGACAAAAATGAGAATAGTTTAAATATGCAGGAAAAATAAATACTACAGAAAGAGAATCAAAACTAAGTTAAAAAATAACGTAAGAATTATCTTTTAATAATATTAAAAACAATAAGTTATAATAGTAAGCATTAAAAACAAAAGTGTCATTAAAAATCGATTACATTACAACTTAGGGAATTTTATCCAAAAGGTTTTAAAGTAGATTCTAAATGTAACCCCAGGGGTTTGTTGTGTGTGTTTTTCTCAATTTTGTTAATTTTTACTTACATACGAAAAGTTTCTGCTTAAACTTATACAGATGTAAAGTTCCAATTATAAAATATTTAGCAAAAACATATGAAAAAAATATATTGGTATATAAAGCAGGACTTGTACTGAAACTATAGATTCATAATCGAACATTAAAATTAAAAATCAAAAATAAAAACAAAATATTTACGATGGCAATACTATAAAGGTTATCACATAAAGATATTTGAGTCGAGTATCATAAACATAATCCAAAAGATTGTCTGCACAATAATTCTCTCCACAATAATTCTCTCCACAATAATTCTCTCATTTCTCTCTTAAACATTTTTACACAAGCACAATGTTTAACATATTCCGGTAACTCGGTAAAATTCTATAACTTTGTAAAACAGAAAAATGTAAGTTTCTCTTTTTCGTTTAGTAGTTACTGTCTATCTCTGAACAATTTTATGGATGATCTCCAAAATTAATGAACTAATTATTTTCAAGCTTTCAGTGTATCTTAAGATGCTAAAACATCAAAATTGTCCCCTTAAAAAATTTAGGATACCACCTCAAAATATTATGTGGTATAATAATCCTCTAATAATAAAAATAATAAATTTAACTAATTAAATTTTACAGTTTGTCACATACACTATATACACAGACTTTTCACAAGTTTATTTATTTAATGTTTTTGAGAGTTGTTGGTTGCAGTACAGTGTCAAAATTATTTATGATCAAGTCGATTTTAGAAGTGACACGACGTGTGCCTGTTTTATTATATTTCTTTTATAGACACAGTATACTTGAACGAAAACTTATAAACACTTGTGGCAAAAAATTTTTATCCTTGTCAAATTTTACAAGTCAATTGACACAACTTAAGCAACAGTAGTCCATAAAATAGCCATAATGTGGGAGAAACCGTAACACTAGCCTGGTCGAGACGTAAATTCCATTCACGTTTGGTGGATTTACAAAACCGGGGTCGGGATTTATACAAGTCCTTGTACGTGTGCTCGTTAACTACCACAAACTGTTGTTAATCTTGGTATAGGTACAGTGTGATAAGAAAAAAATATGATCAAGTCAACCTTGTTTATGGGGATGTATTATTATTTTTTTTAATAATAACTACGCCAATTTTGTTTAGATCAAGAAAATTAAGAACTATAAACATTTAAAACACAGGAAAGATATACTACCGTGTGATGCGCTTATTAAATTAATGTCCAAATTTTTAATGTTTTGTTACAGTTTGTTAGCATGTTTTTTTTTCACTTTTACATCTTAACAATGATAATACAGTGGCTTAAAAAAATCATCAATAATTTCTTCCGGTTTTCCTTTTGATTGTGGTTTCAAAATCATGAATGTGCATAACCTCATTTTATACTCCAAAGTATGTTGTTTCTGCTCAAATAAAATTAGCGTAATTTTATTTGTTTAATCATAAATAGTAGGCTTTAATGACTCATAAAACGGAAAATATTAGTAGGTACATTTTCCTTATAAAATCCATGCGATTAACTAATATTTTGTAATGACGTAAGTGAATGAGTAATGTATTTGCCACCAATTTATTTCATTATCAAAATGAAGTACGACAAAAGCTGGTAAAAGATTGTAAATTTCCCAATTTCGTGGTATACAATAATCATGGCATAATTAAAAATTGTAAGAAAAATTATTATTTTATTGCTTATTTTTTTGTACAATTTACGACTACAATTTATTGTTGCACATTCTGGTGGAATTAAATAGCTCTCGTGATAATAATTAAATAACATATAAACCACCATTTTTTTTTTTTAAATAATGAAGTAGAACCGCAAGATCAAAACAATTGTAAAAATTACAAGCTCAGAAGTTTATTCTGTAGATCAAATAGCAGTCACGACAACACGATTATGTAAATTGTAACCCTGAGTTTGCTGTATAAAGGGATATAAAATATACATGAGAATAAATTCTTAGTAGGTACCTACTTTCTGATTACTAAAACTTGGCGGACACTGGGTGTCTTTTCTTGTCAAATTTTTGAAACACACAATTGTACTTTTCCTTTCATTCACATAAGTATATTAAATAACAAAAAACAGGAGCATAAAAAGTGGGTTTTTCAAATAAATAATGAGACCACTAGCGATTTGAAACCAAACGTGGGTGTGTTGGAGACTATGGGATGGGCGTCCTACGATTAAGTAAGTTAATGGATTTTGCATAAAAAATAAATATTACTTATTTATTTATCTGAAAAAGTAAAATGAAGATAAATATTTATCAGCTACTGGAATTTACATTCTAGTGGAAAGATGTTTAACTTTTGAGCTCCTTTGATAATTGACACAAGAATCTGAAGCAAGAAGGCGACAAATGACACAATTATAACCTGTCACTCGATTGACAGTGTTATTTTTGATCGTAAGCTAAGCTATCTAATCATAACAATGAATATTTATTTATTATTTATTTAAAAAAAATGTGTTTTTTTTAATGCTTAGGTATTCGATTTTACTGCACCATCCCCCGTACGTAGAAGTTTATTCATTTTTCATTTGAAAAATTTTAACATTATGACTAAATTGCCAACTATTTAATTTTTTATATATTTTTTTAAATCAGACCAGGTAAAACTACAAAAATGAAATTTTGTAATACTTAAGAATCATTAGTTTGAAACTTGTTTTCCATAAATAAAGTCAAAAAGTAGAATGGTATCTACAGCGTGTCCTGATATTTGATTTGACACGTGACTGAATATTTTTGGGTCGCATATTTACTTGACAACAGTTATTCTTTGAAAATTTTCTTCTTTTGCGTCCGGAAAAATAATACCGATGTTATAATTTGACTTTAACCCAAAAATCCAAACATAGATATCCTATATAATTCACTTCTTTTCAGGCAAAAGATTCCGGGGTCAACTTAGACATCTACAACTCGATATTCACAAGAAAAGACCAAACACTTAAAACAGAATACCGCGATGTTGTCCGAACTAATTACGACGTTAACGTTCAACCAATCGATTTTGACAACCAAGACGTAGCTAGTGCTACAATAAATAAATACATAGCTCAGGCTACAAAAAACAGAATAACAAATTTCATAAACCCTGGTAATTTCTCAAATATATTTTTTGTTTATAAATACTAAAACTGAGTTTTAGATGACTTAGCATACGCCAGCGTGTTCATAGTCAGCGCTTTATATTTCAAAGGCGCGTGGATGCAACCCTTCAACCCAAATCAAACAAGACCTGATACTTTCTATGACGAGAAACAGAACAAACTGGGCGAAGTCGACATGATGTATCAGATGAATCCCTTCGCTTATGCCAGACTCGAGTGGATCAGAGGGTACTCAGTGGAACTACCGTACGGAGAAGTAAGAATCCAAAACGCGTTAAGTTAATTGTTTCAAAATTATTTTTTAGGGAGACAAAATGTCTATGCTTTTAATTCTACCGTACAAAGATCAAACCGTGCAAGGTATGCTACAGTTAATGACTCAAGAACCCTTCAGCAAAATCATCAACAAGCTGGAGAAAGCAGCTATAGATTTTGAGGGCGACGACGTTCAAGTTTACCTACCACGTTTTAAAATTGAGTCAGATTTAACCCTGAATGCTATTTTACAGAAGGTAAATAATCATTGATTGGTCACGAGAAACTACGCCTGTTGTGAAATCGCAGAGGCGTGGCTTTCGTTAACCAATCAGAACACGCAAATATCGCTTACTGTTTCTAGATGGGTGTAACTGACGTTTTCGACGAGGCTAATGCCAACCTCCTCGGGATGTTCGAGCACTTTCTCTACGTAACTCGATTAATTCAAAGGGCTGAAATCGAAGTTAACGAAGAGGGCACTGTGGCGAGTGCCGCTTCTGGTAAATTACATATACATATAACAATATGTGTATACAACTCATCGTTTCGTTTCAGGTGCTTCCGTAATAAACAAAATGCCTCCGCCCAAATTCGTGGCGAACAGACCGTTCCTTTACTTCCTAGTGAACAAACCAACAAAAAGTATTATGTTTGCGGGGAAGATGACTGTTCCATCAAAAGTTGCTAGTTAGAAAAAAAAACTATCAATAAGTAAAATAGTTTATTAGTTTTTTAGTGTATAAAATATAAATCACAGTATAGAATTCAGACCACGTTCTCGAATATGAAACATGTGATTTACTTACAAATTATTGTAAAATATATTCTTTATAATTTTTTAATGATTTCAATTCTTTTTTAAGCTGTTTCATTAGATCTAATGGCTGGACTAAAATTGATATGTCCCGTCCCACTGAGTTAAGGCGATCTCGAATTTGATTTTTCTTGAAGAATAAATTCAGAGGTCTTCCGTTGATTTCCGTTAGGACCCAGTTCGTTAACGACAAACCATCACATGTTTTAGTTTTTGCAGATAAACCTTGTCTCGCTGCTAAGCTATCGGTTTCCACCGATTCAATAACTGCCGTATTATTCTCTTGAATTATTCCTAGTGACTGACCTTCAGTCTCACGGTGGATCAAGAAAACTTGACCGTGAGGAATTCTCTTAATGATAATATCAACCTGAATACAAAGGCTTCTTGAGAAAAACTGTTGAGATAAAATCGACTCCACTCACATATAATCCACAATAGTGCGAGCCCAGAATTCTGTACGCCTCGGCCGCCGTCTTTACGGATATTCCAGCTATATTTATAATTTTATCACCTATATGTAGTACGTTATATAACATTGGATGGTCCTTTTGCTTCCAACCACAAACCCTAGCATAAAAATTAGTCCAAAGTTATTTCAACAGAACTTCTTTCGATTTGGAAAAATTAGATAAAATATTTTTTTAATCAATTAAAAAATAAAATTTCTCTTACCAAACGGAATCAAAAGCATCAACTAAAGCGATTGAGCTAATGCAGTCTTTCTTTCTTAATTGTAATTTCACACCACTGGAATGTTTCATTTCTTTCTGTAGCTGTAAAACTTGCTGCTCCCTGAAAGTTTTATACGGTAATGGTGGTTGTTGGAGGGTGTTTGGCGACCTCTCCACTTGTCTATTGGACGGACCTTAAATAAACGAACAGCATTAACGTAATAAAATGTTCTAAATTCAAGCCAATGCCACTTCTAAATGTATTTAAAGTTTTTTGTTCCTGATCTTGTTAATACCCACCTGGATCACCTTGAAATAAGCGTTCGTAATGACAATTACTGGACGATTCTGTACTGATTTGTTGCACTGCATTGGATATATCATCGAATCGAAATACTTCTGGTTCTGATGTACTCTCTCTTCGTAAGCGCGGTGTGTCTTCATTCGACGAAGTCTGAGATTGAGATCTGTTCCTGGAAAAGAATCTCGATTGGAAGAATAGAAAATTATTTCATTCGTAATGTAACCGAAAACAAAAATAAGAGAGTACGGAAACATAGAATGGCCAGCGTGTTGCGAAAAAAAAAAAACATTTCAAATAAAATTTCCCCCTGACCATTCTACGCTTTCGTTGTCACTAAAATATACGTATTATAAATCGATTTTCCTCAAAAAAGATACTTCAGTAAACAAAAAATAAACTCTCCAATTTTAACTTTGCTTCGAACTTAAAAGCACTCGAAAGAAAAAGGGAAACTACACACAACAAAAATGGAAGATTAAAGAACAAAAGGTAACAGAAACGGGAGAAAGAGTAGGTACAGTAAAAAAATCATACGGTTGTAAAAAATCAAAGAAAGGAAAATACGAAAAGCAAATATGCCAATAGGAGTCGCAGAAAAATTGAAAAAATTAAAATGGGAAAAAAAAATATGGTGTAGTTATGAAAAGAAAATAAGAAAGATATAGAACGAATGGAAAACAATGAATAGAGAAATAGCGACTAAACAGGATCATAAATTCGTTTGCAGTAGACACTATGATTGATAAAAACAAAGATAAAAATGTACAAATAACAGAAGGATAAAGAATATATAAATAACGACATATTAAAAAGATGACAAGAAATACAAAGAAAGGAAAGATGCTGAGTGTGCAAAAACATAAAACGAAAGATGAAAAGATTGATAAAAACACACGAAAAATATAAATAGAAAAGTGAAAATAAAACGCAAGAGAAAGAGACTGTGGTGCGTGTTTAAGATCGTTTCAGGTCGTTTGCTTTACCTTGACATTTCTAGTTTTTTTGAACTTTGTTTGCATAACTCATGCTTTTAATAGACATCACGTCAAACCAATTTTTTTAAACAAAAGTATTTGCACACGACCTAAAAAACGCTTATGAATTGTGTACCAATTTCTTGTTTTTAATAATAGTGACGTATACTAATGATTTTTATATTACTTAAGATAAAATACTAAGTTACTGTTTCATGCCAATTTAACAACAATAAATAATCACTCGCATGGAAAAAAAGTGATAATACTTTTTTTATTGTAGTTTGTGAGGTCAGTAAAACATGTGATTTCGAAAATTTTATGTAGCGGACATAATTCTACACTTTTGAACATACTATACACGATATTATTATATAACAAAACAGTTCCATAAAAAAAGCTCACCATTGCCGTGTTATCGTTCGTCGTGGCCCCGCACTACTCGGTTGAATTTCGATGCCTGGCAATACTTCGGGGGCACTAGTAGGGGGAGGTGGTAACGGGGAATTGGGGTCTCTTGTAGAAAACAACTGACCACGTGAAATTTCTGGTAACTTGGAGTAAACATTATCTTTGGGACTCAATATTCGTAACTCATGTAATTTCGCCTGAAGACTAGCTACCCAATCTAACATCTGCTCCCAAGTAGGAGCTGTTAACCTCACAACTTCTGACTTTAATGTCAAAACAAATTCGTACTCCTGCTCGTGGGGGCAAATCGTAGGAGATACATGCTGCACATCATTTAAGTAGACAAACCAATCCGGTTTGTGAAGAACTGCGATTTTGTTATCCGTGTATGATTCAAGAAATGCGTCCGTATCATCATGAACGCAAAACACGACCCACAGTTTGTCGCGTTTCTGAAAACATTCGTTGTGTACGCAAGGCTATAGTGTGTGGTTGGATTACCTTTTTAATGTTCGAAGTATTTACCTTTTTCAGCCAAGCATTTTTGTGGATTTCTCGGAACATTATGTTTCCGAATTGACTGCGGGTTTGATTCGGGTTTTGTGATGCCATTTTAACAACTTCATGAATTAGCTGAAAACTTGATTTTCGGAATTAGAAAGTGAAATTGCTTCACCACTTCAAGTGTACGAAAAATACACTAATATAACCCACATTTTGCGATTTTAACTTTGAATATTTTTTTAATAGAACACAGTTTCGTAAACCATACAGTTTTTAAGTTGGAGAACTTGAAGAGAACCGATTTTTCTTTACTTATTGTTTATTCCCAGGTTATCAGTTTCAACTGACATTTCGATTATGACATAAAACAATCGCAATCGCGACTTCCTTATTACGTTACGACATCTAGTAAATTCTCTAATCTTATAAACTCAATAATTATAAAAACGTAGACATAAACAAAGATAGTTCTCTAGGGGAAGTAAAATCACATTCTGAGCGTCAAATCGCACATTTTCTTTACATTTTTAAACATTTTATTTGAAAACTAGTTCCAGTCTTTTGCGTGCGCATTTGCATTGTTAGCACCAAAAAATACATGTCAAATGATACAAATTCTTCGCTTGTAAAGGCAGATATAAGCCCCGCCTATGTACTTCTGCGGCCATTTTGTTACTCACCAAGTCAACAACGTGACAGACTACAGTTTGTAATTCCCTAAAAAATCAAAAATGTGTCGATAAATATATTCCAACATTTCTAATCAGTACGGTAATTCCGGTATCACATATGGACATTTGGTAAAAATGTTTAGGATCAAGCTTACAACTGTAACCCTTGTCATTGTTCTAATTATTTTTGTTTTAATTTCGAAAGCTGTCTTCGATAAGGTGCACTTAACCTTACATATCGTTGTTGATGAAGAATTTCATTTGCCGTTGGGACGTGCGTATTGTAAATTTGAATTTGACAAAGTAAACGTTCTGTAAACATGTGAGCAAAAATTAATTAGGTGTTTTCAGTGGCACCCGAAAGTGACAACTTTCCCAGGGTTGTATCTACTAAGTAGTTTATTGTTCGGAGCTTTCGATCTTTGTTCAACGTACTGGCTGAGACTAACGTCTTTGATATTCTCAGTCGTTAACCTAGTATTGTTTTATTGGCTTCTAAGTGTAAATAACGAAAGCGTAAGTTGCATCAGATTGTACTCGCACTAGCTAAAATTTTTATTTGCAGCCCCCATGGCAAAATATCATTTCTTCTCTCAATTTGGCACTACTGCCACCCTTGTACTTTTTCAGTCATGTCTACTACACTGACGTTCCTTCACTTACTATGATTTTGATTTTGTTTTTACTATCGCAGCGAGGGAATCACTATTTGGCCTCGATTTTTGGTAAGTTAAAAAAAAAATGTTGGTATCTCCTTAGTGACCCAAGATTTTAAAAAACCAATCATGAGAGAAACAAATTTTAAAAATATGTTTTGTACATTATTGTGAAAAAGAATGGTGCAATCAAAGATCAGTATTTTGTAGAAAAATGATTTGAATGCTAATTTTTTAGGTCTGTTGGCAGTTTTATTTCGTCAAACCAATATAATCTGGGTTGGAATGGTTTTTGCGTGCTATGTATTACAGGAAATTATTATAATTCATCAAAAGAAAACTAAAACTAGTAATAAAGGAGTTTCTGCAAAGGTAAATTATAGCACTCTTTGTCATCTTTTAATACTAAAAACTTTCCAGGAACTGGGAGACTTACTGAAAACTGTGAAACGTGATTTATGGAGTATCACTCAACAAACAAAATTGAGTTTCTGGTTGAACGCCAGTTGTTATGCATCATTGTTAATTTTTTTCATGTTATTTGTATATTTCAATGGAAGCATAGTTGTGGGTGATAAATCAGCCCATGAAGCTACAATCCACCTCCCCCAACTCTTTTACTTTTCTCTTTTTTGCTTATTCTTTGCGTGGCCATTGTTTGTTCCTGAAGTTTTCAATTTTTTAAAATTTGTTACAAAGTATAAAATCTTCAGTTTGTCTGTTCTAGTACTAAGTCTAGTCATAGTTTACTGCAATACTTTAGTACATCCATATATGCTCGCCGACAATAGGCATTATGTCTTCTATATATGGAATCGATTTTACGGAAAATATCCTCTTTTCCGTTATTTTATAGTTCCATTTTATTTATTTGCATGGTTTGTGATAGTAAAAAAATTGTTGGATAGAAAAGATGTAACATTCCTTCTTTTCTTCATTCCATGTACGACGGTAGTTTTAATCGTACAAAAGCTATTAGAATTTCGTTATTTTTTCATTCCTTTTGTTTTGTTTAGGGTGAAAGTAAAACATGTGTCTGTACATTCCCTTTTCTATGAGTTTATTACTCATTGCGTACTTAACGTATGTACATTGTATTTATTTTTTACGAGGACGATTGAATGGCAGGACTATGATTACCCCCAAAGATTAATTTGGTAGTGTTATTATTGTGATATGTATTAATAATGTATATTTTGTGCAATATATATGTATGGTGGAAACTGGGTGTGTGTGTCAAGTTACATTTTTGACATGTTTGGAACTTCTGGTTGTATACGTGAATAGTCAACAGGTGTCAACATAAATGTGATTTTGACTGTAATGCTGTCACAAATAAACGATTAAATAATTAAACTTCGTTGTATTAAACTATGGTATAATAGTTTCTTTATTTGTGAAATCTATTTATTATGTCACATATAATGTATACAGGAATGGATGAGCTCTATGATCAAATGATGTCCTATTTAGCGAACAAATCAAAGTACATGTCCCTATAAAAGAGGTTACAATATTATTAAAAATCACCCAATCTGTATTAATTTCAATCGAGTCGGTCGTCTAACAGAAACTCTCTAGTAAAAGTGCTACAATGACCACACATATGTCGTAATAGTACCTACTGTTGTTTATAGTATAACATTGACAATATAAAAATGGCGTAAGTATTAAAAAGTGCACACAACGTATACACTTAACGATATTCACTTAGCCAAAAAAAAAAAAGTAAAAAAAAAAACAGTCAACCTCGTGGTTGAGGATTATCGTCGTTGGTTACCAAATTAACTACAATCCCTTAGAAATAGTGAGAATTGACTGCATGCAATATTCCAAAATTCATTTTATGTAATTGCACAAAGTAGAAACGATAAATAATGAATGAATTAATTGGCTTTTATAATTTTAATGATTAAAATGCTTTTTGGAATAATTGTGTATACCGGGCGTTGCGTCGCGTGACCTCGCGTAAGTTGAAGTTGTCAAGATACTATAAATTAAACAGAGATTTCACATATTTTAACAATGTTTTATATTCTAGAACAACACATACTCTTTATCACATGTATACTTAGATAAGCAAAAATTTGAAATAAAATCAACGTAGCATGAACACCTTTACGAACAACATGTATCTCATCCCCAATGTTGTTTAATGTTAAGACACTGTGAATATAGGAGTGCGATTATTTTATTCGAAATTATTGTTATCTAAATATACGGATTTTGATAGGAATGTCATTTATTGAGTGCATTCAAAACGATCGCTTGACAAAAGCTACTTGAGGTGAACTTATACGTACCCCGAGTACAGGGTGCCATATCTGACATGGCGCTATATATAGAGAATATGTAAAAAGATGCAATTTTTATATTCGTTTTGTGTAGGTCCTATAATAATTGTTAAATTTAGCACCCTATACTACAAAATCGCAATAAAAAAAAATATATATACATTCCCGAAACGTAAATTCACAGATAAATAAGTATAAAATATATAATTACATAACAAGTAACTTTACACAAGGTTTATTTACGTTGTTTACAAATAATTCTTGAAATCCAACAAAACATAAATAAATATCCTCTCTTAACAACCATAAAAAATCGCTTTAGCGCAAATCTGGATTTTCGTTCAATTGTTTCTTGATACGCAACAATATGGTGGTGTACCACTGATCTAGACGCGAAATCGAATCATATTCTTTAACAGCGTCAGTAAAACCTTCGACATTCTGTTCCTCCATGTGTTCAATGAGAGTTTTCAACAACTTATACTCCCTGGAATCTTGGAAAGCAGGATACATTTGCACGTAACGCTCCATGGCATGCTGCGCATTCAAAACATCGACACAAAGATGACACAAGGCAGCACGAAATAGATATTCCTTAGCACTATATTTTAAAAGTGAACTTTCTAGAGCTGACGAGGCAACTTGCTGATAAATTTGTATTGCTTTTTCGTAATTTTCCAACTGGGCTGCGTACTGTGCTACCTTTAACAAACACCTATTGGCCGAAGCATTGCTTTCTTCTCCTCGGAAATAATCAGCGGCTTGTTCGTAATGTTGCACGGCTTTTTCTAAATCTATGGCGTCGGTTTCGTACATTTCGGCAATACTTTGGTGGTGCTTTGCGGCCATGGTAAACCGACCCATATCTGTGTAGATTTCTATCGCCTTGAGAAGGCAGTTTACGGCTTCTGCAAACAATTAATCGAGCTTCAGAAGATCCCAAAAATCTTGAAATAGGCAAATTTTATTTTGTTCTTTAGTGCCATTTATCGACAGATTTTGACTTTACGTAATGACCTTATGGTTATTGGAATTTTTCTTTTCTTTGTGGCGACGTATTTTATCACATCACAAATTTATACGTGATTATGTAATTTAAATGCATAGTTTTAAAATATTTTATAAAGCGAGAAAAAGTTAATAATAATTAAAGCAACGACGTAGTAAAAAAATTCTAAATCAACAAAAAACTTTTACCAACATTTTTAGAAATTGTTTGTTTCGTAAATAAAAACCCACTCAAGTCAGTTAATAAAATTCAGGTATATACACATATTAAACAATATATCTTGGTAAAAGCGCACTTCTGAGTCGTAAACTTCAAAGATGAAGTCAGGTTATTTAGTGATACATTTTTTGTGCATTTTATATTACATATCCACAAAGATGCGAAATCGCAACTTTTATCTCTCATAAGAAATATTTAATTTTCCCCTTTTGATCGATTGCGTGATCGGATTAAAATTTTTATAGCTTCATCGGTATTTTCAAAAATTTAATTGACATTAAAAAAATAAGAATAATAACGTCGTTAGGTCCACGATTATTGTACAGATATCTAATCAAAAATACATACGAATAAAGCCCTTATTTTCATTTGTTTTTAATAATATCGTAATCTTTTTATTATTTTTTATAAATCTTGTAAGTATTTACAACACACGTTTAAGAATGTCAGTATTTTCGTGTACCGAGCGTACGCTAGAGAACTCTAAGTGAACGGTAAAATGTACATATTAAGAAAACTAAATAAAAATTAGTGTGTTTCTACATATTTAGTATTACTTTCTTTAGGAATTTAGGAACGCGCTGTATATTAGCCCAGTTCCAGATTGTTACCTTACCTGGAAAAAATAAAAAGGACTTCCTTCGTAATATTTCATTTGTGTTGGAAACCCGAGAAAATTCCATTTAAAGTAAAAATTTCATTAATGTGTAAGATCTCTTATTTCAAGTGTTTTTATGAAGAAAAATGCCCGTCTTAATTTATAATTAAATTCCAACGACCGTAATTTTTAAAAAGACAACGTAATTTAATTAATGTATAATGTATTAAATACTTTGCGCTTCTCGCTTGATAAAGTGAATTTAAATTGCAAAAGAAAACCTCTGGGAGTTTTATATCATTTTTTTGCTTTAAAATCACGAATTTTTAATACGTAACGATATTTTTTAAATTTACAGAACAGAACACCAAAAATTATATGCAAATGAAGACTGACTTTTGCAAATCCAACACAATTAACTGAGCTCAAATAAGCAGAATAAATGAGGTAATAAAAACATTCCATTTGACTTTTAATCATTTAACGCGTTCGTAACTTTTTAACAGTAAAGGCTGTCTGTCAGTTTATTATATGTTAAATGTTAGACAACCTCTATTGTTTATGACTCATTCAGATCCTAACTCTGTCATGTTTTTCCAACCATAAAACTGAGTCAAGGCAATGGAATATTCAGAAATAAATCTCCGTTCTTACCATTGATGTCTGACTTCTTGTAACAATTGGCAGCATCTACATAATTTGTGGCAGCATCATGTCGAGCCCCACTTCGGGAATTCAAGTTTGCAGCTTCACAGAACGCACTTCCGGCTTGCGCCCAATTTTTGGCCATTTTAAACAGATTGGCAGCCCTTTGGTAGCACTCGACAGCATCTTCGATTCTGCTATTTCCTCTGCAACATAATTATTTGGCTATTAAAGACGGCAACCACAAAGACATAACTTAGCCTAATTTTTCGTCGAACTTACTCACCCGAATAATGATCCAAAAAATCCTTTTGAAGACACTTTCTTTTCGGCTTCTGCAATTAATTGCTGCGCTTTTTGCTCATTTGATGTCATTGTGTCGGAATTTTTACACAAAATGAAATCCGACTATTATTTTCTGACAATCTATTGACAAATCAGTTCCGTGTTTACACAACAGCTGACGCTGCAGTCGCACGGATTTTTCTTCACGAAATGTCAACACCAACACACCCAACGAACAAATGTTAATCAAAAAGGAGATCAACTAAATGAGGCATTTGTTTATATTATTGTCAAAGTTAATTGTACAAAGTGTTGTAAGGTAACACGGAGTCGATAACTTACAAAACTTCAAAAATTGTGCACATCATAGTAGGTGTCAGTTGTCACATAAGTTGTCATTGGCTGTCGTCTGTCATTTTGTGGCTTTGCGGATCCCAGAATATATAGTGTGATTTGTTATGGTATATACAGAGTATTCTCATAAATTAACTTGGTTTCTATGTTCAGTTTTAAAAAAACACATCAATAAATAAATATTACAACTTCAATTATTTGAAATCTTTACGTATTAAAAAACAAGAAATTCAAAAATATGGTCTTTATCATTTCTGTTCAAAGACCACTTGTTTATTGTAAATTTGGTAACGTTCACATTCAGATTGGTTGCATACTTCCAATATATCGACCCGTGTGGTAATATATGGAAATCATCAGGGATAACAGAATACTGATCTTTTTACACTTACTTTTACTTGTTTCATCACACTATTTTCATTTAGTTTGAGGAATTCAGGTAGAAAATTAGCAGCACTTTCTAAATTCCTCAGTGCGGTATCTTCCACACAAAGAAAAAAACGTAAAACACAAGTAAAACGTGTTTAATATAATAAAATAAAACATCTTATGTCGAGTCATCTTTTATATTTACAGTGTTTAGTTATATGAAGCTCTATTGTTTTCAAACAACTGCATTTTTATACTATCTTAATCTCGTTATATTGTACTTTTAAATCATCTACCAATTGTCAAAAATGTACGACTGTTTTATTTTTATTGGACCAGCAGCCTGTCGGTTTCGCCCGCGCGCTACAATACGGGTTAACGATTTACACAACTTTGAACTCAACAGCTGAAATGAAACAAATTCTGATCCTAATAAGCTTTATTATTACACAATATATCTTTATTACAACTGTAAACGGCAGTGAGCAACATTTCTCTCAGATATAAAAATACTTAGAAAAAACACTAATTTTTTATTATTAGAATAAAAGGCACAAAACTATGTGCATTATTCAGCAAAGCATATAATCAATAATAAAAACTAACAACTTTAGAATACAATATAATACTTGATTATTTCTAAAAATTTTTGAAAATACTAACGACCGAACGAGATCAATTTAATAACGCTTATGACCTGAATAGAAAATAAAATATAATCACAAATAAAAAAGGAATGTACTCTGAATTGCATAAAAACCTAATACAAAATATTACCTCTAACGTTATTCTATATAAAAAATATACAAATGTGGCACACAGAGTGGTCAGAGCTGATAAAAGGGCTTCTTAACCAGTCTATATGGTTAGATATACACTTCGCGCTCACTTACATAAAATAAATATTAACAATAGATAAATGCCTTCGATATACTGATGGCGATTTTATGAACTTTAATACAAATTTCAGTCTGAAATATTTACACATCAGTTCCTCCAAAAAATGTTGTTATCTTTGGTCAAGCACAGTAAGTCACTTTAAGTACTAAATATGTTGCCATGTTAAATTCTGTACTTTCGTTCATCACAACATTGGAAGTGTAGATGGCATTTGAGGACGTCAATTGTTCAATGTAAAAATAGTTGCATCAATTTACGTTACACCTAAAAAGGCACATCACTTCATAAGAAGCACCCTAGCAAAAATTGTAACTTGAAATATTTTTGTACTAAGTTACAAGTTTTTGTGCCCAGCTTAACAAAAATTATGATTACTTTAAAAAACTTGACTATGCTATATAAAGACATTAACACGTACGACGATATTGTCAGCCTAATTTTGTTCTATATGTCACATCCTGCCCAATAGCAGCCAGCATCAAAAGTAGTTTCATTTATACAGGATCATTCATTCACATCAAACTAAAGCCAGATGAAATTATACAATGACGGAATCATTATAAAAGTCCTACTTGGCGTAGAATTAATTAATGTAGTCACCACATGTACAAAACCAACTGATATTAAATAATAATAAAAAATAACTAACTATTACAACGATCTCGCAATATTTGAAACTAGCTTAAAAGCCACCTATTACATATTAAATCACAATATAAAAAGTCTAAATCTAGTTCGTTACGTTGAAAAATGCTAACACATATTTCAGCTGCCAGAATTCAATAACAGTATTGTTTTCACAATAGTTTCCATCCAAAAATATTTTTCTTTGGTCAAACACAATTAAGTAAGTACAAATTGTCACAATAACGTTATATTTAGCACCAAGATTCCTCATTTTGGCTACCTTCTTCACTAGCATCATCTCCGTACATATCCGCCAGCTTACGGAAGCGAGGACCGAAGTTTGACAAGTAATTGAACTTCAAATCACCCTCATCGGTGCACGAAGCGAGCGATGAGAGAGAACCTGAGCTATTTCCATCTCCCTCGTAAGCATAATGGCGAACATCATCGTACGGCAAAGTGTCTTTATCACACGAACGTTTCTTATCTTCCAAGAAACCACCAATGTCGGCAGGCACATCTCCGGCTTGCTTGTACAAATTATCTTTCATTGGTGGCTTCTCGTCGATGTTGTTGCGCAATACCGACAAATCGAAATTGGTATCGCATTCGCCGCCACCTTCATCTTCATAGTTAATTATGTTCTCTCTCGTGTCATCCATATCTTTTTCGTTCAAGTTATCTTGCTTCCTCTTGTGAACAACCACCGCCAATAGTAGAACTAGAAACGATCAATTAAGAACAGTGCATGAAACAATTGAGTCTTAACTCACTTAACAAAATGGCAAGACATACTAAAATCGCGATCAAGAAATTGGAATCGATGCCAAAAGTAGCTGCCTGGAATGTTGCAGAATTGCAAGTTCCCTCATGAGCGTTTAGCTTATCGGAAGGTGTGCCGAGATTATAAACGTAAGAATTGTAAGTGAAGTTGGTGATACAACCTCTGAAACCTTGACTCGACGGAGGATTTTCCCATACGATCTTAGTTTCTTCGGCGGAGAAAATATTTGAACGACCTCCGACCTGTAATGGTCCGTTTAATTTCAACAAACCAGTTTGTCGAAGGTTTTTCCACCGCAAACAGTCGCTTGGACAGTCATCTACTTCTAACTGTACGTCCTAAAAACAACGCAAATCGGTCAATAATTACAACCTGACACTGTCGCAATTGTACATACATTTGTGGTATAGTTGATCTTGATCTTATGCATGGCACCATCGTTGATCTTCTTATAATCTGAAACCACTTCATCGACGCCGTTGCCCAAATCGATTTTAAGAACAACAAGTCCACCTTTCAGCTCCACAGAAATAAAACCTAAAAGCACACGTCAAAACTTGCAAAAGAATATTTTTATCATCACCTTTTGATATTGCCGTGTGTCGTTTCGTTAAAGGACCAACATAAAATATCAACCCATCATCTGTTTGTGGTAGAACATTCAAAGATATAACTGTATTAGCACACGAATCAAACGTGGGGTACATTGCCCAACCATTCCCCGGAAACGATATACCATATATTTCACAGTTAGGTCCTTCTGTTCCATCTGGACAATTGCACTTTCCATTTTCAATAGGTGTACCTCCGTTGAAACACTCCGTTTCGATACGCTTCTTACATTCACATAAAGCTTCAGCTACAGCTTTAACGCCAACGAAGGATGTCTTATTTGTGAAAACGACTGCAGGTTCGTCTTTAATATTTAAGACATTCGCACACGAACTATTCACAGGGCACACATTATCTCGGAAACATTCATTGATGTTAATCATCAAAAATTCAACACCGAGCTCTTTTTCCAACTGAAAATACATCACCAACATTAAAAATTATCTGTAGCGGTAAAATAACATTAACATAACAATATAATAAAAGCTAAATTTAATGCTTATATTTGCAACTGTAATAGAAATTATATTTTTTATATTTTCTGGTGGTTGTATTATGTGATTGATATTTTTAAAGTAAATATGTATCCCACTTATAAATAAAATAAAATCAAAGATATTTAGTTCTATTTCACCATATAGCGGTCGAGTGGTACTTGTAATAAACCCATTAAAAAGCGAATTAAAATCGAACAAACCTTTTCCTGCTGCTCTGTCGCTTTGTTGTTCAGTTTTTCAGGTGCATAGTATGGCGAACCGTGTGCGGAGAAGCGCACATCGACGAAAGAACTATTTGAAGGTGATGTCATGACCGTGAAGACGTCTACGTTTTCCAAAGATGTGTTTAAGATTTTGGAAATGTGATCTTGGAGTTTGTCTTTTTTACTCAACTGAGTCTGCAAGAACAGGGATGTAGTGTACGCTGCGAGCAAAAAAGAATACATACGTTGGGATCCTTTTCAATAAATTCTTCAATGGTTGCTCCTTTAAGTCGTATTGAGCCGGATTTGCGGACTGCTATCTCCGGTATATCTTTAACGGTAACTTTAACATCAGCATTTACTCTGTGTGAAGTACCATTGGGTAAGTTTTCGGTTACTACGAATTTGAGTTGGTACACATTGGGCGCAGTACTTTTAGGCATTATGATAGTTCCGTTGTTTAATACGTTAAAATTATCGCTTGGTTTAGCAGCTTGAAAAATTTTGTCAGGTAAATCCCAGTCATCGGGATCAGTGACATATACTCTTCCTATCGCGGTATCTGTTTTAAAACCCTAAAACAAAAATGTTAGTCCGAGTAGAGATCACTTGCACATGAGTACCTCATATTTATACACGAATATTTCACTGGATCCATCTTGAGCGGCGTTATCATTCCGATCCCCGATTATTACCTTCAGAATACTAGTACCAGATTTTGGTGGTTTACCACTGTCAGTTATAACAATAGGAATATCGTAATATTTTTTCTCTTCTCTATCAAACGTGGCTTCTGCCCGTAATTCATCTCCCTTAATTGAAAACTTTTCAAAAAGATCATATCGCGAACTTGCTATTTCGAATGTAAATGGTTCACCGTTGCTAGGACCATCATTGTCGATAGCTGTTAACATTAAAATGGAACCTGGCGGTTCATTTTCATACCACACAACTTCAGTCTACAAAATTCAAATTAGAAAACTGTACAACAATTATACAAAAACATACTTTACTCAAAAAGGGGGCGTTGTCATTAATATCTGTCAAAATTATATTAAGTTCTGCGTAGCTTGATAACGCATTTGGCCCTCCGCTATTATCATACGCATAAATAAATGCCTGATAAGAAGGTGATCCCGTTGGTGGGTCTCGATCCAGTTTCTAAAATTTGAAAATCACCAAAGGACAGTCACGTAAAAAAATACCTACATTGATAATCGTCACGCAGCCAGTATCAGGAGTTACTGAAAGAAACGTCTTATACTGGTCGCCTACTTTATAGACAATTTTCTGGTCGATTGTTCTATTCTTGATATCCGGATCGTAAGCTTTCAGTTTGATTATACATTCCGGACTAACTTTTTCTTCTTCAAAATCAATATTTTTCTCGTAGGGTTCAAACACAGGCAGTTCATCATTTTCGTTTAATATCTCAATAATAACTTTCGCTTCGTCACTGAACGCTCCGTCGTAAGCTCTAACCGTCAGCTCGTAACTTTCGATCTTCTCAAAATCAAGTTTTTTATTAACTTTTATCCTTCCCGTGATTTCTTCGATGTTAAAAGCGTCATCAATGTTGCCTTCGATTATACTGTACTTTATCAGAGAAGCGGTATCGCTGTCTCTTGCTTTAACCTCTACAACGTCTTTCTGTACATCAGCCGTTTCCGAAATATTAAAGACTGTGTATAAACTATGTTCAAACTTAGGTTGGTTGTCGTTTTGGTCTTCTATACTAATCGGAAACGTCTGATTGGCGGAGTTTGTCTTATTTTTGTCACGGAAAAGAGCGCTAGGAGCCGAATCTCGCGCTTGTACTAATACGTGATAAATCTTTTCTTGTTCTCTATCGAAAGTTGCTTTCGCTTTTATTTCGCCAGTAGCTTTATTTATACTAAATAAATCGTTGTACGTAATTAACTCATATTCAACAAGGTTATTCGGTGACGTTCCGTCTTTATCAATCGCTCGAACTGTCATCGCTGGTGCTCCGATGTCGTTATTTTCGACAATACTACCTTTCAATATTTCGATGAAATATGGAATTTCATCGTTTACGTCTTCGACTTCGACGATGATCTCCACGGTTGCAAATAACAAGTCTTTGTTTTGAGCGCGAACTGTCAATTTATACTCAGTGACGGTTTCGTAATCCAAAGGTCGTGCTAATAAAATCGCGGCGGAATTACTTCCCGTGGGACTCAACACAAAATTTTGATCTTTGTTAGTTTGAGTCGTTTTTCCTTTTACTAATTCAAAAATGATATCTTTGTCATTGATATTTGACCTACGACAACACTATCGTAACACTAATACGTTAACACCAAGGACACTTACTCTGCTGTGATGTTCACCAGGTGCTTTTCAAAGTCGTTTTCGTCTTCTCTCAACTTAATTCGTTGTTGGATGTCATTTACTTTTATCGTAGGGGCTTTTTTATCGGAATCTACAACTGTAAAAGAAACGTCGGCGGTGGCGCCTTTTGGTTCCTGACCATTATCATGAACTGCGACTGATGTACTATATTTAATACCACGTTGCTACAACGACAGTGTTAACAGAGATTAAAATTTCCTGTTATTAACTAACCCCTTTTAAACTTTTCTTCAGATAAATAACTCCAGTGTCGGGATCAATTCGAAAATACTCTTCTAACGCACCAGTGTTGCCACTACCGCTGCTGACGAAACTGTATGTTAATCTGGCGTTCTCACCTTCGTCTGAATCATAGGCAAAAACTCGAGAGACTTCAGTGTTTTCCGGGTGATCCTCTGATACTTTCGTTGCATATTCCTACAATTTATGGTACCGTACATTATTTGTAACACGATGTGATAGCTATCTCAATTAAAAAAAAAAAAAAAAAAAAAAGAAAAAACAAACATTTATTTTAATTTACTTACTGTCTGGTCAAAGCTGGGAACGTTGTCATTAATGTCAGTAATGCTAATTTTGAAAGTACAAATATCAGCCAACTGAGGTCGCCCATCGTCACTAGCACTGACCGTCAAATACAGTTCTTTTTGTCTCGTTGGTTCATCTCTATCAAAGGGGAGAGTTGTATAAATCTCTCCGGTAGCCTCGTTGATTCGAAAATTTTTACGTTTTCCTTCTTGCTCTTCAATGCGATAAGTAATTCTCCCGCCTTCTTTATCTGCGGGATCGTCGTCGTGAGCTTGAACCTTAACAAAAGATTTAAATTAAAAAGGAAACAAAATACAGTACATTTTACTTTTATAACGAATGTATCCCCCGGTTCTTCTTCTTTCACTTCTGGAGCGTACACAGCACAGTCCCTAAACATAGGTTTCTGGTTTTGGTTAAGTTCCAAACGTTGGTTTTTGCCCGATATTATATTATTGTCAACCTCTGAAACAAAAATTACGAAATTGTACATACGTAACTGCTTGTTTTAAAGAAACAGTAAAATACATGTGGTACATAAAATGTGACAACTACAGTTAAATTTAACTGCGCTTTAATGAAAACCGTAAAATAAAGATTATGCAATGTGACTTAGCCGAAACGATAGTGGTCCCTTTTAAAAGTTAACTTCAACAATAAAATTTTGCAGTGTTAGTAACTATAGTTTTTTGGTGTAAATTAAGAACAAAAGACGTGCAAAGAGATCTAAATTCCTACAATAGAGCATTCTATTTAATTTAGTTATCAATTTCAGAGAAAAATCACTGTACAACGTTCCATAATTATTACTAATTGTTGAACTCGAATACATAATCTGTAATATTTGTGTTATATTTACAGAACACCGATATCATATTATCTGTAAATAAACAAACGATTAAAAAATTCAATTACAGAATGAAATCATTCGCCTCTGAGAGTTATCATGAGATCAGTAAATATCTTGGAAACATATTTAAGCAACTGCCTGTTTCACCACTATCTACAGTAAATATGATTGATTATATAGGTGATTTTGCAAGTGACACATTTCTATTTATAATTACGTGTTTGAACGAAACTTGCAATCGATAATTTCTCCCAAATATATAAAACAGTACATAACATTATCAGACTGCAAAATGAAAGAATAAAACTGAGGTATATTAAATAATGAACACAGCATTTTGTGCTAACTTTGCATGTCATTAAACCCTACATACCGACAAGCTTATCAGTTTTCGCTATTTCTATTTAAAATTCCTTTTCTTCTTTTAACACGCATTAAAAGTAACGATAAACTAACATGGAACAGGTTTTAGGGATCGCAGTATTAAGTGCTCGCTCACTAATTACTGCGGTGAATATAAAAGTAAATTATTTCAAAACATGTAAACTGAAAAGAGATTAATGAGTTAACCAATGACGAAAATAAGTTCATTCTTCACGATTAGCTTTTAGACAGAACTCCATAAAGTACGTCATTATGAATAGAATTCTTTGTTAAGCAATATAGAAAGGTGAATTCTTTTATTTATCATGCGGTGGTCTAATTGGCTTTTTTATCGCACGAGATTAACAATGATCTTATTGTCAAGTGTTTTTTGGAACTAGTACGTAGGATGTGGACCAAGTTTAGTTTTTCGTAATGTTAACACTTCCGAGGCGCAACTTTAGAAATTGCTCGAAATAACGAAATAAGTTTAAGTTTTATAATTATTATACCTTCACACGCTATATTAAAACTCCCGCGAAAAGTTTCTATTCGTTATTTTACAACCAAATTGTGCATTGTTTTATTTTTTCCACCAGTGCACTACTTTCAATGTGGCATTTTATTCTAACATCTTTTGAAGTAAATATTTACGGAACATGCACGAGTTCGTGTGGGTTCAATGTAAGCGATAAATGATTATACATTTTTGCATTCGTCCGGAACGAAAATCAAAACATTCCTCTGATAATATGAATATTAATTTTAATCGTTTCGAAGTCGATTATTTTAAATACGGTAGAGCTGAAATGGTGTTAATTATCCGCTATTATAAAAAGTGCGTAATATAGCCGAGTGTCATTTATTTTCCAAAAACGAGGCACTTTTTTATTTTTTATCTCTTATTATTTTCGTAAAACTCGTTGCGGCACTTTTGAAATATTATTACGAACTCACATACACGCACGCACACGCATCGTGAGAGAAGTCGTTTTAAAAATAGCAAATGAACGTAAGTCAATAATTCCCTATCGAGAAATTTAAAAATAAACGTGTCTTACAAAACTCAAACTTGTTGGCATTTCGTTCGCTACAGGGATTAACGCAGACCATGAAGTGCAGGTAATGTAATGTAGGTATTTTTTCTAAGAAGTGTAACCCATCCTCGACAAAAGAAAGTTTCCAAAATGCGAGTTTATGCAAAAAAAATATGTCTACACTTATGAATTTATTTGATCCAGAGAGGTGTTATGAAATATTTTATGAGAGCTGTAAGTAAATCTCTCTCTAAAAGCACGTAGACCCTTTAAAGTCTTTGTTGTTCTCCAGGTAGTAAAGATAATCCGCATGACTCATTCGAAAGTTATGAAGTTCTTGGTAGAAGAAATTCCATTGAAGGCGAAGAAAATGTTTCTCGAGAATGAATACTTAAACTTCAAACGAAACATATTTGTACACAACTTTTTAAAAAACGTTAAAAATTGCGTCACATTTTATATTTTTTAAAAACAAATCATATTGTACATATATTTGTTTTAAATCAATCTGGTTACAATTCTGTTCAAATTACAAAACAAATCACAGATATTCCGTGTAAAAAACTATTTACAACAATTTTTAAGAAAATGTATAGCTTTGCAATTCAGATATTTAAAATTGTTACTTCGGTAATTGGGTGCCTGTAATTATTTCTTATTTGTATTTCATTTTATTACAGTTTTGAGATAAGGCTCAAGTACGTTTTACACAATACATACATGTTTGTCCCTTTAAAGAATGATATGTAGTCCTCAAATACCCTACATTATTAGATCAAAAGTGACAAAAACGTCACGCTATAAATTTCAAGGAAGATTTCTGTGGTAGTCGGAGTTATTATTAACCTCATACTACGTCGATTTACAAGCTGTGTTTTTGTTGGTTCACATTGTTCGTAAAACAAAACTAGTTTTTTGTTTCCCCTATAAGGTGATAACAGCACATTTAATTTTTTTATTCTTTTTAGTTGAACCGAAGTTTTCTTCTGTTTTCTTGATACTAGTTATCTGCAGTGATACAAAAATTATCGCGCCTATATTATTCTCAGTTTTTCTTTCGTGAACATGAATCAAGTAGAAAAATTAGTACAACAATACGACAATGTAAAAGAATAATATTATGTAATTTTCTATAAATGTAACTATAGTATCTATAAAAAGGGACGTGCTGTCTGTGCCATTGCATACCGTGGAATTTCAGCATTAGAAACTACCACTGCGACATCAATGACGGCGAGACGGGAGTTGACCTCCCCACCTCAATTTCTTTAACGGAAATTCCAATTTAATAGTTTATTTATAAAACTCTCTTTCTACGGTACAACTATGTAAAATGTATTCACTACCTTCATTTATGTTGCATATAATAAACTCTATATTGTTATCAATATGTAAGTACATTATTGTAAAAAATAGATTTCATCACAAAGTGAATGCAATTTTGATACGTGTAGAAATTTTATAACATTTTATATATCATTAAATTCAAATTATATTAAGTTGATTACATTTATTTTAAAAATAACCGAATGATGCCATAAGTTAATGGAAAAGCGTATCTCTACAAAAAAAACCCACTTTTAAATCCCTTTTCACAGAACCGCCTATCTTATCTAAATTGTTATCATTTATCGAACCGTTACGCGACTCAAAAACTCAATTTCCTGCTATCCGATTCAAAATCTAGCATGGTATAACAGTATTGGTTCTACTACCAGTATTTTTCGCCGGTACGCATACCGAATTCAATATTATGCAAGTATTAAAATAAACCTGTGATTAATAAATAAATGCATATGAACATTATATATGACTCATTACCACAACAAACATGTAATATCCTCTCCCATAACGATAATGTTACCGAATCACAATAAACGACATTTCACATCATACTTCATTTTAATAATAATAAGTAATCATTTAAAAAGAATTTCTTAATTATGTGAAGGTTATACGTCAACGTTTCGCTACAGTTATTTCAATTAAACTTCCGAAATTGTGTTTACACGATAGCGTTTAATGAGCACCTCCTGGAAAATAAATATCTTGCAAGATTTTGTTAAGATTACCACTACAAAGCGTTCCAAGAAATGCGTTAAAGTGTTATATATAACGTTCAAATCTACTGCTATTTGACATGTATTGGCCCTATGTAAACACTGTTCCATAAATACCGAAATAAGAAATGGTGTTCTTACATGCAATTTTATGTTAAAATTTAAATACAAAGTCACAAAAGTATTATTTTAACATTTTACGCAGGTTTTACAATACAATTTAATTTTTTTTTACAATTGTGTACTCCCAATTTTTTAAATAAAAATTTGTATATGTAGTTCTTATTATGGACCAGCTATTCCAATTATTGAAAAAATAACTTCAGTTCACAGACATTTGAGAAAGTACCTAAAATTCTGAAATAGCGCATACCAATCATGTCTGAATACACCTGCAAAAATCCTGTCATAAATTAAACTTGTCACACAGTCACATTCAAGTATCACGCAGAGAAGCTGTTCAGACGAGAAAAAATGTAACACTTGCAACCTTGAAACGTGTGAACAATGTTCTAAAAATGCACGCTGGTAAATTTTACAGATGCTTTCTTAACAAAGCAATCAGATTCGAACCCCTAGTGAACTTGTGAATTTTTTCTCGATGTCTCATGACCGTCACGGAAGCGCAGCATAGTCGTTAAGTTCTGAAAAATCGTACGGAAAAAATTCGATTCTACATTCCTCTGCATAGTGCTCATAAAATCTGAATTCAATAAGGCATCAATTGAAACGTGAAGTAAATGTGTAATTCATATCACGATTTAAAAACTGGTGTCATATTCATTCACGACCTTCTAGATTTTTAAAAGAACACACCTTTTATATGGCTGTTGCAACTTTCAATTAATATACTTCCAGTGGTAGTAATTCCTAGAATTTGTACACAGTCAAGATAAAAAAATCCAAAGCAGCAATTAACGACTTCCTGTTGTTTCTAACCAATATTTGTAACGTAATGTTCTAGATTTTTCATTCGTCATGAATCATTTTACTTAGGTTAAAAAATTAAAGATCTGTTTAATGGACTAACGAGAACAGTGGTTTACGATTTTGACTCTTCCATCACTCGTGTCAACGAATAATGCAACTTAGTAGATGCAAATTTATTACACAATCACAAACTTAATAGCGGCTCTTTGTTGTGTTTGGCTGGCACACTTCTCGTAAACAGGACCGGCTTATCTTTAAAAATGTTAGTAAAACATGCTCTTTGTCCATAAACGAAAGGGTTGGAAAAGTAAAAGCCATAAAACCACTACTTCCGCTGCTACTCTATAACTTGGTTACAACATTAATACATTTATTTTTTTTTACTAATAATTTATAAAACTATTTACATAGAACAACACGCGCTTATGATCCACAATAGAACGCATAAACATACTTTCATATAATGGCGTAAATTTTTAAATTTTGTAAAGTAACCGACTCTTGTATTTGTGGTTTATGAATCCGTCCAAAATTTTTATCCTACGAACCCAAATTTTCTAAAAAAAATCCAAATTGTATAACCGCTTTTTATACAAATACAAGTGGAAAGGGAACTATATATTGATAGATTAGCGGGTAGCTTCGCCGACTTGTAATGCCAAGGCCGTGGGTTCGAAGCAATCACGGTACGTTTTCCGTCCCGAGAATAAGCCAAGAACATTTATAGTAGAATAGTAGAGTTCATCCGACGAACAGCTACTTTCATATTTTCTATATTACAGAGCGTATCTTTGCCAGACTTTAAAAAGAAACCTTGCAATTTTTTTGTGAACTCTTCCATTGCAACGTCGCATCGAAATTTCAAAAGTAAACTGTGGTTGTAAAGGGTAAGAAAATGGCAATCAAAATATGCAAAGATATATAGTGTTCCATTAAAAAAACTAAGTTGTGTGTTACGCCTTAAAAACGGAACACTCTGTATAGTTCAGAATAATTTTAGAGTATAACTGCGCAACTTTGGTCTTTCACTTTTTTTTATCTATAATAATTAATGAGATATCGAGGACAGTGCGGTTGGTGACTCACCCTGTATATGATTTTTAAAGGCGAGGGAAATTCTATCTTAAACAACCACGAGTCAATTTTTTAAATGTCATCAATTTGTAAACCAGGAAAATGTTTGTATGCACAATATAACGCTGCTTTCTTTGCCGAATATAATGCGCACGCGCGTACTTGAATTTAGTAGGTGTGTCAAAAGTTACAGTGGGACCTTAACTTACGATTTATTTATCATTTTATGAGAATTCACTTTTAAAACTATGAATTATCCATACCATGATGTGATTAATTTTTTGTCGGAGCAAGTGTATTAATTTGAATAGGTACAATGTAACACTATATAAATAACTAATTCTGTTTTAAAGAATTCCAGACATTTACGCAATGACTTTTTTGAGAATGTTTTGACGTCTTTAATAAAGAAGCACTATTGTATAGCGTATTTTTCAATAAAAATATTTAATAACGTTTAAGATAACGCCGTCTATTTTTTAGCAGAGACAAATAAATGAATCCTAGGCAATATTCTCTACTTCTAAATTCATAATTTTTAGTGTTTTACAAAATTTCTACGAAGTTCGTTATGTATTTTTTGAGTAGCATGCAAAAAATTGTTACATAAAAAACATGACTTTGAGATAACATTATCTGAAGGTACACTTGAAATTTCAAGAAAATGGTCTACCAAATGCTTTGTTTGTGTAATAAAATCGCATTTTTGTATTGTATGAGCCAAGAAATCGTAAAATTCAATATTTGTCAAAATGACTCCACTTACTCACTGCCACAGAACTTCCGTTGGTTCTGACGCCACTATATACGGCAGGGCGTACAGCGTGACAAGTGAGATATATTCAATGAGATACAGAAAATTTCTGTGTATAACGATAATCAAAAGTATTGTTACGTTGTTCGGTGATTAAATCGGCATGGGTTACACTCAACATATTTCGCTTATGTACAAAATAATTCCGGCGTAACTTGGCTGAATAATAATCATTCCCGATGGATTGCCCATCGCGACTTCCGCGTCCAGGTTTTTCTCCGGTCGCAGTCACCGACAATGAGTCATCATCGCCGTATATACTAGAACCCATAGGCGTCGTATGGCTTTATTTCGTAACAGTTTCAAAATTTCACGAAAATTAAAATTAACTGAAACATTTTGCAGAAAGGTTTGCCAAAGAAAACATCGTAGCTCTAGACTCTCAAATCTTGTTTCTTCGACTACATTGAAGCACAAACAAAACATAATTTGAAGTTGTATTTTTTCATCAAGAATTATTTCATAAACATGCAAGATAACGTTATCAATTTTTGGAAAGGAAATTTTAGTTAATCATCTATAATTCCGAAATCAATATCGGTATTTCATGGTTTCACAGAATTCCGTCAAAATCCCCTAATCCAAATTTAGTTTTCGCGTCATTTATTTTTTCAAAGAAATACATTTGAATATCGTCTTGCCATTTTCACGTTAATTTTTTTGAAAATCTTACTATCAACATCAACTGTCACCAAAACGTCAATACTGTGTACTGCGGTTTTTCAATGCATCCACATTTTTTAACCCTACCTGTGCAGAATTTTCGCAAAAAATCAAAATTGTATAAAAAAAAATTTACAATTTACCTTAGGAACTACTCAAGTTAAGCAGAAGTTTTGGAATTATGATCAGCTTCTCTAGCCATCCCCATGGAAGTCATCTTAAAAATGTGCTAAATTCACAATGTGTAAAATATAATACGTGTAATTTATTGATCCAATATTTTTTTAATTAATTAATTAATTTTAATAAAGAAAAATTATAAAATTAGAATTTGCGATGTTCTATGAAGTAAAAACCATCAACATAAATTTCACAAGTACGGACAATGTAAAATATATTCGCAGCATATAAACAACGAGGAAAATGGTCTCTCAGCAGTAATAACAAGCTTTAATTTCAAGTGCTTGTTAATACATCGGAAGAATGTCACGTAAAAATTTGTTTGATTTGAATGAGTTTGTCACCTTAAAACAGGAAACTAAAATTATTAATTAAGCCACATTCGAACAGAATGTTGTATTATTATAAATGGGATGACTCGTTAATTTAATCAATAAAAAATTTGTTATATCGTACGTCAATGGTAAAGTGTTATTATATTGTTTTAATTTTTTTGCGAAAATTTGTACTCAAAACAGATTCGCACACCACAAGTATAGAGAATATTCCTGTATAACATTTGAATCGTATAAAGACAGAATCGTTTGAAATGACGTCATCAAATCGTTGGTGGGGATGATTCGCTACATAAAATTCCTAATATACATACACAATTTAACAACAATCGGTCCAGCAGTTTCGGAGATTACGTGTCTAAAATAAAAATACAAAAATGGATACAGATACCAGACAGACAGACAGACGGAAACGGTAGACTACTTCTTTCGTACTGTAGAGGTCATGAAACGTCGAGAAAACATAAAAGGGGCCATTCGTCCAATAGACTCGTGAGTTAAAGCGGTACAAAATCGTGAACACTTGGAACATGGTGTGAGTCAAAAGTAAAAACTTCGTACTGTTGACTCACTTGTGTGTGTATATACGTAGTTATATACTCACTTCAATCTTTTATGTAATGATTAACTACTATTATTCATGGTTCTTTCTTGGAACATGGGCAATATTAAATAATACAAAGGCAGCCATGACTTTTTGAAAGTTTATCTTTCACGAAACTTCTGTAATTTTAACCACAAATATTCAAATTTTGAAACCGTTGAAACTGGTACAGTGCATGTTTACTTGTAAGACATTCTTTTGTGTAATAATAACTATCCGTCAAACATTTTCGGGACATTGGCCCCATTTATCACCAATATGACCACTTAATTCAGCCTCGGTTCGAACGGACTAGAACACATTTCAGAAATGTGGAACAATTTTGATTCATGCACGAAATATTCAAAGACTGTAAACTAACGTACACCGAATCCATTTTACTGCTAGTTTACAATTTCGAACTTCCTCAATAATCAACGTAGGCGGCAACCGGAAAATAGGTACCACGGTTGACGAAAAGTTCCCCAAATGAATCAGTTCCAGAAAACATTTAAAATCATCTCTGCTGAATCAATACACGTTCTTTACAAATGACTCAGATTCTTATTCATAAAAATGTATTCGATCAGTGCGCCCTCGATGTGGAAAACGTCAGAAGTGTTAACCGATGAGGTTTACTTTTCGCATGAATGATAAAACTGATAACTCTGATAAATGATTAGAAACAAGGCACCACCTATGCCGGATACGACAGGGGTGACTAAGAAGTGGGCGTTTCTGAGATTCAATGAATCAATTGATGGATTATGAAATGTAAATCCTGCTAACAGTGTAACGCCCTTGATAGGGTCACTTGGGGTAAGGGCAACAAGTTGTATTCAACAGATTGCAGGAGCAAGGCGTGACTGGCTTTGTTCACTCACCACTATGTGTGTCGAGTTCTTGAGCACTCCCTGTATATAAACAATAAAGGCACAAACATAACAACAGTTTTATACAGCCCATTTTGCCGAATTATCACACTATTATTTCCGATAACGACGCGATTATCTCAATTATTTCAATCGTGAACACATAAAACTTTCCTAATTGCACTTGGTGTTTTCATTGTAGTCCGAAAGGCACTTCTAGTTTTTAAACACACAAAGAACTATGACTCGTGCTCCATCCATTCCTTTACACGAGTGCAACGACAGTAACGCTATGTTTTCGGTTTTTCTACATTCGAAGCCGGTTGTTCGGTCGGTTTTTCGCAAATCACAGTTTATTCGTATAATACTGCACACGCACTTTTTACATTATTAACGATTCGCTTGGTTTCAGTCATTTAAATACATTTTATAACGAAAGCACTAACAACAACCACCTAACAGGAATGAAGTGAGCGACTGAGAGGCAACTCTTCGCGCATGCGCTTTAAACATCTTTATGAATCACTTCGCCGCGTCACCTTTAAATCAAATTTAAACGAATTTATTCTTCAAAATGGAGGAAAGCGGATTTTCCGACTTTTTCGCCGTCAGAAAGAAAAGAAAATCTCAAACGATGTATGACTCACGCTCTTGTCACACTAATTCAATTATTACACAGATTACTCTGTCCATTGCGGGCAATTCATTTAAATTTAATTTAATTAAATTTAATTAACGCTTACAGTACGCTCAGAATACAGATCTACAGATTCATTTATTAAGCGGAAGGTTTGTTTTTGTCGTTGGTGTTGTAAATTATATTAGTTAGTTTATCTAGTGACATATTTGAGGCGTGGTGAATCATTAAGTACAAATAGAGTTTCTTCGGATATTCTGCATTTCGTTTTAAATGATAACGTAACTGCAGCAAACACAGCGGACATCCGCTGTACAGAAAATATTTTTAACTATAATTTGGTATCTAGTTTACAAAGAATTTTACTAGTTTTATGTATGTACTTTAATATAACAAATTTTACAGGAACGTTATGTTCGGTGCGCATGCCATTTAAAGATATTTATCAATCAACGTTCATTTATTTTTATTAGAGATTAACCGTGGAGGTAGAATTTTATCTCCATGACATTCACACATTTTTTTCAGTACACATGGACCATTAAAAAATTTTCAAATTTTTATGCGTGATAATGTTATTGATAAATAATACTACCTATATAAATATTGTTAAGACTATTACCAACGCTATTACCCTAAAAGCTGCTATAGTTTTAGAATCACTCAGAATCACTCTTCCAGTTAGTATTGTTTAATGTGATTTGTAATAATTATACATCCAAACTCCGTTTTTGTGTGTCAATTTTTACTTCCCGAGCGTAAGCAAAGGAAGTATTGTAATCGAGTCCGTCGGCCGACTCTCTACTTTTACGTTTTCTCGATCTTTCATGACCCCTAGAAGACGAAGAAATAGGTCTCCCATTTCCGTCTGTCTGTCCGTCTGTCCGTCCGTCTGTCCGTCTGTCCGTCTGTCCGTCTGTCCGTCTGTCCGTCCGTCTGTCCGTCTGTTGTCCCGGATTTTTATTAGACAGATAATCTCCGAAAGTACTCGACCGATTGTTGTGAAATTTTGTACTTATATTAAGAATATCATGTAGATGGTAAAACGCTAACCAAAATTTGTCTAATCATCCCCACCACTAATGCGATGACGTCACTTCAAAATTGTACATAGTAAATGGGTTTTCAATTGTATAAAATAACATAGTCCTACACATGTAGTTTACAACTCCGAATCGACTTTTCACTCGAAACGTCCAGATTTTTGGAAAAAAAATCAAAATTATAAAACAACATTTTGAAATTTAATTTTTAATCTGCTAACCAGAATGCTTTGAAATGTTGCAGATGTTTTAAGGCTATAAAGAGCATCATAAATCTTTAGTCAAAAAATATTTGCTTATCCCCTCCAAAAACTTGATGACGTCAGCTCAAAAGTTTGTGGAATAAATCATATCTAAAATGTACAAAATATGATGAGTCTGTACTTGTGATCTATCACTCCATTCATATTTTTTGGATTTGCATATACAGGGTGACTCAAAAAAATTAATGAATGCGTAAATTTATTTTACTAATTTACTCAGAAACTACAAAACCGAATGCTTTGAAATCTTGCAGATGTTTTAAGGTTATGAAGAGCATAATAAATGTTCAGTCAAAATATATTTGCTTATCCCCTCCAAAAAATTGATGACGTCAGCTCGAAAATTTGCCGAATAAATCCTATCTAAACTGTAAAAATATGATGAGTCTGTACTTGTAATTTATCACTCCATTCATATTTTTTGGATTTGCATATACAGGGTGACTCAAAAAAATTAATGAACGCGTAAATATATTTTATTGATTTAATCAGAAACTACAAAACCGAATGCTCTGAAATCTTGCAGATGTTTTAAGGTCATAAAGAGCATAATAAATGTTTAGTCAAAATATATTTGCTTATCCCCTCCAAAAACTTGATGACGTCAGCTCGAAAGTTTGCCGAATAAATCCTATCTAAACTGTAAAAATATGATGAGTCTGTACTTGTAATTTATCACTCCATTCATATTTTTTGGATTTGCATATACAGGGTGACTCAAAAAAATTAATGAATGCGTAAATTTATTTTATTGATTTACTCAGGAACTACAAAACCGAATTCTTTGAAATCCACTGCGAAAAAAAAAAACATAATAGGCATGCAGTCGTCACGTTTCCGACAGCGAGGGAAGTACTGTCTAAACTCTTTAGACCAATTTTTTATTTAAAGGAACAAATAAAATTATTTTGTGTACTTTTTAAAACCTTTATTGCTATAGTCAATATCATTTGGAAAATTATCCTGTCATTTTTTCATATATCTTTCCTTAATTAGGCAGATTCTAGAGTCTAAAGTCTAAAAATTTCCACCAAACAACGACTAACAGACCTGAATTTACTGCGCTAGTTACAATGGGCTAAAATTTCAGGAAAATAATATAATTTAAAAAAATTTGAAATTCAATAAAGAAATAAACAAACACGTACTATTATTAATTTATTGTAGTTGACGCCTAACCAGCCTGACTGAGACTGGCGCCTGTTCCAGATTGCATTTTTTTAAAGACGACAATAATTCTGCGTCAAGATAAAAAAAAATATTATACGCAGACTCAATTTATGATTCCAGCTTTAGCGATTATTATCAAAAGAACCAAGCTGTACGTATAATTTGTTGCATATTGGTAATACAGATCAATACTTTCAGTTTAATTTAGCCTTTCCACACTCTACATGACCCCATTTGGTCAACATTTTCGCATTTCATAATTTTTATGCCCCCATAATTTTTGATGACAATTTGTTGACATAAGGTCGTAAACAAAGTGTGGCACACAAAACTTAATATTCCCTCTGTTCCAAATTAAGTGCCCGTACTGGAAATAAATTTAAGTGTACGACTTCTAAAAAATAAAAAAAAAATTCTGTATGTCAGTTGGGACAAATGGTCTTATTTTTCAAGGATCATATTTTTGTCTCCACACAGATATTTTAAACAAAATCTTTTTAGCAACAAATTGTTACCAAAACAATTGTTTTCATTTTTTACTTCCCGAGTGTAAGCGAAGCAGTATTGTGATCGAGTCTATCGAATTACTATACTTAAAAAAAACTTCATTTTTAAAAATAAAGATAATATTTGGCAAAATAGAGAAATCTGATACTTACGTATTATTTTCAAAACAAAAGCATTGTTTTTCACCGTTACTTTTTCTTTTTTTTCAATTTAATTTTTGCTATAGGTGGTAGCTTTTCTAATAGTCATTCTTATGACCGTGAAAACGTGAAAAACACTGGTCAGTTAAAAAACTAAACTAGCTTAAAAAAAAATGAAATTTGTCGATATCTAAATTACAATCTTCTTGTTTAAATACGGGTTGTTCACGTGCCGATAATGACTTCATTTCTTGTTCAAGAAAAGATACATATAAATTTAAATTAAAAACATAAACATTAAAACAGTAAAATATTGACAGCTTTTTTATTTATTTCAACGTACAAATAAATACAAATGCACCTACCATTGTTTTTATTTAAACTTGTATCGTTATTTGCATATGAAAAAACAATCTTTAGAAAAAATAATACGGAAATTTGTTCCGCATTCTTTCAGATTTAGAACACTTAGCCTGATTGATAAGCTATTTGTATTGCTTCTTAAATGTGTGGTTTTATTGTCACATTATACATTAACGTTGTACTTATGTACTTAAAATTTCCATAAACAGTGCACACAGTGGATGTAAAATCAACGTTTTTTTTTAAGCATTTTGAAAACGTGTCGCAGCTTTTAGATGAAACAAATCTCAAGTAATTATTTTTTTTAGAAATTAAAGGATACAGTAACATTAATAACAAAAGTAAAAAATGTGTTCATAAGCGGTATTCACTTGATCACTCACCTGTTGAACAGTTGAATACATAGGTACCTATAACTTAAATAAGTATGATAATATAGGTTTAACAAATGATTATCTGTATCACTATACTCGGTTATAATGTTGAGATACACTTGTTAACGTAAATTTTATGGTGTTACGACTGATAATAAATCGATTTAACCTCAAAAATCAAATATAATAATGTTGCTAGAAGACTCCAGCCACTGTAAATAAGTAGTTACAGTATTATTATTAGTTATTTCAAGGAAACAAATTTGTCTACGAAGTTTTTCTTCATAAGAGATCGTTACGTTGAAAATTAAAATTTCCGCATTTTTATTTTTGAGGGAAAATTCAAAACTGATCTTCCTCATAATGTGAAATAAGTCTGAATATTTTTTACATACCTATTACTATTAAATTTGAACAACAGTTCCCAAAGCTTGTCTTTGATTTTTTGAAGTTGCAAAAAAAAAACTCTGAAAATTGTATACTTACCAATGTAATTTTCATGGTATTACTACAAATGGGGCAAATAAAATAACTATCTTTGAAAAATACCATCCAAAATGCCTTCACATTATTAGTGCAGGAACTAAATACTAAATAAATAATTTAAAGGCTACTATCAGAGAATTGTCCGTAAAATATATTTATTTACATCAATAAAAAATTAAAATATATAAATACTGATTGTTAACATTATTTTCAAAGAGCATCTATAAATAGATATTTTACGATTACAGATAGAGATGATTATAACAATATAAATGGCAACTAGCAGCAAGTAATAAACTAATTCCAGTTAAGTACACAACATAACAAAAAAGGCTTTTATCTTTATATTGTCTCTTCATTAAATGAGCTGATAATGTAGGATAAAACTGCGTTATATGATAATCTGCTGCTAGATGGAATGTTATCAATAGCAAATTTTTAAAGGCCATTATAATTTCGTGTTATTATAATACAATATACAAGAAAAAAAACTCACAATGTACAAAGTATCTTAAGTTGGTACAATTTGTAGGCAATTCTATACTTTTAGTTATTTCTACACAGCGTGTCAAAATAAATTCAGGTTACAGAGTATCAAAAGAAATTTTGATTTTTGCTCAAAAAAAAAATGCAATATACGAAATTTGTCTATTTTGAAAAAGTAGTTGGTGCTTACAAAAACGACCATTTACAAATAAAATTTTTAAAAAGAAACATATTTAACAACACTATGCCACAACTTCATACAATTATTAAACATAACTGGAACTTTTCAGTTTTATTTAAAATGAACTACATTATAAATTTAAAGCCAGATAAAAAAATAAATTACAAATTATATATTTCAAATAAAAATTAACAGTCAACATGATGGAACAATAAATTAAGATCATAATAAATAATGAATCTGATGCTGGCATAATCATGGTACGTTTCTTATGAATTTATTAGACTTTTTTGCCTGTTACTTCATCACATAATGCTGCTAATTCAGCACATTCCTTTGTTTTTTGTTCTAAAGCATTTTCTAATGCTGCAGTTTTAATTTCCAACCTTTTTATGATAGCGTTTTGTTTCACCTCGAGTGCCTCAAATTGACTTTTTAAGAATGTGTTTTCTTTGTTTGCTCTAAAAAAAACATAATTAATCAGGGACAATATTTCGCAGTTTGTTGTACTTTTCTATTTGTTTTGAAGCATGTGCCTTAAGAGATTCATATCGTTGTGCCTCCATTTTAAGGTTCTTTTCCATTGCTTCAATATTGTCTTTAAAAACTTCCTCATTTGCTTTAAAACCTTCAATAACACCCTTTGCACGTTCATACTTCCTGTAAAATAAGCATAAGACGTTGTAAGCATACTAAATTAGAAACGTACTGGATGACATCATGGAATGCTATTTCTAGAGTTGCCAAATTGCCTTTGACTGTCTCATGGAGGTCGCTCAGTTTCTTGTATTCAGTAGTATGAGCCACAATAGTTCGTTCATATTCTTCAAGTATCTGACTACAAATAAATTTTACTTTATATTTTGTTCCAACACAATATAAACTAGAACCACCAAGAGATCTGCCCATTCTGTAGCTTAAATTTTTTAATTTCGTCAGTATAATTGTGGCCGTTTTGACATTTTTGCCACTGTTATTTGAACTCAAATTTAACCAAGAAAGGGCAGATGTACTTGATTTTTGCTTGTCAATATATACATACTTCATTTTATGCTCTTTTTCAATTCTGTCATGGAGATCGTTCATAGCTTTAGTTGCTTTTTCTTCTGCTACCTTCACGGCATCTTGTAGTTCAGTTGTGGAGCTATTTTCTATAATTTTCGATGTTTCCCTCAACTGATCTTTGAGTTTTTTATTTTCTATTTTCAATACTTCAGTTTGCTTGCTTAAGTCCGCTTGTGTTTTCAGTATAATTTCTTCTTTTTGTCTTATTTTTAATTCTAAGGTTGCTATGGTTTGCTGTGATGCGTTTAATTGAAGCCTTAAATCAGATATTTCTTGTTGCTGAGATAATTTCTCACCTGAGTCCAATATAATCTTGAAAAATAATGAGGTTAAGAATTGATTAGTTGAATCAATAGACTTACATTATTCTCCATTGTTGCCATTACACTAACAAAAGTTATCACATATGAGCTGTTCTATACAAGTAGGAGTTTTTCGTGTGAATATTATCGGTTCTGTTTGATGTCTTTTTGGACGTCAGTTGTGATCAGTTGCGGTCATTATTTTTACTAAAATGTGTATTAATCGAACAGTTATAACGAAATACTTACACTTACCTCAAAGGACGATGATTATTTTTCTACTAGTAAGTTTTTAAGGTTAATGGAAGGATCTACAAATGGAACAATTAATAGTAAAGCTATGCATAGTGTATTTTAAATAAATACCATAATATCTCACTTATTACTACTTACGTTTAAGTTAAACACAATTATAATGATCAAAACTTTAGCCTACATTTATTTATTCAATTAATGAGGGACTATTAAGGTCATGATACGGTGATTTCGATGCAACACAATCTCAAGAAAATATATGTTTACGTACTTTTTGCTTTTTCCCTAATGATTAGAAAAGTGATAAGAACATGTGTTTGAATTATTGGGCGTACAATAGCTGCATAGTACTTGCAACTACTACAACACTAACTGACATTTTACACAACTGCCATATATGACAGTAATGACAGATGGCGATTGTCAAAAAGACGCGGTTTATTTAAATAGGTAATAATGGATGATTTTTATTCTTTCTTCGTACGCAATAAGCAATATTTCTGTAACTGACCATTTTTTTTTTCTCTGGCTTTGTGTTTGGTTAAAATTATTACTTCTCCTCTCTGCAGATAAGTCGCAATGTCGAAAAATTGCCACTGGACATTTTTATTATTGATCGACACGTAACTAAAGGTGCAATTACAATAGTTTGTTATTCGGAGCACTTGTTTGCAAAGTACAAAATGATGAGTAATACTATTAAAGTTCAATACGTTCTCCACAGTGTATTTCTTTTAGTAATAGTCGATTGGTCCATTAAATTACATAAGGAGCAAAACAATCGCATTATGATAGTGCCACGTCAACGTCAATAATTAAAAAAAAAACGGAATATTGGAAATTTTGCAAAAAAGCTGCCTTTGCAATGATTCTGTCGAAAAGCATTCTATATTACAACAACTACGGAGTTATTTTTGCAATAAACTTCTCATTAAACAAAATATTTTTTTAGAAAGAATTTAAGTTGTTAAAAGTAGTGATGATCGTAGAAATAAAGAATAAGAATGAATGAAAAAATAAATATTTAAACGTAGTGACAACGCGTATAAGAAAGTTCTAACTCACAAAGAATTTTCCGTAAGTTCACAAAACCTATGAATCATGGAGGTAGAATGACCATACCTCCATACCACCCATACTATGAATGTATTTTTGTGGTAGACATTCCAATTAGCGAATTCGAAAACAAGTTTCTCGAAAAATCTTTAAATTATATAAAAGTAACAATCCTGCGTAAAAAATAGTTCTGCCTTATTAAGAAAGTTGTGCGAAATTTAAATTTCATTGTTTTTGCAATACTTTGAAGCAGCAGAATATATAGGACTGATATAGGTGGAAGCATGTAGCTGGAATTCTACCATCATTGTACCTACAGGGATGGAAGTGAAAAAATCCCACTCCCCACACATTAGTTTTTGAAATAAACAAGGGTAATGAAAAAAAAACAGCGTAAGTGAAGTAGGTTCATTTACCTATGAAATAATCGTTCATGGCAAATTAATAGAAAAGTGACGATAAACTAAGTATGTTTTAACCTATTGAAGATTTGTCGTACTACAGAGTTACTTTTGTTACAGACCTTGAAATACAAAAGACAATAGAATTTTTTTTTTATTGAAATTGCTAATAACGACGGTAACCGTACGTGAAAGAGTTCTAGCTTATAAATCAAAATCTTTAAATTTTTGTAATTTTGTAACCAGTAAATTTTTTGATAAAAGTGATAATAGTGTCTAATAATAACTTCATGTGTAGCGAGAGAGGGGATGCGCTGCAGTCTAATAACCCCATGTTCAAGAATGTCAGAAAAAAAAAGTTCTCATTTTGTACCTGTTATTACTATTGTCAACTTTAGAATTTTATTGAAACAAAAACGCTTTTCTAAAGATATTTTTATCACCTAGTTATAGCAGTCACGAGTCACGATTCAGTTCAATACTGTCTGAAACGATTCGAACGTTTAAAAAAGGATAATAGAATCAACTGCATTCATAAACTTTTACTATAAACTATTAAAATGCCACAAATGCTTCAGTGAAGTAGAAATAGGTATTTGCAGACAAAAGTGACACAGTTTAATAAATTTTACTATTGTTTAACATTAACTAACAAATACAAATGATCCCAAATAATAACCATAACATTAATAATCTAAAAACTAAATGACAGCCTGTTCTTACAAGTTTATGCTATTAATCACTACGACAAAAACAAAAAAAGACAGAAAAATCAGCAAGATAAAAAAATATATTAATGGCGAAACGATAAATTTCTAATCGAAAATTTAGCGTTTTCAAATTCACCTATAAACTTTAATTATTTATTTTGGTTACTTCCACAAAAAAATGGATTAAATGTCGAAAATGGAGTGAAATTATTTAAGAAATAAAAACAAAAACGAGCAATAAATTTAAATAAACTGTAAAAACAATACCTTTTTTTGTATGACTGTAGCTACAACAAAAAAATTACTTTCAAAATAATTCAAAGGCTCGATACACTACATTAAACAGTGTATATTTTGTGCATTGCTCAATTTATTGTTCTGATTTTCGACACTAACAAAAAATCGATGTTGCATATGTTCACTCAGCCTATTAGATAATATAGTCCGTTCCAAAAATCCCCAATTACACTATGACAAGAGAATTAATAAAGTGAAATCTGACAAAGCCAGGAGAACTGACCGTATCGTATACACAATAATAAGCTAGCAACCTAAAAACCAAACTAACTAAAATAAATCAATTCGATTCTTGAATGGTTTCATTTCGCGGTTGCTACTTCCTAAAAAAAAGGTCTGTAAGATATATATTTTAATTGTATTCGATACAGTTTTCTCTGTTTTTTGTTCCTCTCTTTATTTCACCTGTTTTACTTTGTCTATAATCCCCTACTCTCATTATTTAGAGGGTTTTCTATAAATTTACGACTAACCATTCACAAATGACAGTTTATCAATGACCATATGACGACTGTTTTGATTCACTTGGTAGGTGCTTTTGTGACAAAGCGTGATTTTTTAGTGCTCATGTGACCTTTGGATTATTTTTCAGGATTTGTTCAGTGCTGCGGACAGGATGCTGTTTCTAACTGTAGCCATCGCTTTGACAGGTATTTAACACACAGATATATCACCGAAAATTTGACATTTGGAGAAGGATATCGCCATTTTTGACCTTTCCATAGCAAAATACATATTATTAATTCTGTGACAAATCACCTATGGCTTACTTAATTTGAGCTTTATTAAACAAACAGCAACCAAAACCTGCGGTTCAAATTAATTCATAAGATTTAAAAAATAGCTTTAATTTTTAACCGTCACATATCACAAACTTAGATCGTACAACTATAAACTGACGTTCGCTATCAACATGAGATTTATTTTTGTGGCCTCCAAAGAGCTCAAATTCTGTCAGTTATATAATGTATCCAATTCTTACTCAAAATACGTTACTTATCACTAAAACTAATCCAAGTCTTACTGTCCACCAGAAATTGTGTTCCATATGTTTGCATATATTTTTTCAGCGTCTGCTTCTTTGGCCCAGGAGTACGAAGATATAGAGCTATATAACAATTACGATGAGTACACAGCACTCGCCGATGCTGCGGGAGGTGCAGGTGCAGGTGGTAAAGGGCAACCCAAGCTGGGATTTAGTGCTGGCAGTGGGTTAAGAAGCATTGCTGAGGGATCTTTCAACTCGGCTAACGATGCTGTTAACAATCAAGATGCGGCTGGTCATCAAGCCGCTTTTGTCGCCAAAAATACCTTAGCACAGGCTGCAGCTGGTGTAAGTTATCGATTCGTTATTCTCAAAGAGTGAAATTTGCATTTAGCTGGTCGTTAATCGAACAGAAATGGAATGTTACCGCGGCCACAAAAACATTACTTTTTGTCTCTCTATGGTCTGGTAAAAATGCTAATCGCACCGATTTAGCAAAAAACTCTATTATTCAAGAGCTCTCTCCAATTTTAAGTAATCGAATCGTAATGTTACTTAAATGATGCTTTTTGTCGACTTCCAATTTATTGTTCCGCTTGACTTAAACCAAATATAAAGAAAGCTCTCGGAGAGAACTGTCTCAGAACACTTTTACTTAAATGAGCAGACACCATAAATAAATTAGATTATTACGGTTACACCAAAGAAGGGTGTTGCAAATTTCAATTAATCAGCTTTTAATTAATTCTGCTGCACTTTGATAAAATTTTAGAACACTTTTCACTTTATCCTTAAACGAGTTTCGTTACGCGAAGTAGGTTTCAGATGTACCTAAGTGTGAGAAATTAAAATATGTCCTTGACCTCACTAAAGAATTAGTGTGAAGAATTAACTAACTACAAGATGTTCTTTTGTGAATTAAATTTGTGCAATCGCTCTATTGTGAAAAATTCAAATGCCAAATGTAATACAAACAGGGAGAGTTTTTATATAACGGTTAGAATGGATGAGGTTTCATGGTCATTCAAAAATTAGCCACCTCTTCAAGTGAGCGGTTAGCACTTTAGCACATCTGGAGCAACATCGGGATATTTTTATTGCATGATGTTGGTTTAATGACCTTGCAAAACTACGAGGATCGAAAATTATTTGATTTGCTACCGGCTACAAACTTCCCATCCGTATACCCACTCTGTATCGAGGTCATGGGATGTCATCACCGCGTGCAAATTTTAACACTCAGAGCTGAAACTTTCTGGTGGGTAAACTTATTGTTTCCAAATTCTTCTCTTCGTCGTCATTAAAATTTGATGGATCCTTCGTCGAGGAAGTGATTTCAATAATCGGTACCAGACATATATGCCAATAAGTATTAGGAATATATATTTTTTCGCCTATGTGCTGAAAATAACACATACCTTCTTGAGTAACCGTTAATGCAATTCTTAAAGTTATTAATAAATATTTGAGACTGTGGTTCCACTTTCGCAAAATTGTTCAAAACTTAGTCTTGAGAAGCATTGCGCAAGCACAAATATACAAACCAGATCGGCAAACAGTTTTGTCATTTTTCCTTGAAACCTTCTTTGTGGATCTGTTTTTTTTTTTTCCACTTTATACCTTGAAATCAGAGATACTTATTCGAAGTCGAATTTTACACATCTTCGAGATGTGTAAAATTAACTCAAAATAGGCGCTTCTCCAAAACAAGTCAAAATACAAAGTTCTGGATATGATAAGTGATATTCGGTATATACATGACTTTATTATACACGATGCCTCATTCAAACCTATTTAAGTAAAACTCATAAGACATTTTATAATTTCTGTAAGGCAATTAACCGGAAAGGTAAAATTAATGTTCTTAAAGGGAATTTTGTCATCTAAAGACAAAAATAGGGGAGATGGTCGCATTTAGTTCTTCTGAACATACCTACACATTAACTTAGAAATTTATACAAAGAACTAGTTCAGATAGGTGCAAGATTTGAAACTGATAACTTTTTCCACCTGATTCAAACAATAATAGAAATGTTTGCTCAAAACCACTTATTACTGACTATGCTTTCTTACGAAGACAAAGCCAAAGCTGAGCTCATCGTAAACTATTTTTTTTTACTTCACTATCATGGGGGCATGAAAATAGGGGTATTTTCATGGTCGTTTCAAAGAACGTGTGGTGTTTTACTTAATTCTATTTTGTTCCGAAACCCGGAAGGATTCTAATATAAGAAATCAAAAAGCAAAATTTTTCCTTGTTCTCAATATCTCCGTGTAGACAATTATGTGAATACGCGTACTTTTATTTGGACATTTGTCCATACGTTGACTGTGGTCTCTAAATTCCGTACACCTACAGGTAGGCATTTGTATGGTTACTATTAGCCCACCTTTTCCAAGGTTATATGGTAGTAATACAATCTTTAACCACTAATAATTGGGTGCTTTACGGCGGCGTCTACTGTGTCATTAAGCCATTTGTAAGTGTTCCGATTCTGAAGGCTGACAGATCCGGTTTGAGATTTGCTCAGATATTCTTATCTGATACCTTTTAACAAAACAAAGCACACGGCAACATAGATATTTTTCTTTATTGTAAATTTGCTGAATAACATCATTATAAAATAAACAATTCTTTTCTTTTCGATTAAAATTTCCAAACATATGTAAATATACGTCCCTTCATCTGTTGGATCAACTGGTACGTCGAATGTTATTTATAACTATTGCGGTTTCTCCTCCTCTCGTTGGCTTTTACCCAAAAGATTCGATTTTACTGCTGGCATTTAACTTTAGAAAATGTGTGCTAGTATGTACGAAAGTAATTTTTCATTATGCATACTGAATTTTTTTATGATTTATCCGTTTAGGCCTCAGCAACCGCCCAGGCCGCACTGGCCGGCAAGCAGATCCTCCTCCAAGGCCTCGAGCAGCAGCTTCGCGATGCCCAAACGGCCCTCATGGGCGAGAAGCAGCAGCTCATGCAAGCCCAGCGCTCCGCCGACGCCACGATGCGCGCAGCCCAAGAAGCCCGCGCCCACGTCAACGTACTCACCAACACTCTTAACGCGGCCCAGACCAACGCTGACCACATGACCCAGGCGGCGTCGGAGGCGGCCGGAGAGCTCGCGGCGCAGCAGTCCATGGTGGGCTCGGCAAAGCAGCGTGTGGAGCAGCTAGGCAAGCAGCTGTCTTCCGTGCGCATAGACTTCGAGGCCACTAGGGCTGCTGCCCAGAAGGCCCAGGCCGCCGCGCAGGCCGCAGCGGCCAACGCCGCGGCTGCGGCCGCCGCCGCAGCCGCCGACCTCGCTAAGAGCGCCTCCCCCGCTCCACCACCACTCGGTGGAAAGGGGAGTAATGGCGGGGGCGTCAGCAAAGGGGGTGCCGGGGGCGGCGGGGGTAAAGGGGGCTCCCAGAGCGGCAAAAATGGGGGCGGAGCGGGAGCAGCAGGGAAGTATATTCAAGGGATTGAAGGCAATGTGGCGTATGTTGAGGACAATTTTTATAACCCCTTTCAGTATCGCAAGTAAGGGGGGGTAGTGAGTTAGGTTATGTTTTGTTATGTGTTTCAGTATAGTTTTTTATATAATAAGGTGATATTTATTTGGGTTGTTTTGCCAATAAAAGTTTCGAAGGTACTGTTTTGTGTTAATTTGGTGGGAGGGGGGATGTGGCGTAAGGCGTATTAGCGCCTTAATAAAATTAGTGACGATTTAATCATCGTTGCTTCACGAGGCGAGCAATGTTTTACTTGATAGTTTACATCGCGTAAAAGAGAGAGTTAACCTTTAGAATTTAGGAGATTGCCGCTCAAAAATAATCAATACATACATAGTGAGAATATTTTCTGTGGATTGCAAAATTATTAGAGTGACTAATAATTTAAAAACTAAGAGTTGTCTCACTGTAACTGATTTCAGTTTCACTACCCACAAAAACACTTTTGAAAGATAATAAATTATTTATTAACCAACAATAAAAAATTCGTAATAAAAAAGGGATAACAATTACATGCGACATTCAAATATTTGGTAATAGATTTACAGATAATGATTCTCAAAGGCACCTAACCGTTTTTTAACACAGGCAAAGTTACAATTGGCTTAACCCCACTTACAGATTTCATCAAAAAATTGACAGGTCGCGGGTGTAAAACCAGTTTTAGTTAAAAATACGTCATTTCTGTTGAAACTGGGAGTAATTTTAATAACCTATAACCAGTGCAAAATCTTAAATGCGACAGAAATAAAATGTTAATTTTTTACATCAGTAAGTGGTGTTAAAACAAGCTCGATTTCAAATACGATGATACACAGTTGTTGCGGTAGGAACGTTTTTCTGCTGTTTCTATCAATATACACAGTAGTATTTATTACCCATGGTTCAATTTTTTGATTAACTTAATAGTAAAAATTACACGAGCACATCATGGATGTTGATTAATACAATCAAAATTTCTAATGAGTTTCTAATTGCAAAGCACCTTAATCTGATAAGTAGTTAAATAACCCCTACATAACAATAAATAAGACTTAGATTTTTCCTTTGAGCTTATGTTAAACAAGGAGAGTATCTTAAATAATGTCTTTACACATCGAGTTATTTCACTCCAATGTGGAAAACTCGTTTGTCCGGCTACAGAAACACAAAAAAAAGAATTCTCTAGAAACACTAATGTGAAAGTATACTTGATCGGGAAATTGTTAAACTGTATCAAGAGTCTCTCAATTGATGCATGTTATTCATCTACTTTCATAGTACAATACCTCCTTGCTAACATCGAAAAATTGAATATTCTAAGACAAACTAAAATTATCAGTCTTTATCTTTCGATTTGGGTGTTGTCGAACTGTCCTTTTTGTACCCAGAGAAAAACGTCAAAGCTTTCATAAGCTGATAGCTTTTAGATATCGGAATATTTGAATCGTAGAGTTTTTTGGAGTTTTTGCAATCTACGTAAAACCACCAATTGCACTTTAGAATTGTTTGATCAAAGAGTGTTGACTCTGGGCAGAGGAAGCTCTTCATGATTAAACCATCGTCCGTCAAAGCGCACACGTGGAATACCTGAAACAAAAGGAATTTACCTGTTAAACATTCGTGACCTTCTTTTATTATTTGCACCATATATGTTTACTAAACCGGACTTACATCTCAGTTTTAACTATACTTTCTCTTTGACGAGGTGTTTTTTCGTTTAATGGCGGACATTAAACAATGTGTCTTTGGTTATGAAAATATAAGGTATATAAATGATCCGTTTTGTATAATTTTATCATCTTGTGTAGGCGACAATTGATTGAGAAACTGTAGGTCAATAAGAACAAGGGTCAAGCCACGTCCCATTGACTTACAAAAACCGAATGGAAATTGTCCTGTTATCATCCGAAGAGCTTCTGTCATTAGACTGATTGCATAATATGCAGGTGCGGTAACTTAATTTAAAAACTGGCCCACTTTTCTATAAACTGTGCGTTTACAAAACATTTAGAACGTGTAATTATGACAACCAAAAAGAAGCATGCTATTTTTTTACTACATCATTAACTCTTTCTTTGGGTTAAATGGCAATTGCTACAGAGCATCAGTTCTACTAACAGTAGAAAGTTCTTTCAAAACACCACATGAAAAACGGTATTAAATTATCAATTTTTGAACTGTCATTCATTCTATTCGAAGACATGTTAATTAATAAAAAATATGTGTAAAATGAAAGCCCGGCGTTGCGTATGTAATGCTTTATATTATTTTTAAATCTGCTCATTTCAAGGTTGGGATTGCAACACTAGGCAATTACTTTATTCGAAATCGACGAGAATGTAAAGTTGTGAATAGCTTTTTAACACCACTTACCATACATCCCAGGTCCTCATCAGCATAAAGTCCCGGAAAGTGTTTCTGGTCCCCACAGTAGAAAGAGGTTTCCGGTAGCTCAACCCTCGACGCAAAATTGTCATCAAAATTTTTATCGTACCCTACGGGATAGTATTCCTTAGGTGCATTCATCACTTTGCCTACACTATTCGCGTATTTGTTGACCGGTCTTGCTGTGGTCGTTGTGGTTCTGGGTTTGGCCACCATCTGATGTCTTTGAACTAACGCCGTTTGTAACATGTCTTCCGTAATGTTGTTGGTGGCCAAAATAGCTTGAATTGAGTTAGGATTGACTGCGGGCAGCTCGTTATTTGGAGACGGTAGCGTCCTGAGCGCGAAATTCGTACTGCTCAACTTATCACTAGATTGCACTTTGTTCATGGGCACAACGACTGCCATCACTTTGGGTTTACTGGGCTCCGAGGGTAAGGTCGGGCCGGTGGATTGTCTCGAAATGGAAGAAGGCATGGGGTTGTACGGCGGCACGGCAATGCCCATGACTGCGGGGGTTGGTATGTTGGTTTTGGGCGCTTGGGGTCGTTCGGGGGCAGGTGGTATGGGTTTAAAAGGAGGAACTGTCGGAACTGACGATTTTTTCATTACTTCTTGCATGTTAGGAACTTCGACGGGATCGGACGCTGCAGGTGAACGAACCCGAAGTGAGTTCTCCTACGAGAAAGACCAGATAAATTAATTATGAAATTTTAACCTTGGACTATCGACACAGTTACTGCGCGTTAAGAAATTTTTTCTGGGACTTACAGCCTTCATTTTTTGTTGGGCTTGGATCAGTTGGGCTTGTAGGCGAGAAGCTTGGGCGGATCGTCTTCTATTGTTTTCAACATTAGACAGAGATTCCTTAAAACCCAGTTCATCCCCAAGACTAAAACCTATAAAGTAATGGAGAAATATCTATTAAATTCTTGTGATAATTTGAAACGAGTTTGTAACACTCACTGTTGAGCTCTCCACATGCCATAAATTTATATATGTGGAACTGAAACCTACCTACTTATATTCAGTAATTACAAACTTTAGATAACTCTGTTACTCAATGAATTGAAAATTTCTAACTTGTGTGCATCGTAGTAGTCATTGTGTCGTTTCAAATGATTGTGTGATCAGAGTCAAGGTTAACAATTATAAGAACGATCATCCACTCGATAATAATAATTGGTAATTCTTGACAAAACAACACTCGTATACATAATCGAATTACTTCATAAAGATCTAATAATTATTTAACATGAAAAATTTGATTTTCATGATTAATTTTCCAGAAAATCTAATCGAAGCGAGGTAAAAGTTGTTTAACTGCATTGTTACAGATAAAAACGTTACTCAATATTTTTTATGAATTCACGATGCACGTATATCCTTTCTATTTGATAGAATCTAGTTGTTAGTACTACTCTAGGAGGAAATTAAATAATAATACACACTAACATAATTAATTGATATAAAAATGTTGTAAACTATAATTACATTGGTCAACAAGCTTAAGGTTGAATGGCTATAACCAATTTAGATGAGCATACAAATTTAGAAATGGTTATAGTAGAGCCTAGAATAACAAGTGGTCCAAATTATGTACGGTTGCAAAAAAAAAACGAACATGATGTTAAAGAAAGTACTTTGACATTCTTTAACATCATTTGTAAGTATAAGTAATGAATATAAGCAAAATTATTATTAATGACAATTAAAAACCTACTGATTTAAATATGACCTACTTATTCTAATGATGTTAATAATTCACAATATAATAAGATAATAGTGTATAGGATTTCAAAATCACCCAAATAACTTTAACATATTAGAAGACCTTGACTGTTTAGCTGAGTTTTGCTGTTACTTTAATTTTATTTAAATCCGGCGGCACAGAATTGCTAAACACAGTTCTACAAAATCATTGTATAGTATTTTTAATTAAAAATTTCTGCAAATATGCCAATTTTTATCCCTGGTCGAACTGAACACGTTGACTCTAGGAAAATATGCACCAACCTCGGCAGGAACTCAGTCCTATTGTTTGAGGTCTGTTTACTGACTGGTCAACCCCTTCTGTATTTTTACGCTTATGATGATAACTTTCTGTTTTATGTCCTATATTCTGCCAAATTTTGCGTTTTGCCAACGTTGCTTTCCACAAAAAGATAGAAATAATGTTATTGCTACAAAGATTTCATGTTAGAATATACGAAAAGAGATCAGAATAAAATATATCAAGAAGAACCACAATTTCCGACGAATTTACTGCACTCTTAGAAATTGTAATGGTATTTGTTTTCTTTTCTAATGAAAGCTGAACGGTTATTATATCGTTCGTATTAGCTATTTCTTCCTTTGTAAATATAATGTCTAATTATTATTGTAGTAAACGAGTATCTTACAATTTGTTTTGGTTGACTTAATACTACCATTTCGCCACATTTAAAATGCTTTACAGGCACATATTTCTGTTCTTTCTGTTTATGAGAAAAACATGTGTTTAGAACTTGTGGTATTATTACTGTCCTTCACATTCAAATAATAATAAGAATGGTTTTATTAATTATGCAAAGTATTGTGGTACAAAGTTCAAATGGAAAAAGTGAGCAGTGGTTGCCAGTGGTGGCGGCAAGAGGATATTTAAAGAAATTTCAAAAATAATTTTTAAAGTTGAGATGTTCTATTTGATTTTCTCAACGTCATGACGTCATCAGAATGACATACTTTTGAATTTCATAATATTGTTGAATTTAATACGTAATAATTTTTACACATCTATTTTTGTTCAATATGTACAGTCACCGCACCAGACCACATTGTTTGTTTTCATAATTAATGCAAAATATAAGTAACTAACTATTGGTCCAGTTTAACATTCGAGCATGAAATAGTAAAGTAACATTTTCATCAAAAATTGACAGCTAGCCAAGGAATATATTTGAGGGTGAAATCATATCATTGTTAAGTGAAAATTGCAAAAAACATATGTAGCAATTTACCATTTTGGAAAAATATGTCTAGCGTCTTATAGAAAGTGATAGTGACAATAACAAGTGTTTTTATTTTTATACAACAAAACATTCTTGTTAAATGTGAGAAGTTCGATGAAGTAGCGTGAAAGTTGGAAGATATAATTGCATATAAAAATAAATCGGGGACACTCAGTATAATATAATACCCCCACATATAGAGATACTGTTTTAACGCGTTCCTTAGCACTTTTTGGAAGCTTTATTTGTTATTTAGAACACTATAAATTATATGATGCAGGATATGCACCCTGTTTTTCTTTATACGTAAGTATGTTTGATATACCACATAAATACAACGGATTTAGATTCTAGATTTTTTTAATCACATCGCAAGATATATATGATGTGTAATGGAAAGGCAGAACATTTTAAAAATTTTAAGTATGAATGTTTGTGTTTCAAAATTTTGGGCAAACTGATTTTTTATTCTGCTTAAAATTCTTGTTTCGTTGCTAATAACTTTGACGTTATCACTGACCGAAAAATATACAAATACAGAGAAGGTTGTAAGGAATTCGAATACTAAATATCGAAAATCAATCGACTACCAAAAAAAGTATTTTGATATTAAAATAATAGCTAGTTCTACAGTAGACGTCATTAGATAAGGTAGTTAATAATGTAGTTGTTTAGAAAGTTTCAAATGGTTTAAAGGTTCTACGAAGTGTTAAGTTGTAGTTATAGTTAAATGGATAGGTATTACGTCAATAATTTGGACCCCTTGTACACTTATAATGTGAATGATGTTACTACAGATAATACACTAATTACAAAAAATGATGAAGGTAAGATAAACTGTATGAAGCTATTCTACACTGCAGACGAAGAATAATGAAGCAAAGAAGATAGATTACCCAGGCCTATGTGAGCCTTGACACCACCAAGATTTCTAACTCGAAACAGGCCAGATTTCTTAAAAGCACAGTTGAGGGTAAATCCAAAATCTGATTCCAAAACGCAGGTCGGTCGGCCTAGCCGCCATGTGCCGCCTGCAATTAAAATTTGACATTTAATTTTTCTTTGGCCTACATTTCTCCATAGACACGGGGTGCAACAATTCCATCCCTTCCGAAGAGTCGCTCGTTAGGTTACATCACCAAGATAGAAACTTCTTGCGGTTCAATTGCAGTGGCCTTAATTGTATTTTTTTTTCTAGGAAAACGCGAATTATACACAATTGCCAGGTTATTATATCAAAAATGGCCGAAGTTCCCACAAATTTTGTCGGAAATAACTTGCATATTGCGTTATGTAAAACTGGGGGAAAAACCGAGCGGTTTTGCTCCGATCCAGATGATCGAGCTAAGGTTACAATTGTTATATCACGATTGCGTAAACGAAAAAGACATATTTAATAAAATTGTCCAATTTGCATTAATGTTTTTGATTCTGCTTGGTGAGATATGTTGCAAGAGAGTTTGGGAAATACGGTAAGGTCGGCAACTTTTAAAAGTAATTAAACCGCAAGAAAATTTTCTACAATAAGGAATGGAAAAGATGGTTTAAACGTTTAATTGTAATTTGGCAATTTGTAACACATCAAACCTACTAACCTACATTGTCCATCAGGTAACACCGTTTAGTTCCGAAAGTTTGCTCAGACAGAAAATGAAAACTATTTTACATTTTTATTAGTAATGAAGCTACTATATTACATGCTACAGTATCTTACAAGCAACACTTTCGTCATGAAAACTGTTATTATTCCGGTCAAGCTGTGCGTGAAGTTGACAACTTGGAAAATATCCACCTCCGCGCGGTTTCTACTTTTTTGCTTTTCGTTTTACTTGAATGAATCATTTGCACGAAGGGTCCTAAATGCGTTTTAAAGTGACAAAAACATTACCTTAATTGCCCCAGAGTGCATTTATGCACTTTATTAGTCATTCGAAAGTGACCAAATTCTGTACAAATTTCCATTATTTTTCGCTTTCGGTTAAATGTAATTCAGGCCAATGGTTTTACTGAACGAAGACTAAATCAGGAAGTTACTGCAAAGTTATCAACTCCGGTTACCGGAAACGTTTTTAAATCCCCGTTCAAATAAAAACATTCTACGAGAATTTGAGTTGTTACACCATGCTCTATACATATTTACAGGCAAAAAAGCGTTACATACCAAATATTGTTATAAATAACAACACACTAATACACTTCATTGCAGCACTTTGTTTTTAGCACCATTCACTGCACGCACTTTGACGGCTAAACACCAACTCGCGCGCAAGACTTCGCTCTTCAGATGTCGATGTTAAGACTGTTAAGTTGACCCAGTCCAAACCAAACAAGTAACGGTATCAATGGTACTTGGCTTTACCAACCAGCAACGACGCTGATAATAATAAGAAGTATCCCCTCACTGTCGATATTTCTTAATCCATTTACAACTTGTCGCGTTGTGTTTATTGTTTTTATATGGTGAATTTTCTACTTTATGTTTGATTAGAGATATTGTTCGTCAGTTTGCTTAATTGGATACATTCATTTTGCAACCAAATTATATTGGTTGGGTTATTATCTTGCATTGTGGGGAAATGCTTGTGGCCCTGTCCTGTTTCTAATAATCCACTCATCTCATTTTGACATGTAGGTATTAGTTAACGATTGCACCAAATGCAATCATCCTTCGCACGATATATCTAAATCTTAGAACTAAAATTAGACTCATTTCAGTCAGTCCGTTTTGCAACTGCATCGGCAAAAGTTTCTCTAAACGCGGCAAAGTAAAACTGCCACTTTCGTTATATCTTGAAAATGAAAAAATCCAACTGAGCACCAACGTACCCCTTGAAATTTATAGTTTCTTTATTATTTTACCGCTTATCGTTATAGTAGTATTATAAATCATAATTTGTTGTGTGACTGAGTTTGACAGTTGGATTGTAATTTGATGAAATAATAATTAGACAACCACGAATATTAAAAATTTGCGCCTTGTTATTGTTGGATTGCATGAATTTATTTTAAAAGCGTACACGAATGAATGTGGGCTACTGGGTTTGTAGTAAAGAAGACGAAAGCAAAGAAGAAAAAAAAAGATATCATCAGAAGCTTGTGAAAGTTTACATACAAAGATATATAGAGTAATCATCTTCATTTTGTGCTTCTTTTAAATGAGAAAAGATTTCGTGTTTTTAATAATAAATGTGTTAGTCAAACCATAATGTTTTATGACTTTACTAAGGAAATATTAAACATTTACGTTTTAAAACTGCAATAAATCTTCACGTTGTACTTTCTTTTGCTAAGTACATTTATGTTCCATTTAAATTGGTTGCTGTCTCTGTTATGTCATTTGCGGTAGAACACAAAATATATCTTTTAGTTTTAGATTAAAAAAATGAACTGTCACTTTGAATTATTACAGCTCGAATGATTCTCGGCAATAAAGCGTAATTTTGATTTAATAACTATTCCACGACGAGATCGAATGTAAAAAAGCGTCTTAATACACAATAGAAAAAGCATAAAGACTGTAACAGGCACTACGTCATTGTAGTTTTTTGCTTATAATCTAAATTAGTTTGTGATGAATTATATCCACACTGTGATTTTATTATTTTATTTTGTTACGAACAACTTCGTCAAACGTGCTATAAAACTTACTTTAAGAAAGCTTACGAAAAAAGTCTTTAAGTGAACGGAGATCCTGTTGTTAATTAAATTAATAAAATCAAATGTTATAATAAAAAAATGGATTTGCTTTCTAATATCCAGTGGAATCGAAGAAATAGTAAAACTACAAGGTTTTCTATTTTGTTGTAAAGTTGAATTTAAAACGAATCGTTACAGTAGTTTGACAAACAGCTCATAAAGTATTGTTTTGATAATATAAATTCATTCATTCATTCAATATTAATGGCAGCGGCAACGCCATAATAATTAAAATCGTACAGGTAGTAAAAACTCTTAAGTGTCAAACAGTAGGTTTATTTTCAAGTAGCTCGACTGAATCCACTTCACAGCATTTTGCTCTTATATGTTTTATTGCTGTACTTAAAACAGTAATATCCGTAATAGATTTAAATGCACTATGTTTAAAGAAAAAGTGAAGCTTTCCACTTTGAAAGTGAATCAATCGATTTTCCTGAACAATAATAACTAATAAATGTTTGAAGAACTTTCGTTCTTTGTCGTTATTAATGTATGTTATTTTATTATGTAAAACGAGGAAAATAGAATACACACATTAACACAATATAGACTATTAAGTATGCAAGACAGTCCAAAAATAAAATGAACAAAAGTTTTTGGGAAAAGTAGCATAAACAACGTTTTGCATACCCAGAGGACATTCAGTCTAAACTAAATGACCTAAGTTCTGCATATAAATTAACACTGGAAAACACAAAAAAGAGTAGAAAGTAAAATACCAATAATGCTTAAAATGCAGAAGTGATAGTAAATTTGAAACGCTGAATATTAGAAAAAGAAAACAAGGCATCATGTTACAATTATCATAATAAGAAGGAATATAGCAAAATGTACTACCATATTCCCTCTGTTCCTTCTTTGTCCTAAGATGGGTTCATACCAAAACGCAGTGTGCTAATTACGTCCAGTCTAATGCCTTTACATTCTCTCACTATCATTCAAAAACAGAAGTACCTCAAGGAACCAACCTGAGACGACAATTTTTTACGTTATTTATAAATGATTTGCTTATGAAACTCTCTGGAAACGTGATGGGTTTGATGATGACATTAAATTATATCAAACAATCTACAATATAACTGATACATTTTGACAGCAAGAAAATTCAAATATACTGAAATTTATCGGTGAATCGGGCGTGCATTCAAACGAATAAATTTTTTGACGATATCTTCATTTTCTGGATGGATACCTAATTATCCGGTAACTGGATTAGCTGTTGGTTATTATATTATATCGTAGATGGAGGATTAAAAAATTCATGGAGTTGTGCACATTGCTAGCGACTTTGTTTTGCACACTTCATATTTACAATGTAGATTTGTTTTAAAACAGTTTGTTAATGGACATTCTAAAATATGTAGTTATGTAGAAGTTATTAAAAAATGAAATAGTTGGTATTTCTCTTTTTCCAGTTTTCGCGAGTAACGCATGGGTAAATCCGAACCTCACCCTGTAAAAAGTGTTGGGTGTAAAATTATGGATGATGCTTGGGAAATTTTGATAACTTTCTTTTATGACATCACTGTAGATCGACCTAATAACCTCTGCCAGATCCGTAATAGCCACCGACAAACAAGGTGTATTATGTATGCGTCGATTAGCATTGTTTCGCTGCAAGAATCGTGTTAACGCTTTAAAAAGACAAAAAAAGCAGAACCGAACTTAGCAATCTTCTCCTAACTGATTGTAGGTTAGGTAAACTACAAATAATAACGCTCTAGTTTAAAATATATTTCAGTTATTTATTATCCTTTTCGTACAGTTGAAAACTGTGTTCTTGCTTTCTTGATTATCGAGTAACTGTCCATGGTTATCTTCTTTGTGCTTTAACTGCACGAATCGAACGAGAAAATATCGTGGTTGCGCAAACTGCCGTACCGTTATACATTTTTTCATAAATGTAACGGATACTTTAAAAGTTGCATTATCCAGTATTATTTTAACATGGATATGTTACTTCCGCGATACATTTTATGTTAACAGAGAGCGTTAAACCGTACCTACATAAGGGATTTATTTAATGGAATTGCCAAAGTATGACTAAAGTCTTAGTAAATTGTGTCAATATCGTTATAAAATTCAAAGAATATTTATGTGTCCGTAACATTGGTCAATAGAACATTCTCTGTAATAAAAGTGTCCTGGTAAGTTGCGGTTTGACAAAAAATAAATTTTGTATTTAATGGTTGCCAATTTTTATAGTCTTATATGTCTATCATAAAAATTATTACTGTGGCACAATTTCAAAAAATTATTATCCAAACACTTATGATTTTATTAGTATACTAGTACTCACATTAGGTGATAATAGTTAAATTTTAATTTATTAGTTTGTTAAATGCATAATCTAATCGTAAAAGTGTAGGTATATTTTAATATCTTGCCACATTCGACTTTTTTGAAAATAATTTCAGTTCATGTTATTTAAAGACTTTACACAATTTTCACACTTTAGTTTACAGTATGTCATGTAGTTATAATTTTATTATGCAATTTGCGTGTGATGACATGCTACATTACAAATATTTAGTACGAGTATTGTTTATTTTTACGCTCCAAAAATGCATTTGTTAGAAGCGGCAAGAGTAATTAAAACAATTTGACTAACAACTGGATTATTTAAGATACAGACAAGGTGATCCACAAATGCTTGTTTGTCTAAGTCCGTTGTAAATCTGAAGTTTCATCTGAGTTCTGATGATGGACTTCACTAGATATCTGTTAACACATCAGAGTAAAAAAATTGGTCGAAAGTTGTTTCGCTCCTGAAGTACAATGAAATATATCCAGAATTTTTGAGTTGAGTTTTTTCTTTACACAATTTTGCGATGACGAATTTTTTGGGGTTGATAAACAGATACATTTTGAATAAAAAGTTATCATGCTTACAATAACTTCAAAACGTCTATAAGATTTAAGAGGATTCAGTTCTGCAATCCTTGATTTAATCAATAAAATAAATTGATTCAGTCATTAATTTTTTGAGGCATCCCGTATAAGCAAATCTAACAAATATTAATGCAGTGATAAATCACGAGTACAGACTCATCATATTTTGCACATTTAAGATAGGATTTATTTAGCAACCACATTATTGAAGGCAACTTGAATGGTGAAATGTACCGAGACATTCTGGAACATGAAAAGCCAACATTGCTTGAAAACTTGAATTCAGAAGTGCAACAGAACATGTGGTTTCAACATGATGGTTGTCCAGCACACTAGTCGATGGTAGCAGGTGATCGTGGAGTACGTGATCATGATTTCAAGAATGTTTCAAAGGTCACTGGATCGGTAGAGTTGGTTCGGTAAATTGGGCTGTCAGAGTACCAGATCTTAGTTCGCGAGATTTCTTTTTGTGGGGTTAACCCAAAGACAAAGTTTTTTCAACAACACGTGAGAATATGATTGGCCGAATCAGAAATGCTTGTGCCGAAATTCAAGCAGACACATCTCTCAGTGTACAACATTCAATATGCATTGAATTCGAAGGCGACCATTTTAATTGAAAGATGATGAGGCGAGGGGACTCATGTAAATTAAACACCCTGATAAGTGAGAGGTGAAGAGACTCACATAAATGAAGTAGCCTGATACGTGAAAGGCCGAGAACTCACTTAAATCGAGCACCCTGATATGTGAGAGACAAGGGGACTTACGTTAATTAAGCATTCCGAAGGGAACAGAAAACTACTTCGCCCACATCCTTATTCCTGGGTTACGCTAAAAGTGGTTTAATAGTCATTTACATTTCTGCAGGTAACAATTTCCGAATTATTCGAAATTTGCAACATGAATAAACTTTTTTGACGACGAATTTTGGGTATTTACATAAAACGTGGTATGCATAGGATCTCAGTAGGAGGAATCCGAAAAATTTGATTTTTTTCGATTCAGCGCCATCTATCACGAATCGAAAAAATGTTTCAGCAAATAGCAGTTCCCATTTAAGGTTTCGAAGTTAACCTCTGCCCCACCTACAAGGAGGCGGGGAGGAGGTCCAATTTTAACACTGATATATTTCTCGCGCGACATGATTAAATTTTGATTCTGGAGATTTTTTGTGTTGATTATTTTTCGAGATATTTGAAAGTTTCAGGTTAAAAAGATCACCTGTATTTATTGGGTCCTGGTGTCTGACATACCGACTTCCGGTCTTGAACGCCATGGCGCCAAGCTTTTACCCGCAGCATAAAAATATCGCTTACATTTTAGCGAAGACGGTTACTACCCGATTCCTAAATTTAGAACAAAAAGTATCTGTTTCAAATATTTTTAATAATTTGGAATTGAAACTACCCGATTCCTAAATTTAGAACAAAAAGCACCTGTTTCAAATATTTTTAATAATTTGGAATTGAATTTAGCCACACTTGGCCCTATGGCAAGTGCCTCCTCTGTCAATCCGGCATGTTTCAAAGCAGCGGGATTTGTTGGACTTGTAGGTATTTAACTTTTGTGGTAGGCAGCACAATTTACACATTACTGTTTGGCATTCTTAACCGTCCGTCAGACGAAACTACCACTGTATTCTTCAAAACTTGTCGAACATTTACAAATCCACATTAAAACAAAGTGTTTTAGCAAATTTTATTTTTGTAACTCATTAAATAAGGTTTAAAGGCACTGTAATCAAAATAGTTAACAAAAACAAAGTCAATGGTGCTGTCTAAAAATAAACTAAAAATTCAATTCTGCAAATCAAAGTTGAAACAATGCCTATTAACTTAAAAAAACAAACAAACACAAGAAACGTAACAAAACATTGAGAAATAGGTCACAAGGTGATTCATAATATTCTTGAAGTAAATCACCAAGTGTTGAGTTCTAACTTTTGTTGTAGTAGGTACCCTACAACTACAAATATTCATGATATAATAAACAAAACTAGGACAACGTAAAACGTATGATCAAACCAAAAGCGCAATTTGGTCAGAATGAAAATAAGTACGACTTTAATACAAGTGTGAACACACTAATAATACAAAAACAAAAATAATATAACATTAACAGCACCATTGAAACAAAGAAAAACAGATCACAAGTGAACATTGGCATTTACCAATTGTTTCACTTAATGCTTTGCACTAGTACTAGCAGTATTTTTTTCAATTGGCTGGGAGTCGATTAAATTAACTTCTTCAATTACTCCTAAAATATTTTGAAATAGTTTAACTGATTAGCTAGAAATTATTCTTACCCTTGTCGCTATCTATAAAAACAACTACTTTCTGACTAGACACTGGGGATACACTTTTTTCATTTGATATTTTCTCCTCTTCAAATTGCACATTTGTTGCTACTGAAACAAAAATTTCAAATCTCAAGTAGTATTTTTTTAAAACTTACTCAGAGTTTCATCTTCCATATCTTGACTAGATGAATCAGTCTTGGTGGGTTCAGATTTTTCAATCTCATCAACATTTAACCGAGTTAACTCATCTTGAACAGCCTTTAAATTTTCTTTTAGAGCTTCGAGCTCCTTTTCTTTTTCAGTCATGTCAGCAGTTGACGTTTTAGGAACTACATTGTCGGCCGGTTTTCCTTTCGGAATAGCACTCGGAGGCGGTTCAATGCCGTGCGTCTTTAATAACTTCAAATAACTACTCCTATCGCTTTGTAACTGCCTACACAGTTTATTCAACTGCTCAATTTTCTTATCCACACTTCTTAAATGAGCGTCCTGGCCCTTCTTTTGTTCGCTCATTTCAACCAAAGCTTTCATGCTCTGCTGGAATTTCTGCTTCCAAGACAAACATTCTTCTTCTAAGTGATTTACTTGTTTGGTCATATTCGCTATTTCAAACTTAAAATTATCGAAGACTTTAGTACTTTTTGACATTGTGCTTTCAAAGTCCTCATATTGATGTTTGTATACATCAATATGATCTTGGAGACCTTTTACTGTACTTAAAAGCACGGCACAGTTTGCTTCGCTTTTTTCTAAATTGCCTTTCATCAGTGTTTGCTCTTGCAGATGTAATTCTTTCTCCGCTTTTATTTCAAGCTCCATTTTTGTTAATGTAGCTTGAGAAAATTGTCTCTCGAGCTCTAACTGCTGAGACATTTTGGATATATCTTCCTCGCGCTTTTGGAATTGAGCATAAAGATCAGCTAATTTAGCAGTCATTTTGAGATTTTCTTCTCGCAACTTATCACTTTTTTCTTTATTATCTTCCATCATGCTATTAATATCATTGAGTTTGTCAGCAAATTTTAGAGATACTTCTTTGCGGCGCTCTTCTTCTTCTTTAATTTTGGCCATGTTTTCTTCCTATAAGAAATACTCGTTATCTTAAAGATTTATGTATTAGAGTGAATTATGAACCAATTATGTAGTGTTTTACTTTTTTTATGGTATTGAAACGGACAGAAATGTGTCGTTTTAAATATTGTTTCAACTTTTATAGTAACATCATAGATGTTTTCCACGTATTATTAAAGTAAGAAATATCAGGTCTGCATGAGTTGGCAAGTTGATTTCGCTACTACAACCCCAAAATCTGTCTAACTGACAAATATTTCTAGCTTTTGTACCATTACATAGAATTTTTCCAATTATTTTTTGTTTTGGAGAATGGAGGGCAGGCAATGATAATGAAATCACAATTAAGGGATTTAAGCCACAAGTGCAGGAGTATGTTATTTTATAAAATTTAAACAACATCTGCTACTGTAAAATTTGGAAATGAGGTCATCCCATTGTTGGAGCGGGTCATCAGACACATTTTGGTTAGTATTTTACCGTCTATACGATGTTCCTAATATTTATATAAAATTTTACAACCATCGCTCCGGTAGATTCGACGATTATTTGTACGCCCACCCACCCGCCCTATCTCAATTGTGATGATTTTTTTATTCACCGTCAACCAAGAGGCGCAGCTTAACTGCAAAATACTTATTTCTGTACGAGGAATTAAAAACATGTTTTCGAGTATCATGTTATTCAAAGAATACTATGTATGCAGACAAAATATTAACCCCGCCCCCGGGGCGGAGCCTAATTGCAAAATAGATATTTCTTTATACAAATTTTCCACTTTAAACATGTTTTAAGTTTCATCTTATGAAAAGAAGTCTACACATATTAAGACAAAAAACAGCTTACGGTCGAGAGGTAAAAATCATGAATTATTGATAACTAGCAGCTACATTTATGCAACCACAAATCTTTTTGTTATTAAAATTAACAAAACAACATTACAAAGTAACACAGCTTAAATAGTGAGTATCTTTTCGCCAATCATAGCTGTATAACAAATTTTTGAAATTAGAAAATTGTCTACCTGGACTTCACATTTTGTTGTATACCATTTTACTGACTAAATAATAATAATAAAAAAAACACATATTTTTGTTATTAAAAGAATGACATATACCTACCTGTTTCAAATGTTCAAGTTCTCTTAATAAATGATTTTCAAATTTCCAGGAATAATATTGGAATGTCATCTTTTTAATCAGGCATATTACGTTTATTTTTGCCACATGCACATTTTTTACTGTCCATGAGTTACGATTTTAACTTATAGCGGTCATCACACAAAAAAAATAAATATGTAATAAAATTCCCAGAATCAGATTTTATAATTTATATAATTGTACTTCAAAAAAAAGGGGGAGGGGATAAATTTGGACTATAACAACTATAGTATAAACAATTTCATGCCATTTATAGTGCCCAAACGCAAGGAAAGTATTGTAATGAAAGTAAATTTGTGTGCTCAAAAAGCGGCAATTTTGGTCGTTGACGATGAAACACCCTGTGTATTAAAAAAAAGTTCAGTATTGTAAATATATTTTTAGTTAAAAATTAGAGTAGATTAAAAATACTCTTTAATTTTTTGTTCAGTGATGACTGTTTGACATACAAATGATAGTATATCACGCTTGTTTTACTTACCTTAATCTGCTTGTTTTGTTTTTGTAACTCCCGGCAGAGGTTCTCTAGACGAGCCCTTGCCACAATACTTTTGGCCAATTCGGTTTGATTGTGATCCATCTCTTTCTGGAGAGCTGCATTTTGTCTTACCAATTGTTGATAAACCACATTCAACTGTCTATCTTCGTTGTACAGCTCCTTGTACTTGGTTTCGATGTACAGAAACTTGGCTGAATCTTCCATTGAAGCGATGAACTTTATAATGTTCTCCCAAGACTTGGGATCCTTCTTGCGATACTTGTCTTCTTGCTTCTTTCGCGTTGAAGAAGACCCCAATGACGGTCCTGCCGCAGCAGCAGCCTTGTGCTGCTCTTCCATATCCGAAACGACTTTCTCTTCAACAACACAAAACTAACCTCAAAAATAGAGAGTTAATCAACGCGATATTTGAGTGTTGTTGTGCGGATTTGTTTCAGTGAGTTGTTGTTGGCAAATTAGGGGATGTTTCACTTACGATTCGTTGAAGCGTCCCTTTGGTCAAACAATTTCGTTTCTTTTAACTGAAAATGGCGGCGAGTGAAAAATTCAACAAATTTTGTTTTGAAATTCCAGGCACGCCAACTTCGCTAAACGCGAAGTGCAAAGTAACCATAATTGAGCGACGCGGGCGGGAAAATGAAATGAAGCCAAACAGAATTTGGGGGTTGGCTTCTTAAAATTAAATTTAAATATAAATAAAGGCAGAAGGGGCGCTCTAACCTTAACAAACTTCGTAAAGGTCTGGTAATTAGTTAAGTTTTAAGTCATAAACTATAATGAAGATTTGAGCTGAAATTCGGGTTACACTTTGTAAATCAAAATTTATCGTGAAATTAAAGTAAGGGACAAAATTAATGAAAACACGAGTTGAAAATGCAATATATCCTACAAGGAAACCAATTTGGAAGTTTAGAAGTTACAAGTTTATTAAAGTCAAAAAGTTGGCCAACTTTATGCTAATAAATAATTAATATGGAGGGACGGAACACAGAAAAAATAAATAAGGTTAATAAGAATCACGTGGTGATTTTCTTGTTCAAGTTTTGTCCCCTTGGTTGATTGTTATGTAAAATTTTACTTACCGAATTAACAATAACGATAACAGTGTGTTGTAAATCTGTTATAACTATAATGATATTAGTGAATAAATAAGCGTTTCCTGGCTGTCGTCTTGAAAATTGAAATCTTCATACTAAAAGGCTTTTATTTTTGGACTCTCGAACTATGTTTAGGTTTAGTTTCTTATGGAGGGCGCTGCAGTCATATTATTATTACAACTTTCGTTGTCATGCAGTAATAAAAAAGAAAATGTATAGCAAATATTCAAATATCCGTTTAAGAATTTATTTATTTATCAATTGCTACCGAAATTATATGTACAAATATACCATGTGGTGTATATTAAGTTGCATAACTTGACAAGTATAAACTTCATTATCTTCAGAAAATATGAACTAAAAAATTAATCGAAGGTTATTTCGACAGAACTCTAGAAGTGTACAATAAAACATCCAGCTTTTTCGGAAAATTATAAAATCTAGTTTTGAGAATTTTATTTTTTCTTATGAGAATCCCTATAAGTTAAAATAAATTAAGTAAATGTAAAGAAGCGTGCTACGCGTTTGTTTCAAATGAGATTTTTACTTTACAAAATTATGTATGTGATGGCGCCATCAATATTTCAGCAATTTTTTTGGGTACCTGTAAAAGCAATTCCAAAAAATATAAATGGAATGATAAACCACGAGCGTATCATTAGTTCAGATAGGATTTATTCGGCAACATTTTGAGATGACGGCATTGATTTTTGAGGGAATAAATTTACTACGCTTACGATAACTTAAAAACTTCTACAAGATTTCAAAGCCTTCGGTTTTGGAGTTTTAAAATTAAATTGCAAAATGTTATGTACAATTTCAATTTTCTTTAGATTTGGACGTCTTAGGTAAAAATTCAACACGGATTCATAAACTACACGTATAGGACTAAATTATTTACGCAATTTAAAACCTATGCACAATTCTGAACTGAAGTCATCATATTGTTGATGAGGATGATTAGACAAAGTTTTGTTAGCGTTTTACCATCTATATGTTATTCATAATATCCACATAAAATTTGACAACAATCGGTTCTGTAGTTTCGAAAAAACTTGTCTAAAAATTGTGAAAAAATTCAGGGACGTAGATCTCGAGATGCTGATTCCAAAAATATAGTGTGTTGATGGTCACGGAGCAACATTTTCGAAAGAATCGATATGAAATGTGAATTTTTGAGAATTTCTAAAAATTTCGACATTTCAACGGTCGATTCTGGAAAAACGGTTGCACTAATCAAAGAAACTATGCCGGAATTGAGTTCTAGAGCTCGAAATCTACAAGAAAATGTATTTCGTTAAGTTTCGAAAATGTAAAAATTTTGCCGAAATTTGAAGAAGGGGGGACCATTGAAAAATTTTCACTTTTAAAAAAGTTGTCTAAAAATTGTGAAAAAATTCAAGGACGTAGATCTCGACATGCTGATTCTAAAAATATAATGTGTTGATGGTCACGGGACAACATTTTCCAAAGAATCGATATGAAATGTGAATTTTTGAGAATTTCTAAAAATTTCGATATTTCAACGGTCGATTCTGGAAAAACGGTTGCACTAATCAAAGAAACGATGCCGGAAGTGAGTTCTAGAGCTCGAAATCTACAAGAAAATGTATTTAGTGAAGTTTCGAAAATGTCAAAATTTGGCCGAAATTTGAAGAAGGGGGGACCATTGAAAAAATTTCACTTTTAAAAAAGTTGTCTAAAAATTGTGAAAAAATTCAGGGACGCAGATCTCGACATGCTGATTCTAAAAATATAATGTGTTGATGGTCACGGAGCAACATTTTCGAAAGAATCGATATGAAATGTGAATTTTTGAGAATTTCTAAAAATTTCGACATTTCAAAGGTCGATTCTGGAAAAACGGTTGCACTAATCAAAGAAACGATGCCGGAATTGAGTTCTAGAGCTCGAAATCTACAAGAAAATGTATTTCGTTAAGTTTCGAAAATGTAAAAATTTTGCCGAAATTTGAAGAAGGGGGGACCATTGAAAAATTTTCACTTTTAAATAAGTTGTCTAAAAATTGTGAAAAAATTCAGGGACGTAGATCTCGAGATGCTGATTCCAAAAATATAGTGTGTTGATGGTCACGGAGCAACATTTTCGAAAGAATCGATATGAAATATGAATTTTTGAGAATTTCAAAAAATTTCGATATTTCAACGGTCGATTCTGGAAAAACAGTTGCACTAATCAAAGAAACGATGCCGGAAGTGAGTTCTAGAGCTCGAAATCTACAAGAAAATGTGTTTAGTTAAGTTTCGAAAATGTCAAAATTTTGCCGAAATTTGAAGAAGGGGGGACCATTGAAAAAATTTCACTTTTAAAAAATTGTCTAAAAATAGTGAAAAAATTCAGGGACGTAGATCTCGACATGCTGATTCTAAAAATGTAATGTGTTGATGGTCACGGGGCACATTTTCGAAAGAATGGATATGAAATTTGAATTTTTGAGAATTTCTAAAAATTTCAATATTTCAACGGTCGATTTTGGAAAAACGGTTGCACTAATCAAAGAAACGATGCCGGAATTGAGTTCTAGAGCTCGAAATCTACAAGAAAATGTATTTTGTTAAGTTTTGAAAATGTAAAAATTTTGCCGAAATTTGAAGAAGGGGGTACCATTGAAAAAAATTCACTTTTAAAAAAGTTGTTTAAAAATTGTGAAAAAATTCAGGGACGTATATCTCGACATGCTGATTCTAAAAATATAATGTGTTGATGGTCACGGGGCAACATTTTCGATAGAATCGATATGAAATGTGAATTTTTTAGAATTTCTAAAAATTTCGATATTTCAACCGTCGATTCTGGAAAAACGGTTGCACCAATCAAAGAAACGATGCCGGAAGTGAGTTCTAGAGCTCGAAATCTACAAGAAAATGTATTTGGTTAAGTTTTGAAAATGTAAAAATTTTGCCGAAAATTGAAGAAAGGGGTACCATTGAAAAAAATTCACTTTTAAAAAAGTTGTTTAAAAATTGTGAAAAAATTCAGGGACGTATATCTCGACATGTTGATACTAAAAATATAATGTGTTGATGGCCACGGGGCAACATTTTCGATAGAATCGATATGAAATATGAATTTTTGAGAATTTCTATAAATTTCGATATTTCAACGGTCGATTCTGGAGAAACGGTTACACTAATCAAAGAAACGATGCCGGAAGTGAGTTCTAGAAGTCGAAATCTACAAGAAAATGTATTTAGTAAAGTTTCGAAAATGTAAAAATTTTGCCGAAATTTGAAGAAGGGGGGACCATTGAAAAAATTTCACTTTTAAAAAAGTTGTCTAAAAATTGTGAAAAAATTCAGGGACTTAGATCTCCACATGCTGATTCTAAAAATATAATGTGTTGATGGTCACGGGGCAACATTTTCGAAAGAATCGATATGAGATGTGAATTTTTTAGAATTTCTAAAAATTTCGATATTTCAACCGTCGATTCTGGAAAAACGGTTGCACCAATCAAAGAAACGATGCCGGAAGTGAGTTCTAGAGCTCGAAATCTACAGGAAAATGTATTTGGTTAAGTTTCGAAAATGCAAAAATTTTGCCGAAATTTGAAGAAGGGGGGACCATTGAAAAATTTTCACTTTTAAAAAAGTTGTCTAAAAATTGTGAAAAAATTCAGGGACGTAGATCTCGAGATGCTGATTCCAAAAATATAGTGTGTTGATGGTCACGGAGCAACATTTTCGAAAGAATCGATATGAAATGTGAATTTTTGAGAATTTCTAAAAATTTCGACATTTCAACGGTCGATTCTGGAAAAACGGTTGCACTAATCAAAGAAACGATGCCAGAATTGAGTTCTAGAGCTCGAAATCTACAAGAAAATGTATATCGTTAAGTTTCGAAAATGTAAAAATTTTGCCGAAATTTGAAGAAGGGGGGACCATTGAAAAAATTTCACTTTTAAAAAATTGTCTAAAAATAGTGAAAAAATTCAGGGACGTACATCTCGACATGCTGATTCTAAAAATGTAATGTGTTGATGGTCACGGGGCACATTTTCGAAAGAATGGATATGAAATTTGAATTTTTGAGAATTTCTAAAAATTTCAATATTTCAACGGTCGATTTTGGAAAAACGGTTGCACTAATCAAAGAAACGATGCCAGAATTGAGTTCTAGAGCTCGAAATCTGCAAGAAAATGTATTTTGTTAAGTTTTGAAAATCTAAAAATTTTGCCGAAATTTGAAGAAGGGGGTACCATTGAAAAATTTTCACTTTTAAAAAAGTTGTCTAAAAATTGTGAAAAAATTCAGGGACGTAGATCTCCACATGCTGATTCTAAAAATATAATGTGTTGATGGTCACGGGGCAACATTTTCGAAAGAATCGATATGAGATGTGAATTTTTTAGAATTTCTAAAAATTTCGATATTTCAACCGTCGATTCTGGAAAAACGGTTGCACCAATCAAAGAAACGATGCCGGAAGTGAGTTCTAGAGCTCGAAATCTACAGGAAAATGTATTTGGTTAAGTTTCGAAAATGCAAAAATTTTGCCGAAATTTGAAGAAGGGGGGACCATTCAAAAATTTTCACTTTTAAAAAAGTTGTCTAAAAATTGTGAAAAAATTCAAGGACGTAGACCTCGACATGCTGATT